CTGTTCTTATCAGTCCACCAGTACCAAGTTGGACTGACGGTTCTACTGTACTGTACGAGAGAGGACTTTGCTCGCACGGGAGAAACCCATGTGCTAGAAAATTTCTCTGCCCAGAAGCTCTACTGAATTCGTGAAGGATCATTAAAGTACTCCAATGTTCGGAATCCGGCTAGACTTTCATCCAGACTCAAGCCTTTTCCCCAGCGACTTGGGTTGCTTGATATCACCAGATTATGTATGGTCAGTATTAGGTTTCTGGAAGAAGAACTGACTGAAACTCCTCACTCGCTGATCCGAAGCCTTACATGAGCTATGCAGAACGCCTGTCCTGTCCATCCCAGAGCCGCATCTTGGGTTGCAGGGCAATTTCTTAGCCACCCACTAAGTACCCAGGTTTTGAATCTCGCAAAATGTGCCAGGGTTCAACCAAGCTGAACAATCGACAGGGAGTGGTTCATATCCATGCCAACCATGTGTCAGTGCAATCCACAAACCTTGATTTAGATAAGATTCAGCCAAACTCCGCGCTCTTTCTGGTCTTACTTGCTGAGTAAAATGTGCCACGCGGAGAAACCTCCCTACCATCCATTTCTCCAAGAATAGAACCTGTTGACTAAAGGCAACTTCCAAGGTGATCTTGAAACTCTTCACTGAAACAGCGAGAACACACCACGTTTCCCGATACTTTTCCGTATGCCAACGAGTATGTAAGTCATTTAGTCTCAACTACAACTTTGTACGCATCTCAGCTTCATCCGTGGAATTGCCGTTGGCTTCAAGTCAGTGGCGGTGGTGCCGATGGCTAAACCCGCCAGCGATACGCTAACTTACCAGGGCACCCTGCAACAATCAATCCGAAGCGAAAAGGAAGTTCCCCCACATGTACTCCGTAGTGCGGTACCATGAGATTGGAATCTCAGATTCGAGACTTTGATAGACAAGTGGACTTTAGTCAAAGAATTCGTCAGGGGCTCAAAAAAACTTGACTTTTCTGCCAGGCATCATGCATCATGCATCAAAGAGCAACGGAGTGGTATTCAAATTAGTTTTTGTAGCGCTGTGATCTGCAAAAGTTTTCTATCAATAGAAACACATTTGGGTGCTTGATACGTCAGGCTTAAGTGTTAAAAAGACATTTTAATTTCTATTGCCCAGAATATTTTATCAGAACTTTCCAAGGAAATACCAAAGACGGTCGGACCGCCTTTAGAATTTTACGACGATGTTCCCTATCTTTGTCTCGCATATTGACATGGAAGAGTCTTGAGTAGCAGATCTCAAATGGAGAGCAACAAGTCATTCATTTTTGTTTCCGTCGCTTGTTTCCAGGCTCTCAACTTCATACAGAACATTGCTTTTTCTTGTTTCCTAATGCTGTGTAATCTTGGACAATCACATGATAGATAATAATGTAGCATGTGCTATACTTAGCTGTCACTCATGACAAGTTCGTACTTGATCATAAAACCGAGAGGCTATCATTCGATCATTCGGTGTCAACGAATGACAATTCCTCGTGCAGCACACTTACCGGTTCAACTTTCCGGAATTTCAAATGTGCCTATTATATTTTTGTTCGTGTTCCCGCTAAGGAAAGTCATCGGGTATATAACTACTTCAGCCATTAATACTCAAAAGTAAGGCTGAACGTTGACGACAAAGAAGTTAAATTTGGACCATCGGAACAGTTGGCAAGCTGGCTCACAGAATGCTGAATTGTCCATGATGCACTGCTACTTTGCATTTTGATCTCATCATTTTCACGCACCTGCTTTTGAAAAAGTCACAGTTCAACTCCATCACAACCTTGGCCGTTTGGAACCCCCGAAGTTTTCTTGCAATAGGACAGACTCGAGGTCCCTAAATTATACTAATGCAACGGGAATTACCCCAAAGTGAAGCCGAAGTCGGGGTACTTTCTAACCGAAACTCTCCAAGTAGCGTATAAGTCCACCTGTCACTTCTAACAAAAGATGGGAACATGAGTTCAAGACTGATGATTGGAATGCAGCAGATACACCAGCGTCTTTCTACGTCGATATCCTCAGTCAAGTGTCATTTGCCTGGCAGAAGACGATGATCACGAGTCTGGCATGCCACTTCACAATGAACCAGCCCTACAACAGCACTTCCCCATAAATACATTTCCGATCCAACAAACCCCTTGAATGTCATATAAGTAGCGACCTTGGCAGCGTGGGGCCCCAGACCGGCACGAGTATATTGATAGCTTAAAATGTACACGATCAAACCATTCCATGTCCACAAGCTGGTTAGAGCTTTTCAAAAACTCCCGTGTTTTGCCAGTTCTGGATTCAGGTCTACAACACCATGACGAGTCGGTGACAATCCGTCCTAGCTAACCCCATACTGTTGGTTTCCTCCGACGACTCGACGAAACGAGAAGAAACCACACCCCCTCGCAAAGGTTTCGACTTAAACCAATTGCTATCCCTGCAACCAGCTAGCCTTATTTCGTAATTCTCGCCCGGCCAGCTGGTAAATGAAATTTTAACTTTGCGTCGTACCTCCGTATGTTTGTGCTTGTTCTCGGCAGACCCGTTTCCTGCACTTAGATAGTTAGCTGGAGAACTAGTAACTGAAAACCCCACCTATACCCTAACAAACCAGGCAATTTAGTAATTCCATAGGTAAAGTTATTGAAGAATAAGCTTTGGAGCGCGCGCGCAGAGCCGGTCGGAAAATCTAGATCGTGTCCAGACCCCGGGAATTGTCTGAGTCAGTTGCCAATTTTCTTGGTGTCGGCCCGGCCCCCAATAGATCTTGGACTAAGTGTTAGTAGGGAGTACGTACCACGCGAGCCGACAAAGGGGGAAATATACCGCGACAAAAGGAACGGCATTGCGTTATTGGCATCTAGATCTGACGATAGCATCATTTCTTGACTCGAATGTTTGCTTCAGCTTCAACTACTGAACTAAACGAATGAGTGTTAATTTGAACTTGCCTTTTTTTGCAATTTGGAAACTGGAACGGAAATATCCACTGTCCACTTCCGTGTACTCCGTATACCTCCGTAATATTGTACGCGTCGGTCTTTGTGGTTCTTCAAAGATTGACTGTTATGACTAGGTAGTAAACTTTAAAGTGTACTAATGAACCAGGCGAAGCGAGACTTTAAAATTGATGCTGCCTAGAAAGGAAGATATTGGACCTGATGGAGCGCACGTTGCGCACATGGGGAGGACGCCCTCAAGGCTTAACTTCACTCAAGTGGCGGCATCCACGATGAGGTATTTGCGCCCTGTAGTCCATGCGAGAAACCAGACACTAGGAAGACTGTGCTAAAGTACAGTAATTCAACTTTGACTGTCAATACAATGCTGACAAGTAGATCAGTGAGGTTTGGCCAAATCCACAGTTAGTGTACACTCGGCTCCCCAATTCCTCTATTCCTCAAAACACTTCCAAAGTTGCATGCTTGCCCAGCAGGGCACTTTACAAGTTATCCCTCGCACCTTCCTCCTCAACTACTCCCACTCTCATTTGCCCTCAAACGCGCGAAGAGACGCGACAGCAATAGTGCGCGAATGCAATGTGCGACGAGACCGGACATGCACACAGGAACCACTTCTCACGTTTGCTGCTAGAACATGAAAAATGCGATTGGCTTGTAGGTAGAGTATAAGCATATACCATAGTTTGTGGTCTATTTTCCTTCTGGTTACATGCATGTTTCTGAGTTACTCGACACTTGAGAATGCAACATGCTCGTCTTCTAGCAAGATAGAATATTTGGAGGGGGGAAGAGCTTACCGGCCAAGAGGTCCTGTGTCGCTCGCTCCTGCCTCCACGTACTTACATTACCGAGGTAGAACATTAATATTATTCAACAAGTACTCGGATACTCACTTCAGTACTCCTTAGGTAGATATGCGGAGGTGTGCCCTCGTCTTTTCTCCGATAATTATTCAAGAGTAACCCTTTGAGAGTGTTTTTATTTCAAAAGTAAAATATCCGTATTTTCCTATGTTTATTATATAATAGGAGAATAAAGCATGTATTTCCTATGACATTAACAGTCGGAAGACTCATGCCTCGTCGCAAGTATCTCTTCTAACTCAAAAACTTCCTACTCGGGTATTGATTTGGCCGGGCTTAATTTCCTCCTGGGTGCTCCTCTGGCTGGCCCATGATGTAGATAGACACTTGGCTCATTTATTGTCAAGATAATCCTTACGTTCAGCAGTGATATCTTGATTGATACTAGAAGACCGAAAACTTTTGAGTCAACTCTCCCCATTCTCCTCATCTTGACTGCACTACCTCCCGCTAAAATATGTCTCAACTTGAAGCAAATTCAACAACGCCCAATTTACCGATCCCACCCAATCCTTGACTATAGTAGACTCTGAGTAGAGTTGTATGAGTGATAAATTGATACCCGTCAGGCCGACCACTGCAAATGATGTTAAGAATTGTACATTCGGGATGTTCAAGTGGAACGATACAATTTATCCATGCTAGCATTACAAGACCCAAGGAAATAACTTGATTCCAATTCCTCCCCCCCTTACATTGCCAACCATCTTCGCAAGAGCCCAAGGGAAGGGACATTTTCAAACAAGAAACACCTCAACTACGTAGTAGAAAATCAGTATCTTACTACCAGGATGTTCGCTCATAAGTTAAGAGAGATAGAGATGTTGTAACAGATCATATCCCCTCAATACCTCAGTACTTGTAAAACACTGTAAATAAGTTAAAAGATATAATTTTGAATGCTGTGGCTCTAAAGAAAATGCCCTAGCGAAGACAGAAAATAGGATGCCGTAAATTTCGAGGCTTTGAAATGGCGGACTCTTTAGCCCGCTAGCTGATTATTTAGAGATGCTCTTTGGCCACTGAGCGGCAATCTGCTGTCAACCAGAGATGCGAAACGATATGCATGCATTCAAGATGCACGAAGAGAAACTGGGGCTTGGGACATCTCTTATAATTTATTGTACAATTGTACATCTATACACTCATCTACCCATCTAGAGCTTCGGTTTATACTCTTCAGGATTAATCATCAACTCAGGCTTTACAAGCCTGTCAAAATCCTCCTCACTCAAAGCCTTCAATTCCATAGCTGATTCTTTCAGGGTTAAGCCCTTCTTGTGCGCGTTCTTAGCTACCTTGCTTGCCATGTCGTACCCAATCTTAGGGTTCAGGCAAGTAACCAGCATCAAGGACTCCTTTACAATACTGCTGATCTTTTCCTCATTTGCTTGGAGACCGACAACTAAGTTCTTCTCGAAGCTTCGCATGCCGTCACTCAGTATGCGGATGCTGTGAAGAAGGTTTCGAATGACCAAGGGCTTGAAGACGTTCAATTCGAATTGGCCATTCATACCGCCCTGGAAGAGTTAGTGCCAAGTTGAATGCATTTGAAGCTAGAATATCTCGATATTTACTAGGCATGGAGGGAAGATGCGTAGGGATATAGATAACTTACAATCGTCGTAGCTGTGTGGTTGCCAATAACTTGGGCGCACACCATCGTCAGAGCCTCGCACTGAGTTGGGTTTACCTTGCCGGGCATGATACTGCTGCCAGGTTCGTTTTCTGGCAGAGCAAGTTCTCCAAGACCACAACGTGGTCCAGAACCAAGATATCTGATATCCTGAGCTATTTTGAAAAGGGAAGATGCGAGAGTGTTGAGGGATCCTGAAGCCTGTACAATGGCATCATGAGCAGCGAGAGCCTCAAACTTGTTTGGTGCAGTCTTGAACTCAGTGCCAGTCATCTTGCTCACTTCTGAGGCAATGGCCTCTGCGAAGCCCTTGAAGGTGTTTATTCCCGTACCAACAGCAGTTCCTCCCTGGGCCAGCAGACGGAGGTCGGGGAGGGATGATTCGACACGCTTAACGCCATAGTCGAGTTGTGCCACATATCCAGAGAATTCTTGGGCGAGAGTCAAAGGCGTAGCATCCTGGAGATGTGTTCGTCCAATCTTGATGATCTTCTTGGCTTCAAAATCGTCGACCTTTGCCTGGAGAGCATCTCGAAGAGACTTGATGGCTGGCAACAGTTCATTCTCGATTTCGAGCACCGCTGCAATGTGCATAACAGTGGGGAAGGTATCGTTTGAAGAAGCACTCATATTGACATGATCATTGGGATGCACAGGTTTCTTGCTGCCCATCTTTCCTCCAAGTATCTCAATGGCACGATTGGAGATGACCTCGTTCGCATTCATGTTTGACTGTGTTCCGGAGCCGGTCTGCCAGACAACGAGGGGAAAGTGGTCGATCAGCTTGAGAGAAGCTACTTCAGCGGCAGCTTCTTGAATAGCTTTACCAACTTTAGGGTCGAGTCCAAATTGCATGTTGACAGTAGCTGCGGCGCCCTTTAGGATACCGAAAGCCCTGACAATCGGAGGTGGCATGCGATCCTGCGGCTGGTTGATTTTGAAGTTTTCCAGGGACCGTTCTGTTTGTGCTCCCCAGTATTTGTCTGCCGGTACAAGCACCTCGCCGAATGCATCGGTCTCTGCTCTTGTTTCTGCCATTGCGGATGGTGTTGCGTGGAAATGTCTCCCAAAGCGGGGTTGGGAAATGCTCAAGAGCTTCGGAGTGGAGGATAGAGTCGAAGAGGAAGGGAAGGAGCGACTAGGTCTTGAAATCGATTTGGATGCGGCGGCGGAAGCTGCGAATGATCTGCTCTGGAAAGCTCGAGATGGCGTGCATGAGGGGATGTTCAAGGTAGTAGTAGTGAAGGCTGAAGCTCTTGTCCTCGGTACATTTGATAATGTTGCACCTGACAGAGCTCCGCTCCCCGACCGCAGCATCATGGTGGTGGTGAGTGAGTAGGTTATCGCCTGGAAGTGTCAATGATATCCGGAATAGGTCAATTGAAGCTTTGCAAAGATGGCGGGTATACCGAAGAATGCTGAATGTCCTGTCAAACTCCTCAATCGCAATTGCAGGGAAGCTTTAGAAAAAAAGTAATGTTTCGTCAGAAAAGCTTCACGTCGCGAAAAAGCCCGGGCACGCGGATAAATCCGGATACCCTGTTGTCAACTGATTAGATTGTTACTTAGTGGGTCAATGTTCGCAAATATTTAGATTCGGTACAATTATATGCAGCGCTTTCATTTTGACACAATCCTCGTGTACTCCGTATTGTACTGTATAATCCAATCTAATACTCACTTTATTTTTAAAGGTCCTCTTCGCAAATAGAGTTTCTGTCCAAGTTGGGTAACATACTCGGATTCTTCCAAGGTGAAAAAGCGAGCGCATTGTATAAATCCTTATACTAGTCTTGAGTCCTCTCTGAAAAGTTCACGGAGCCCAGAGACTCAGGAGCCAAGAGACTCAGGAGCCACGAGACACTCGTTATGTTGCTATCTCACTTCTTCTGCCTTGAAAAGTTTCATCTCATCTTGGCCACTGGCTCCCCGCTTATTCTATACTGTAGAATTCCTACAGACCGAATGCGACATTCCCTGGGAAGAAATACTATATCTAGATATGTATCTGCTACTCATTCTAGGACACTACGAGCTTGCATGCAAACACATTCCAGAACGGAGAAGTATCAGTTTCCCTGGGAAACTTTAGCAGACACGTACTATGAATCGTCCCTCCTGTCACGATGGCGAAAGTTTGAAAGGAGAATTCATCTCCAGTTTCGGAAGTATAGAGAGGCTCTACTAGAGAAGTATTTGCCCTGGAAAGTCTTCCTGCCTTGCCGCCGTCGCCAGCAGTCAGCTCAGACAAAACTGATCTGTCATATTTTCCCCGAACGTCGATTCAGTCAGTCTCAACGCTGTGCTCCGAGAAAGATTGCGAAAACGAACAGCTTCTCAAGGATCAAGATGAGGCTCCTACCATTATCCTACCGTTTTCGTGGTATAACCGGTTGCGATCGGTCTATACCCTTCGACCTATCAAGTTGGTCGTGGACGGTGTCTGGGGCTTTGTACTTGTGATTATCCGAGTTATCTTCCATCTGGACCCAAACGAGAACTCTATCCGACATCCTACCTTGATGGCCTCCGTGGAGTTGCTGCTTTCTGTGTTGTCCAGGTTAATGAATTTTTGATCCCGAAATGCAGTGCAATATTCTAATGATATTCCAGGAACATTTACTTTGAGATGTAAGTAAGGACCAAAGTCGTTCTGAAATTTCCCGTTGGCTTTTTGACTTGGATACTATCCCAAGCCCTCCGAACTTCCAAAGAGAAGCTCTCCTGTACTTTCAAACCCATTGTGCATAACAGGAGCTAATTCTGTCAATAATAGTGGTTTCCTTTGAAAATCAGTGGATACGAAAGTGGGCCTGCCGCCAACCTTTCCAATCAAATTCCTATCATACGCTGTATATTCTGGAAGTGGCATGGTCACGATATTCTTTATCGTATCAGGCTTTGCAATTAGTCACAAAGCGCTCACTTTAGCATCGTCCGTCTTTCAAAAAGGTATTCAACTATATCTTCCAATAACCGTATCCACCTTGATATCAATGTTTGTTCCGTGTCGCCCATCTATATCCTGTGAACCCGTGGCCGCCGCTCGGCCTTCCAGTAATAGCACCAACGTTCTTTCGCCAGTTGTACGACTGGTATTTAAACATGCTCGTTCTCGTCAACCCCTTTCAGCCTATCGATCGGCAACCCATACTCTCCGCCGTATGATAGCCATCTATGGTGGGCTTATCCTCATACTAGTTTGCTAGATATTTGCAGGGGAGCTAGGAGCTGTTTCAAGAGCCCAGACAGTATGTAAGCTCTTGAGACAGCTTCTAAGCTTCGGAGCTCTTTTCAAACAGTTGACTGTTTACAATGCTAATTCGTTGGAATAGGAGTAAGTTCGACAAGAAATGCTAACCCGCGTTCTAATTAGCTATCCCAATTGAGTTCCGAGGTTCTATCGTGGTGTTTGTTCTCATTCTAGCACTCTCCAGAGTAAAGCAAACGCCACGGCTACTTATCATGGGAATATTTGAGTTTTACGTGATTTGGATTGGACGGTGGGACATGGGCTTCCTTGTTGGTGGCATGGTCCTGGCTGAAATCTAATTCCTGCGCCGAGACCTGTTTCCAGAACCATCTCTCGCGCTTAACAACTCGAGCAATCCATCACAAACTGGAGGGAGCCGATTTTTGAAACACCTGCAGAAGTATCTTCAACATCTCCTGGCTTTTTGCATATTCTTCTTGGGGTTGTTCCTAATCGGCTTCCCTGATTACCACAGCGAAAGGACCCCTGGTTTAATGCGCATACACAGCTGGACGCCAGAGGCTTACCAGACTCTCTACCTCACCCCAAAATTCTGGAATACGTTGGGATCTTTCCTTGTCCTGACGGCAATATCGTTCTCCCCTCCCATCGGAGCTGCCCTAGACTCTACGCCGGCACTCCAAATACCATTCAATACCGGCCTGGCTCAATACTTGGGGTGGACTCCCAATCGACGATCTTTGGGAAGTGGGTAGCGAGCAAATGTTTTGTGAAGGAGTGACTGTAATTGCCTAGAATAGTACCTAGAATAGTACCTAGGGGGAATAAATAGACGTTGGATATAAGAAGGATAGATGGCTGTGATTTTTTCTGTATAGGATAGAGTTCTGGTCTTACTAAGAACCTGGAAAATGGTTTCAGCTCCTTCCCCCTATCTCGCAGACATCTTAGCGAGATGTATTCAGGGATGGATTAATAGGGAACACATACCGAGGCCCCGAGGGTACGGCATATCACGAGACCTGGTCGGAGGAGACCGGATCCAGGTCTCGGAAAGAAAAGGGGGGCCGCCTGTGCGCAGGGACAGCCTTAAGCCGAGGTATGCGATAAGTTCGATATCGGAGGAAATCAGCATCATGATCGGTGGGGTAGGTAGGCGGTAGGTATACAAAGGCTGCAAGCACATGCAAAAGAGACTAAAGAAGTTCACAAAGGTCGAGGTGGATTTCATTTATGAATTTGAATTGGACGGTTTGGAATTGAAATAGGGCAGGCGTAAAAAGTGACAATACCATTGTTACGGGCCTCGTTATAACACAGAGAGAATAGAGAATGGAGAATGGAGAATAAAATGCGTCATAGAGCGGCAAGAGCTCAGAGCTCCAAAGCTGGACTCTTTGACCATTTCTGGGGACTTCCCCACATTCACGAGCTTGCCCGTAACCAGACATCGTTCTCCCCTCCACCCGGATCCACGCTGCTCTACCGAAGGGCTCTCCATTGATTTATTGCCCTCGGGCCATGTCTACTCCAACTACTACTTAGTATTTGATTCACTTTATCTGATCTGGTCTTTATTCTGCTCTGACGCACAATAAAGATACATCACCCAGCCTGTGCCCAAAAACCACTTCCCCGCTCACATTATTGCTGCAAACATCTACGAAAGCTCAACCATAACTACAATCGCAATGGCTACCACCGAGTCCCTCCTCCAAGGCGTGAACGTCGCTGGCTCGATCACAGACTTCAACAGGAAGATCCTCACAAAAGATGCCCTTGCCTTCCTCGCCCTCCTTCACCGTTCCTTCAATGGCACCCGGAAAGAGCTACTCCAGCGCCGTGTAATCAGACAGGCAGAGCTCGACAAGGGCTCTCTGCCTGACTTCCTCCCCGAAACCAAGCATATTCGGGAGAACGATGCTTGGAAGGGAGCCCGTCCTGCTCCGGGCTTGATTGACCGTAGAGTAGAGATCACCGGGCCTACAGACCGAAAGATGGTGGTGAATGCTCTGAACTCGAATGTCTGGACATATATGGCAGATCTCGAAGGTACCTTGCCCCAGCTCAAGATTGTTCGCATGAGCTAACCATGGTATGACTAGATTCGAGTGCCCCTACTTGGGACAACATGATCAACGGGCAGGTCAACCTCTACGATGCTATTCGCAAGCAGGTCGATTTCAAGCAGGGAGAGAAAGAATACAAGCTTCGAACCGATCGCACACTCCCAACGTTGATTGTTCGACCTCGAGGCTGGCACTTGGAGGAAAAGCACTTGACTATTGACGGGGAACCAATGTCTGGCAGTCTGTTCGATTTCGGCCTATACTTCTACCACAACGCGAAGGAGCTCATCCAGCGGGGAACAGGCCCATACTTCTACCTGCCGAAGATGGAGTCTCACCTTGAGGCTCGTCTCTGGAACGATGTTTTCAACCTCTCGCAAGATATCGTTGCTATCCCTCGCGGAACAATCCGAGGAACTGTCTTGATTGAGACTATCCTCGCAGCATTCGAGATGGACGAAATCATCTACGAGCTCCGGGATCACAGCGCAGGACTGAACTGCGGAAGATGGGACTACATTTTCAGCGTGATCAAGAAGTTCCGTCAAAACTCCAACTTCGTCCTCCCAGACCGATCAGCCATCACCATGACCGTGCCTTTCATGGATGCCTATGTCAAGCTCCTCATTCAAACCTGCCATAAACGCCAGGTCCACGCCATGGGAGGCATGGCCGCTCAGATCCCCATCAAGGACGACAAGGCGGCCAACGACAAGGCCATGGAGGGCGTCTACGCCGACAAGCTGCGTGAGGCCAAGGCCGGCCACGACGGGACCTGGGTTGCGCACCCGGCGCTCGCATCCATCGCGTCCGAGGTCTTCAATAAGCACATGCCGACACCCAACCAGATGTTCGTGCGCCGCGAAGACGTGAAGATCGGCCAGAACGACCTCCTGAACATGAACGTCCCAGGCAGCATTACCGAAGACGGCATCCGCAAGAACCTGAATATCGGGCTCGGGTACATGGAGGGCTGGCTCCGAGGTGTCGGCTGTGTGCCCATCAACTATCTTATGGAGGATGCCGCGACCGCTGAAGTCAGCCGGAGTCAGCTCTGGCAGTGGGTTCGACATGGCGTTCCTACAGCTGACGGGAAGAAGGTTGACAAGGCTTATGCCTTGAAGCTGCTGAAGGAGCAGGCGGATGCACTTGCTTCCAAGGGACCCAAAGGAAACAAGTTCCAGCTGGCTGCTCAGTATTTCGCTAGCCAGGTAACTGGAGAGGATTATGCGGATTTCTTGACATCGTAAGTTTCCCCGTCGTCACACACACAAATGGGATTCCTGCTAACTGCTCCACAGTCTTCTTTACAATGAGATCACGAGCGTTGGAAGTTCTTCTCCGGCTTCAAAGCTGTAGGCATGCCTTTTGTATTTAAAGCGAAATTGATTAAACATTCATGAAGAAATTGTATGAAATATATGACATTTTGATCGTTACCGTAGCTCGAGCATGATAGATTTCCGGCAAAGTCCCTCCTTCAACCTGAAAGTATCCTGCGGTATTGTCATGATCAAAACCGCTTGACTTTCCTAAGAGACGATACGTTGAAGTTCAATGGAATATTCATTTATTCATTATAATACTTTAAATAAGCATGCTTATTACGCATAGCCAAATGCCTCGGCATGGACGTAAATCCCCTGTGCTCCCGTCCCCTTATGTACCGCTCGATCATCACTAATAGCAACTACCGCATTCCTCGTGCATTGAACCAGCCCCGGCGGCCCACACACCACAACAGCCATCTCTCCGAGTGCGACCTCAGCCGTCTTCCGGATAATATTCGAGACGTAGGGACGTCCTGATAGGAGGTTGATCCTTGCATCCACCATCCGATTTGGTTTTCCGAACGAGTTTGCTGTCGGAGCTGACCTCGACTCTTTTTGTAGGCGCCTGGATGCGCAGTCACAGGGTGGCGTGATGGCGTTTTCGTCGGTGATGATTCTGGTGCAGCAGCAGTCTTTGATGGAAGAATAAGAAGAGACTGTTGATAAGGTCTCCTCGACATTTTCTGTCAAGACTTTCTTCTCGTCCGAGGAGCTGTCACTGCCGCCGATCTGTATTTTGGTACCACGGGGCGCTCCAGCTCCATTCATAATCGATGACTGGCCACTGGTCAAAGCATCGTCGCAGGTGATGTAAATGCTGATATCGACGGCAATATCGTGGCCCTCGTTGCGTAGAGCCTCAACGTCTCGTACGACTTGGTCAAGCTGCGAAGCGAACCACTCAACGGCTGACTTCTGTTTCACCACCCACACAAAGCGGATATGCCGTGTTACTGCTCCAGCAGGAGGCGAAAGCCCTAGTAATCGGGATGAGGTTGCGGATTTTGCTCCTTTCCACTCCCGGACAATGTCCCTCATTAGCGGCATTGTGAATGTTGCGCCTGTGGAACCAGCTATAAATACCAAGCTGTCGAATTGTCTCAGGGGTCTGATAGTTGCATACGGACCATCGATAAGAACACTTCTCCCGGTGTTCGGTTTGCCTGTGGCAGTGGGGAGACCCGAGTAAGCCTTCTGTGCGTACTTGAAGAATCTCTTCGTTGCCCCTTTCTTAGCACGAACTACGAATTCCAGCTTTCCATCTTCCGGAAGACTAGCGATAGTGAAGGGGTGCGAAGAGAGGGGTGCAAGTGGGTGGCAGGTCAGGAACAGGTGTTGGCCAGCAGCCCATGTGATTGGGGGGTTCATAATGGTGATACGGGTGTGTGATTCATCAAGAGGCTCGAAAGTAGCCCTGCATGCCAGGAAACCAGTGCTGTTCTTGTGCAAGACCGAGAGATTCGCGTAGATGAGATAGATGGCTCGGATGAATCGATCAAAGGCCCAAAATGCAAGCGGTAGCCAAATCCAGATCCTGTTTTCTTCGGGAACGTGGAAATAGAGAGCAGTAAAGAAGCCCAGCCATGAGATAATGTGCTGAACGATGAAAAATTCGTATGAAAGTTTACGGATGGGTGCAACGGATGACAGTACAAGCCATAGCAAAATCGATCCGGCTGCTATGCCTCTCTGTGTGAGAGCATCGGTCTTGACCTTGACCCCTACGTAGTCATATTTTGCCCATTCTGAAAACCAAAACCCCATATGAATGAAGACTGTGAAAAGGAGGGCCCTCGCTACCCATCGATGGAGCCAGGCTAGACGCTCGTAGCCAACGCCGGTGAAAAAGCCGATGATGTTGCGTTTTCCGGCAAGTAAAACAATCAGTGGCATCTGACAAACAGCGATAAATCCTGATCGATAACCAATATCCTCCCACTGAAGGAAGTCTTTCGGGTCCAGTCTGTAGAACACACAGACTACAATCAACACCACGTAGCCCACCATCATTATAAGTGGCCCGACAGGAGGGAGGTAAAAGTGCCAATTGCGAAAGGATAGTGGGCTGGAATAGTAGCTGAACTCTCTGATAATCGCTGAGGCGGTAGCATGCGCCTGGAAGAAGAACGATCTCGGTTTGGCGGCGCCAGATACATTTCTCGACGATAATATCCGTTGATGGCAAAGAATCCTATTCAGAACGTTCGCTATCGTAGCTACTCCAATAGCCGTACCAACAAAGGCCCAGAATATCTGCTGCATGTAGAAGAGCCCCGGCACTCCAGGTGCCATGGTCATCATTCCGCCCATGGAATCCATTTTGATAGATCCTTTCCGGTAGTTCAGACGCTTCGAGCTGGCCTTTCGAATGGACAAGGATTTCTAAGAAGGCCTTTGGACAATTAGTTGACTACTACGGCTTGACAAGCCTGAATTCATGAAATGGCAGTCTGCAGTGATGTGAAATGCATTGAAATTAACGAGCAAGAGGAAAATGGCTATAGGAATTCGCAGATGGAGAAATGACAAATCTATATGAATGTTATAGTGGGCGCCAGGTCACCCACCGTCTGAATAACAGTCAAGCTTTACCTGACTGTACAATACGTCTTGCCAAGCCGCGATCCCCTCTGCGACTTGCAGAAGAGGAAGAGTAAGAGAAAGGGGCGCAAATCCGCGCACACCTGCCTCCATAGCAAGGTGCAACCCCCGTGAAGAATGTGAAGGAGAGACGAGCAAGTTTAGATGCATGGCGGGGTGGAGTGTGAGTGGGGTGGGGTGGGGTGGGATGCAAGGATCCGCAAACGGGAGTGGGAGGTTGTTACTTGTTTGGGGCAAGTAGCCAAGCCGCTTTACACAGACCATCTTTTATATTCAAGCATCACAGGTCATAATTAACCAGAACCCTTCAAATTAGTTATAGAATCATTTCCACGCTTTGAAGATATATATTGACGAATTCTAGAGACTCTTTCTCATACAGAGTGAAGGCAGGAAAATGTATTCTGATACGTGGAGCATGGATTAAGCTAAGTACTGCAAGCACGTGATTACGTACCCGATAAGGCAGCTTTAGATTTGAGCACATTTGCGCCAGTTCTTCATGTTCCGCAATCTTTACTGCCCCAAACGGTCAAACCATGCGCGTCCCTGCAAAAGAAAAGAAGGGAAGGTCCCCTCCTCCAAGAATGTACACGTTTCGGTCTGCAGCATTTGAGCCAAAAGTTGTTGCAATACCAGTATCCGATTCCACGGCTTCTCCCTCATATTCTCTCATCGCTTCTTTCACACTTCCTTTAAGATCTAGTCCGTCTGCTCTTACCACTGCTTGCTTATCATCACCCGCGAACAAGAACCAAACAGCATTACCTCCGCAACTTTAAAGCAGAGCCCTGAACCAATCAAGCCTTTTCAAAACCTATCACAAAATGGACGATATGGATATGTCTTCGTCCAACGATACCACCATGTCAATGTCCATGATGTCTATGACATTCTTCACCAGCACCTCGACGCCATTATACTCTGCCATGTGGGCTCCGACGAGCACTGGGCAGTACGCGGGAACCTGCATTTTCCTGATCGTCTTGGCAACTATTTTCCGAGGTCTGCTGGCTGTCAAGGCGTGGAAGGAAACGGCGTGGATGGATGCTGAATTCAACCGACGCTATGTGACGGTGGCTGGGAGAGAGTCCCTGCCCAAACGGATTTCTTCGGATTCCGATAGCAAAACAATGGTTCTAAGTGAGAACGGCGTTGAGGAGGACGTGGTGGTCGTCAAGAAGAGGAATATGGGTACTCGACCTTGGAGGATCACCACGGACCCTGTTCGCGCTGTGATGGATACTGTTATCGCTGGTGTTGGTTACCTATTGTATGTTTCCCCTCCTGTTTTTTCTTTGTCTGTGCTAACAATTTTCTAGGATGCTGGGAGTCATGACTATGAACGTTGGATACTTTTTGTCAATATTGGGAGGCACGTTTCTCGGAAGTCTGGCTCTTGGGCGGTATTCAATTCAAGAACAACACTAGAGTTGCATTTGTTTTGATGATTATGAGTGATGATTGGCGTTCGGACACACATTGAATCCCCCAGCCGGCCTAGGGGATCGAGTAGCAATGTTGACTATAATATGACAAGAAATAAACCAATAAACCATCACAATCTTCCACTGTGACCTTTATAATTCAGCATATATCTATTTGATGCTAGATTATATGAGTGGCTTTTCTGTTCGTTTTTTTATAAGGCTTCGTGAGCTGCTATAACAAATAACAAATACACTGAAGTAGACTTTATACAAAGCCACCAAATCCATGGTGTTTCCATGGTGCCTCTCTTGATTTTCCTCTATTGCCCGGCCCATTGAAGCCCTTCTGCGGGCATTGAAAAACATCGGCCGACCTTGCCTCGGCACGCTAGCAGGGTACGGAGGATCCAACCCTATTTACCCGCAGAATCTTGCTCAAATGCTCTCTCACTCCATCCCATCTCTTGGCGTCTATCAAGAGACCTTCTTTCCTTCAGGGCAGCTGCTGATACAATGTCAGGCTGCCACGCGGGAGCTATCAGCGACGGCGAATATCAAAACGTCCAAAGATCAAATTGAAAGTAACGCCGCTGAGCGCTATCTAGGTCCTTTCGGGATCCCCCTTCCAGTTACAGTCCAGCTGGAACCTCGGGCTCTAAGTAAGCTTAGTTTCAACCACGGCGACACCTTCGGTCGGTACGGGCGCTAAGTGGCATTTGGAAGTAAAGCTGGTGAAGAAGGATTTAACTTATGTAAGGCTCGTGGGGTGTTTCGGGTCCATACGTACATTTGCGCTTGGCCGGAACGAGAACCAGCCTGCTCAATACACAGGTTAAAGTTCCGAGCAATTGTGCTCCGTATGTTTCCAGAGACTTGTGTTATACAAGTACAAAGCAGAGACAATGAAGCTTGAGTCAATGATCAGAGACGGGCCGTCCCGACGTCGTGTTATGTACGAGTATAGTACTCAGTACCTACTTTGGAAATTCCCAAGTCACCAAAAGCTGATGTGAATTGGTTGCTCCCCTCCATTTGTATAATCGACTCTAATCTGCTCACATGGTGCTTGCTCTCTTCGCCAGGGACTGCTTGGCATCTTGGCAGTGCAGTTTCCATGACATTTATATAGTGTATCCCCTTTTGTAAGCAAGCAATTCCTACCCAGACAAGCTTGTGCGAATCATTTGTTCGTCCTACAGATATAATCTTCGTTGCTCTGTCGGTGATTTCAAGACCCCCATTCCTAGAAGAGAGCCTTTTCCTGCTTCTACAACTACAGCTCTTCAACTCCACAACTCTCCAGAATGAAGACCGCACTCTTTGCGCTGGCTGCGTTGGCGCCACTTGCTTCGGCACATTTCAAGCTCAACTACCCAGCTGCCCGTGGCTTTAACGAAGACAACCTTGCCCAATTCCCATGCGGCTCCTTTGATACGCCTTCCAGCAATCGTACTGTATGGCCAGTCTCAAATGGCTCCATCGGTCTAGAGATGGGGTATGCTAAGCTCCCCAACCCCCAATAAAGAAAACCCGGCATGCTAACCAAGTCACCTATGCAGACACATCGATGCCAACGTCGAAGTCTTGATCGGATTCGGCAACAACCCCGGCTCAGCCTTCAACACCGTCCTTCGAAAGACCTTCACGGAGCAAGGCTTGGGCGCTTTCTGCATGACGAGCTTCTCCCTCCCCGAAGGAGTAAATGTCACTGATGGCACCAATGCCACCATTCAAGTCTTGACCAACGGTGATCCCGATGGCGGACTTTACAACTGTGCCGATATCACATTCTCGACCTCAGCACCTGACCCCGACGCTGGTGTATGTACGAATGGAACGGGCGTCAAGACAATCGCAGCCACGTCCACTCAACAACCAAACGAGACGACGGATGCATCGACTTCAACCTCCGCTTCGGCTTCGGCGTCGGGAAGCAAGAGTGCGGCGGTTTCGGCGCTGAATGCTGGGATTGGCGGCTTGGCTATGGCTGGTGCGGCAGCTTTGGCAATTGTATTGTGAATAGAGAGCGTAGCATGAACGGTACATCATTTCTAGGCATAAGGAAATATGGGCAACTGGTACGGAGTATAAAAATGCAAATCATAATTCCCATCAACATTGAGGTATTCTTGGCTTGTTTTAAGGACTACTTACTACTAAGCCGAAATCGCAGAATGCAAGCTTTGAACCCCGAAATAACTTCAACGAAATACTAGCCAAGACTACCTGGAGGAAAATATGGGTACCGTATGTCACGTGATAAATCACGTGGAAGGGTGATTTCAAAGATATTTGCAACCCCGTCATCTTCTACTCCGCATCTTACAGTATAACAATATACACCTCCCAACGCCAAACCCAACAAGTATATCCTCTATGGATTATACTGTGCCATTTCATTGCACTCTTCCTGTGGAATATCATTCTCAACATGATTCCAATACGCTTGATTCTTGGGGTTGCTCATCCCATTACCCCTCAACAGCTTCTGCTCATATTCCTCCTTGCTCTTGACAGAATAGTGGTGTAGTGCAATACGATCTCTAGTTACCGGGCTTCGCCAGGCGATACTGTCGATTACGTCTCCGTTCTCTCCAACTGTCATGGCGCCATCTTTGAGGTTAAACTTGTGCGGGTTTAGGCACGAATCAAAGAGGGACATCTTCACGATCGATTTGATGTGGTGATTGTCATCTGTCCCGCCGTATAACTCTTTGGGGGTATCGACTAGACAGGTTGTGAAGGCTTTTCGGCACGATTCCGGCCGCTTCAAGAGCCCTTGGGATGTATGTGTCTTCCAGTTCACCCCCAGGGCGCCTACCCGATCATCCGAGTCGAAGCTTTTGAGGACATCATTTACTGTTTCTTTCTTGGACGTGGCTTCGAGGAATTCGTCCACATCGATGAATGCCATCCAGGTATGGTTTGTGCCGTGCCATTCGGCACACTGGGCATAAAACGCGGCTTGCATTCTGTGAACGCGGGTCGCACGGTCCTGGAAGTGGAAGGTAATGGCGGGCCTTGGAATGCCCCAGTCTATGTCGCGGCTTGAGAGTGGAGGATCGGAGCCGTCGTCCATGACGTAGAAGCGTCTGACTCCAATGTGGTGGTAGTGGTGAGTGAACCATTCCGGGAGATCTCGAGTCTGGTCCTTTACGGAGAGGCAAATCGCTAGGTATTCATCCTCTGCATTTCCTGTCGCCGCTGAAGCTGAAGCCGCTGCCACAGCTACACTTGTTGTTAGGTCTGTCGCTCCCGAGTTCGCTTCATGATGGTTCTGCTTCTTCGAACCTTCCGCGTTTGTTGGCGATCCTTTCGTCTCTTCTATTGTACTAGGAGCGTTTTCTTTGGTTGCTGTTGAGTCGTGCAAGTCGTCGAAGTTTCCATGCTTTGGTTTCGACGACGAATGCGACTGAGGAAGCTTCTCTTTGAGCGTTTGAAACTCGTTACTGTATAGAACGAAGTGTGATGTCATCAAGAACATAACCAGAAGGATGATGAACCGCCAGTTGATACACGACACCATAGAAGTCTTGGACCCCATGTTATCGGCTTCGAGACTTAAGATAGGAATGAAGGTTTTGCAAAGGAATGAAGCTCTTGCAAAGGAATGAAGCTTTTACAAAGGGATGAAAATAAAGAACAATCATCCAGAAATACCTCCTCAAAGTTCTATTACTAGGGAGGGGTATGCCGCAGCGATCCTGAGTCCAATTAGACCCATAGCGATAGAGGCATAATCATTCGATCCCTGATTTTGTCTTCTCTTATTATGAGATGTGATTTACGGGCTTGCGTGTCACCTCTAATTCTTCTCGAGTATATACACAGATTAGGCTTAGAGTAAACCCACAATGTTGTGCAGGAAACTCGCGATTCGTAATTCAGATCCACCAGTCCCTACTCCGTAAGTAGGTAAACATGTCGACACATCTCGTATCTACTAGCCACTCAAGGGATGTCGAATTTATACTCGTAAATCTATGTCTCCAATGATAACGGTAACAAACGATGGCTCAGCCCTCATGCTCTACGCAAGGGACGTGTTGCTGTTATCTGGGAGAAGCAAGGGCCTCAGGCATTTCAGACGTACAGTACGAAGTACAAGCATGTCTAGATCTAAAGTTGATCGATCAGAAAGCTTAAGATACGAGGTCCCGAATTCGCGTCGCCTGTGGTGCCGACAGATAATTAATCCCTGTGGAGATCTTTGAAACAGGCAACATAAACCTTGGGGGCTCAGACATCTATCATCTATGGAGGTAAATTTAGGAGCAACGCGTATTAAATTGGATCGGACGCGTATATTCAGGTGAGCTCTGATAGCGATAAAAAGGCTTATTTGCCCTTGCAGTATTCTGACCAATCGAAGACAAGAGCGTAAGCAAGGAGTAAAACTACTCGGGTTCGGGCCAGACCTTCTTAGCCTTACGGAGGCGTAAGGCTAAGAAGGTACCTTGGTCTAGCAAGGTTCAAGTACTCGTATCTGATGTGCTTCTGGAATAAGCCGGTATTCAAAGCTTAGCATCCGTCGCTGTAGAAAAGAAAAATAACTCTTCCTTTTTACTTCGTCCCAGGCGTATCTATTGTGCCAAGAATTCTATAGCAGGGGGGTAAAGAACAGTGGTAAACGCACCAAAGCAAGGCCCCCTTGCCCTGGTCTTTTTGGCACAATAGATACGCCTGGGACGAAGTAGCTCGCTGTGTGTCTTTCCTTGTATGGGAAAAGAGCGACCAATATAAAGAGCCTCCCAGCTGGGGCTTGAGTGTGGCTGACTGTGGTATTGCAAAGTCTCAAAGTATGTCTTGAAATTGTTGTGGCACGAGTCTTGCTCGTTCCTTCCGCCATCTCTATTGAAGATCTCGGCATTGGAATGTCAATTGGAATGTCAATTCATCTCTACATTCACAAGTTTCTGCTCCAAAAATGACCCTCTCGACATCTTCACTCCTCCTTATTGTGTATGTCAGTTGTGAGACGACCAGAGCAAACTATGCCTACCATGCTTTTCACAACTTCCCCCAAATCTCAGCCTCCTTGATAGCGTTGCTCTCGGGGGTACTCAAGCTGGCAATCGCCATAATCTTTCTCCTCCGATCCGACAATGGGATCACGATCTCGAGTTTCCACAAGTTCATACAGACGGTGCAGCAAGGGCAGTCCGATTTTAGAAGGATGCTCAGATATGCCATTCCAGCTGCGCTGTACCTTATTAACAATCTGATTTACTATACGGTGCTTCCGAAAACTTCACCCGGCCTCCTACAAGTCTGCGTCCTCGCCAAGCTACCGACAACGGGAATTCTCCATCACTATATGATCAAGCCACAGAAAAACGTTCACGCCTGGATTTCGCTGTTATTCTTGTGCATTGGCCTGGTCATCTTCAATGTTCCTTCCAAGACGGATGAACATAAGTCGATTGCTGAGGCGGGGTCAGCCTGGTACCTTGCCCCACTCGCCGGCTTTGCCATAGCCTGCTTCTCTGCACTGGCGAGCATTAGTGCCGAAACGTCTACCAAAACGGGGGACTTCTGGGAATCCCAAGCTTACCTTTACGTCTGGGGCATCGTATTCGCAATCATAGCATATCCCCTAATACCTTCAAGTGGGACGGAACCTGGTGAGAGAAGTCAAGGTTCTGTCCTATCTGGTGAGGGAATGTCAATCATAGGTCTGGTGGTCATCACATCAGGCATGGGACTTGTGGTAGCAGTGGTGCTTCGGGCGCGAGACAACATTTTGAAGATGATTGGGACCGCTGCTTCTCTCGTCACCGTTTCAGCTAGTCAATATATTTTGTTCCCAGAGCTTCGGTCATCCACATTCACGACATGGCGAGTGTGCGGAGGAGGTATTGTAGTGATAAGCACATGGTGCTACAATCACTACAGTCAAATTCCATGGCCGCCGAAGGACAGCAAGGAGTTCGCCGACGAACAAGTCCCAGAAACTGAGTTCCTGTTGATCGAAGAATCCTCATCGCAGGAAAAAGAAGCCATCACGAATGATCTTACAGCTGAAACTTCCACCAAGGGCGATCTTCTCCAACCAGATTCTACAAAGATACTGGCTTGTGCTATAGTGATAGCTTTCGCCACGATGGAGGTCGCGTTATCTAAGTCGTGAAGGATACGTGTTGAGCAAGTGTTGCTGCATCTACTTCAGTACGACATGGAAATGTGCGTGGAGTCATCAATCATGGAGCATTTGATGTGATGATGGCAGAACATTTTGAAATTCTAATAAAACCTTTGAAAACTTTTGAAAACTTTTCAACAAGTACATTAAAACGTGTGTCCATTCTTCTATCAAAAACCGACCTCAAGGAAACGCCTCCATGATATCAGTCCCATCCACTACCATCAATTTCGTATTGAGACTTCCCTTCACGGTATTAGGTTCCGAATATCCCCGGTCCAGACCTGATTTTGAACTTCCTGGGAAGATGGAAGTTTCGAAGAAGTCATCGGTATCGTCGACTGTCCTCGCATAAGCAATCAACGAAGAGAAGGAAGACGTAATAATCCCGATCCAAAACTGCGCTCCAACCAAGACCTGGTATTCCACAATGCCTTTCTGGTCGAATCCTAAAGCTTCGACTCTAGCAAGAGTTTCATTCTGCTTAGCTAGCAGTGTCCATTTGTCATGAACCACAAAGCCTAGTGGTACCAGCATTTCCCGAAATGCCCGGATTGCAGTAGAATCTCCACAGCTGACGTATACAGCCTTGATTTCATAAGAGACACTGGCTTTAATCTTTTGAATCTCGGCGACGTAGGCCTCCATCTGGGTTTGGACTGTACCAAATCCTCCTGGCCAATCGTTCTCTCCTCGAAGATGAACACCGATAAACGCGCCTTGATGAAGCTCGTCGCTCTTCAGAATCTGATCGCCCAAGTCAAGAAGATCGCGATTGAACTTGAGGACTTTGAAAAGTGCTTTGCGGATTGTGGATAGTTCGGCAGCAACCATGTAGTTGAATCCAATGTATGTATCTCCAAAAGAGACAACGGCCGGTGATGAAGGAGTGATATCAGCGAAAGTCATGTTATCTTGCTCCAACGTATACCTCACCAGCTCCCGAAACGTGGTGTTGCTGTGAGCGGCTTCCTTGTATAGCCTGAATTTCGGTTCGATGACTTTGGTGATTCCACTTCTGTCGTCACATTGTCGGATTTGAAGTTGTGGGCACTGTTCTGCTAATGCTTCTTGCATGTATCCCATATTCCAGAAGAAATCTGCACAGACTGTCTTGTCATTCGTGTTCACCAAGTCATTTTCGTCCCTAGTCGTTGCCGAGGGAATGATCATGCCGGCGCCAGTATCAATTGCCAGTCGAAGACATGTCTGCACCCTGTTCCTAGCATTGTTGAGCCCGCCACACATCGAAGTACTATTGTCACCACAGTTACTATGGCATTGAACCCATAATCCATCAGTCCAGTTGGTTTCCTTGCACAGGTGGAGTAGGCCATCGAAGGCATCACTAGAATCTGGATCTAATGGATCGGGCGCAGGAGTTGCGCTAAAGGCGTTTGCGCTGGGTGTGGATACATCAGAAGGGAGGCTTCCGGGGGTTGTAGGGGATGCATGATGTGTATTATCGTCAGTAATTTTGAAGATTTCGCTTTCCTGGATTGCGTGGAATGACTCGGGAATGCGACGGCCATGAAAGTACACAAGATATACAACAAGAGCGGCTACGACGGACACAACGAGGGTTCGTTGCTGGCCGAGCATTGTATATAGTAATCCAATGTAGCTTTGATTTGTTCAAATATACTCTGGAGCGTTGATGATAGGACCTCCATCCCGATAGGGCTAGCTAGACACTGTCAGCTTCGACATGCAAACCAATACCAGATATACTTCGTGGCTTTTGGTGCTAAGGGATGTCAGATCTGACAATAGCCCTCCGACGAACCCCCCTTGCATGATGAAGCTAATGATAACTATACGCGTTTACGCGCCACCTCAGCCCATGCGACCGCCATGATGACGCGGCAGGGAACCGCTGTGCTGCCCGACCCAAGTACTACCGAGAAGGTGATATGGACTCTAGAGGGTTATGTAGTTGTAAAGTAATAGTATTACAGAAAGATGAAGAGAAAGCTAGCTACGACTATGAAGGCGAAGGCGCTCTGGAGGGGTCGGACCGCCTGATTTGGGGAGCCAGCGGCGCTAGCGACACTAGCTCTGTAGTCACGTGTACTGCCACCTTGTTACAACTACCGATTCTTGAAGGTTCAGAAACAATACCTACGACAGCGTAAGGAGAAACGACGAAACAACAATGGGATAACTTGACACTAATACGATTTGAGGTCTGACATCCATATAATGACAATAAGAGCCAAGAACTGTGATGTCTTATGCGGTAGTCACCATTGGTGCGCACACGAGCAAAATGGGACACCAAATATACGCGAATAAAGACATATTTGACGAATTGAACCTCTTCTTAAGGACTTCTTGGAAACTGCCTTTGTCTACTGAGTACCTAGGGTGGGTATATCATGATCCTTTGAGCTTATTCACGGCACTTGGGTGGTCCTCACACCCCTATCTCAGCTCGGCTATTTTCATGGCTGATCTCGCGTTGCCAGATCCGCGTTCTTCGATTGGATCGCGTTGTAACTTTGCTCAGGAATTATCTTCGCGATGTACAGAATTCGAAGACACGGGGTCTTGTGTGAGTTTCACTTATGACTTGCACATCATTCCGGTCTAGTGGCAGGAATGTAAGGAATGTGAAATGCTATTTTTCATTTATAAACTTCAACCAAGTCTCCGCTTACGATGCAGCAGCAGCTGCAAACCGCTCGCCCATCTCATAAATTGACTGCCAGATGAATTCTTTAAGCAACAAAATGAATACAGCATGGCTGAATCGAAATGCAGTTCCATCATCCGCAAAATATGACATGTTGCCTGTTACTGAAGACCAAGAAATCACACGCGGTGCAGCATCACTTTCTCGATGCAGTGACGTTGATTCATCAGCCAGCCCTGAAGTCGAATTCAAAGATTCCCCCACAAGCCGGCCATGGCTCGACTTTCAGTTGCCGACATGGGGGAGTTCCTTTACTTCGTCCGGCACTCCATCAGAGGAACCAGTAAGGTCTTCTCGCAGACTGCACTCGACATCATGGCTCGATGGACTGCGTGGGGTTGCTTCCCTACTGGTTGTATTTCATCACACTTTCTGGCTTTGGTACCCTAAGCTCAGCGAGGGCTGGGGCAGCAATCCAGACAACTACTGGTTGATCCAGCTACCCTTCATACGAATCTTCTATGCCGCGGGGAGTTCTATGGTTGCAATATTCTTCGTCGTATCCGGCTTTTCACTGAGCTACAAACCTCTTAGCCTTATTCGAACCGGTCGCTCTCCCGAATTGCTGGGTTCTTTGAGTTCCTCGGTTTTTCGCCGTCAGTTGAGACTGGTGCTTCCTCCTGCTGCAATTACTTTCGTTTCGATGCTTGTGACCCATGCAGGCTGGTATGGAACAGGGGAAGCCTCGCGTCAGCCTATCCGTCTCGACTCCCTGGCAGCAAATGTGTTCCTTTGGATGCAGAGCGTGGTAGAACTTGCAGACCCTTTCCGTGCCATCATACATCCCGGGGACTACGAACCTACGTACGATATTAACTTATGGACTATACCGGTTGAGATACATGGATCTATGGTTATCTTCATCACTCTGCTTGGCATCTCGAAGTTGCATGCGTCGGTTAGACTTGCAGTGCTTGTCTCCATCGTTGTGTTCCTCTTTGCCAACGGATATACCCATCTGTTTCTCTTCCTCAGCGGCGTACTTCTGGCAGAGTTACACTACATTCGCGAGGAACGAACAAGCGGGGTACAAATCCCAGCTTCGCAACAGCGAGACACTGCAGATTTGGCGCGAGCGCCAACACCACAACTCAAACACGAGCAGCAATGCTCGAAAGGAATGAAGTTATTCTGGAACCTCAACTTCCTACTCGCAATATTCGTGTGCTGTATGCCCTCTCGTATTCACGGCTCCGGAACATCCCCGGGGTACATAACTTTGTTCTCCTTGGTCCCCGCATCCCACCTGAAGCCGTATATCGAAGATGAGTTTTGGATTTTCCTCGCCGCCTCCCACCTAGTCTTCACAATTGACAATGCGAAATTCCTTCAGTTTATGTTCACGAATCGCTTCTCGCAGTATCTAGGCGAGATATCCTTCGCGTTGTACATCATACAAGGAACTTTCTTGTACTCTCTTGGGTGGAATTTATCGGCGAGGGCTTTGGATTGGACGGGCAGAGACCCTGGGTTTCAATATGCGTCGGGAATATTTCTTACGTGCTTAGTTATGTATCCGCTCTTGTTCTGGACTGCGGATATTGTGGCACGGCACGTAGATGCAAGGAGTGTGAGGTCTGCTAGGTGGCTCTGGCTTAAAACTACCATTGCTACATAGGGGGTTCTGAGAACTTCATCATGGAATAATCAACAAATATAATTAGATAATTTTCTTCAGGTGACTATGATTAAACTAATATGGATCTGTAACCGTGCGTCTCCAGGGTCTAATTACCCATTTATACGCTCGGTCGTCGCAAGTCTGTACTCTGGGCACCATTCGTCAAGACTAAACATGTGGTTTTGGATGAACCTTGTTGGTTGACTACAATACTGTCAGCACCCGGATAACTTCACTTGAGAGATGTTAGGCTTACTGCAGTCCTAGTGGATTGGGATAATCAATCGTTTCCACGGCAAACGTTCTTGCGATTTCCGCCGACGGCAACTTGATGCCATCCTCGACCCCTTCCTCGATCTCCCGATCTTCAAGATCCCTCATCCTGTGTATAATCAGCTCGCGTCCTTGATAGCCTAAGTTAGTAGATAGACCTACCTTGCGTAAAACCACTGATCCTCCGGATGAGGATTTGGGTTCTTCACCCATTCCCATTCCTCCAACACTCTCAAAATGGTACTTCGTCTCCTCAAACTCAGACCCCCATTGTAGCCAATTCCCCACACCGGATGAATAGGAGCCCCGATCAGATGGTACTCGAAAAAGTCCTCGACCTTCCGGACCGAAGCTCCGCACAGAATGCTGTCCGTCTGAAATAAGAGGATGTGTTCTGCCGGAGCCAGGTCCTTCCACAGCCAATCCGTAGTCAGGAAATCCGACACCGAGTTCCAGTTGGGGAAAAAGACACCTTCGGCGAGTGGACGAACGACAATACGTCCGCTGCGTTGATGGCGAAGCAGGGCGGCGGACGTGCTAAAGGAGCCAAAGTTCTCGGCGGACGTGTATATGATGAGCGGCCACTCGTTACCAAGCACGGCACTAAAGTGCAGCACCAGAGGCACGATGCCAGCGGATGGGCGGGTCTCGATAACGACGGCAGCTTTTATGCTGGTGCTGACATTGACGGTCATATGCTCCTCGCTGAGGTTCGGATCTGTTTTATCGCGCGTGTGGTTTTTCAGAGAGTTGTAGGCATGGAATGGGGACGAGAAAATCGTGTAGTTTGTGGTATTCCCCAGGGCTGCTGACAAGGAGGAGAAATTGAACCTGCTGCTACCAGCTGGACTGAGGACGGCTTTGAAGAAACAGCCTACGAGGATCAGCCAGAGGACTGGATAAATCCATTTCCGCCATTGTGCTGCCATACTCATCTGAATAGATGGCGCTGAGTCTTGTGATTCCCATCTTAAGTTGAGCTGTTGATGCTTCCCTTGGGGAAATCTGATACATTGATCTTCGTGGATTACCTAAGTTGGAATGTGGGAGACTATTCTGAGACATGCGTCGGGGCACAATTCCTGGCTGTCTGGAATGGGAGACATGTCATTAAAATATGGCACCGATATGCAGGGAGATTTGAGATAACAAGAAGAAGAAAAGCACCATGCATGAAAGTAGGGAGGCTAGTATTGCAGATGCCAACCATTGATTCTTACTATAACGTTGCATCAATTCAAAATCCTCCTTCACTTCAGACGCCCAAGCCCGTTTCCCCTCTTTCTCGTCACCGGCGTCTTATAATCTGGACGCTTTGTCAAAGCAACACACTCTTGTGTATACTCTAGAGAGATAACGTCCTTGCTAATGGGAGATTTATCAGGAATCCCATCCGCCCTATTAATATCATCCAGCATATCCTTCAAATCTCCCAACATGGTATCGGGTTTCTCATAACCCCCCCCAAACCCGGGAAGATAGCTGGTGGCAAGATCCTCGATGAAGTACACCCCGCCCGGCTTCACATGAGGCCAGAGAACACTCAACGACGTCCGTTGCTGATCCATGGTGTGACCCCCATCATCGATGATAACGTCGAAATCCCCTCCAGCCTCCACGATGAACTGTTGCATGAACGGAACACTGGCCTGGTCGCCGGTGAAAATGGTGGCATCTTGGGTCACGTTGGCCCATTTCTCCACACACGCGGCGTCGTGTTCGATGTAGTAGAGGTCGACGTTGCTGAAATAGTCAAGCCACTAGATCACGGGGGAGTTAGTCATTTCCTATGCACGACGGTTTCGGGAGTACAGGGAGCTTATATTTCCAGTTTGGGAGATTTATAGGAGGAGTTAGAGCACATGAGATGAGACATAGTAAAGGGGGGGCAGGGTAGAGTCAAAGAGCCACATCCTTACGGTGTAGTAAGATGCTCCCGGACCGTAATCCATGTTGCAGCCGAGACCAATCTCCAACATCTTGGTCTTCTTGTCACGGAATGGCGCAAGGCGGTGTTCGTACATCTGCTCGTAGTGATGTGACTGGACCTTGTCCGTTCCATGGCTGTCGGCTATCTCGTAGAACGTTGGTCGGACTGCGAGTGGAAGTTTCCTATATACAATAGCTACAGTCAGTTTGGCTGCGCTTTTGTTCGTGCGCCGCGTGATCGATATATGCAACACACAAAGTGTCTCTTACCCTTTGATATAGTTCATTGGCAGTTGTGGGAGATTGTCCCGCCCATGCCAGAGTGTTGTGAGGAATATCAGGACAATGACAGCGAGTGCGATTGGGAAACGACTGATTCGTGGTGTCGACATGTTGAGATAGCAGGTTCTTAGTCAAGAAACCCAGAAATCATACTCGTATCTCAAGAAAATGAATGCTTTTGAGGCAAGAAGATGACATTGTAAAGGAGTTTGTAAAGCAGTCTCCTTATTGTTCATTCCAAAGATTCACTATCTGCATACCTAGAACCTAAATTTTCTGGTGTGGAAAATTGTATCCACCATCCCTAACTAGTTTTCCTTGCCTGAGGAAACTTGACATAGATAGGAAGTATAAATGAACCCCGAACATTAAGTCAGTTTGAAGTTCTGGGCTTGCTAGAGGCCCCGGAGGCTGTACCTTAAGCTGTACCCGATACCGTACTATCTCACCACACCACCAAGCCATTTTTTTACACGGTCTCGTTTAAACACCAACTAAGGGAGGCATCTGATTAGTCCACATAGTAAGGAGTAAGTTAAATGAGGACCTTACACCCTAGCATTCTCCCGCAAATATGGCAAAACACCCTACCCAATCGTCCAATACCATACATAGCCTTAAGCGAGACTGTGTAGCTTGGTGGTGAGATAGTACGGTATGGTTGCCCTTGCCTCTAAGAATAATATTTGAAACAGATAGCTGACCAGATGAGGTATGCAGGGAAGCCTCTAACATCATCTGGCATGATTTCCAAGGCTTTTGACTCAGCCGCGTCTGTAGGTAAATCTGTAGATCTCATTTTATGCGCGACTCCTGTAAAAGAGCTACTCCTAAGAAGCGACTTTCACGATAGCTGCAGAGGTAGGCAAAATATGACTGCCAGCATTCCCGCACTGTATGAAATGTGATATGTTCGAGGTTTCCGGGAGACGCGGTTGAGTAAGTGTCCATAGCAAGATTTTGCAATAGAACTCCCATTGAGCCTCAAAATTCATTGATCTGGTCCCCCTTCGTTATTCAGCAAATATCTGTACAGCATGGCATTTTATGAGTATAATGTTCTGGTTCTCGTTGTAGTAGTTGCAGGCACAGCATACCTCCAACATAGACGCGGTAGCAAAGCAGCGGTGTCGAGAAGTCGAGGTCAAGATGGCGAGGCGACCAGAGCGGCGATTACTGCTGGGGATGCTGTGATATGGCAGTTCAAGAAGAAATTCTTGCCTGTGTACTTGCTGGCTTTTGGTTCGGATTGGTTGCAAGTGTGTTGTCCTGGAGTAAGTGAAGGGTGCCGTGGATTTGACTGACTGGAAATCCAGGGACCATATATCTATACCATGTATAAAGGTGAGAGAAAATACATGGAACTGTGGCAACGAAGGCTGGCTCTGCTGACTTGTATCAAAAGATGAGAAAGGGCTGCCCGAAGAGACTGTAGCCTACTTGTTCGCCACAGGTTTCCTCGCCGCCGCAATCTCCGCATCGTTCGTCGGATCACTGGCCGATCGATACGGACGGCGATCAGCCTCTCTGTTCTTCTGCGTAGCCTACGCCTTATCATGCTTCACGGTTCTCTTCGACTCGATATTCACCCTCTTTGCTGGTCGAATTCTTGGCGGTTTGTCCACGACATTGTTGTGGAGCGTGATTGAAAGCTGGATGGTAACGGAGTTCCATCGCCAGCACCTTGAAGAAGCTGGGTCCCTGAGCGACATCTTTGGAATCATGACTACCTTGAATGGGGCTGTCGCAATCCTGGCCGGGTTGTTTGCTCAGACCATAGCAGATGTCACCAAGACCCAAGCAGCGCCATTCATGGCTGCTGTTGTGCTTCTGATTCTGGCTTTTGGATTCATCTCAAGCAGATGGGTAACTAACCCACCTGACTTGATGCTCACGAAAGCTGATTTTTTGGTAGAGTGAGAACTATGGAGATAGCCATAAATCCAACGTTGACGGACTCTTGCCAGGGAGTGAGGAGAAAGAAAAGAACGGTTTGCAATATATCTTGCAAGGTAGAAAATCAAGTGAGTTCTTCGAAGATATCACTGACTGTTTTGGTCCAGATAAACACCTCTGGGCTCTCTGCATAACCTCATCCTGTTTCGAAGGCGTTATGTACCTGTGGATCTTCTTCAAATTCGCAGCCTTGAAACTGTCCCACGAGGCAGCAGGCAAAGGAAGCGAACTGCCATTTGGGACGATATTTGCAGCATTGATGTGTGCCATGATGCTCGGCTCCCTCTCCTTCACCTACTACTCATCCCTGGCTACTTCTCGATGGGTGGTATCACCCTCAAGATTGCTCACAATAACGCTCTTCGTTGCTAGTGCGTGTTTCATCTTGCCTGTTCTCGTCCACGACGAAGCTGTTACCTTTTGGTGCTTCTGTGTTTTTGAGATCTGCTGTGGCATATACTTTCCAAGCATTGCTCGATTGAAAGAGCAGATTGTGGAGGATGGTGTGAGGGCAAAGATATATGGCATACTGAGGATCCCACTGAATATCTTTGTGGTGTTGGGTCTGATGTTGACAAAAGCTGGCAAGTTACGCCCCGACCCTCCATCACTGGAGCCAAGTCATCATGAGACCTTCCCTTCCCATACATAGACCGTTGCCCATTCATGGCAAAGAGCTAATATCACCACAGGGCTACGCCACCGAGAAAACGTGTTTATCATCTGCAGCGGAGCACTAGCAGCCGCAGCCGCAGCCCTGGGAGCATTCGTAGCAGAATAAAACGCTATAACTGCATAAACAAGCTCATCTAGTACTGCAGAAGTGACACCTTGATGTCTGACGTGCGTGGGCTTTGAAATCAGGACGCTTAGCGACATGAAGGGATTCAACGCTTTGCAGGGGTAACGACAACATGATTGGGGAATATGGGACTTTTCGATAGCAGATTAGAGTCTTGACCACTGTAGTCTACTCAGCCTCCACAGGAAGCAAATATAAAACCATCCGGGTAAGTCAATTGAGAAGCTGTTAGTCGTGGAGGAGTCACTGGAGCGTGCTTAGCGTCACCATCAAGGTGTTTGGTTTCAACCCCCCACTTTGATCCCACTATCTCGAGTAAGAGTCTATCGTTCCGGTTCCGTGGTACCATGCCCAAGATTAAACTTGTACCTTTTTTGATACTTAGTCTGCAAAGAAGGTAGGAATCAGGATTTGAGTTTCCTTCGCTATAAGAAGTCAGTCCAATCCGTCTTGGCATATAACTCTCCCCTCCTCCCCTCTAAGCTCAAAACCCATTCATTCCAGGAACAGACAACTCAGCAACTTCAATATAAACATGTCTGCCGACTTGGATCCGGCGAGTGTCAACCTAGACACCGCAGACCCAGCACAGATCATCTGTTACCTGAACAAAGGCGGTAACGACTACAACGGCCAACTCGGCGCACGTGTCTCCGCCATCTTCGTAATCCTCCTCGTCTCCTCCGCCGCCACCTTCTTCCCCGTCCTTGCAGCAAGGGTGAAATGGCTTAGGGTAAACATCTACGTATACCTCTTTGCGCGATACTTCGGGGCCGGAGTAATAGTTGCAACAGCCTTCATCCAGTAAGTACAGTACTAGTACTCCAACCAGCTTAACTTATCCAAGAGCAAAAGCAAAAGCAAAAGCAAAAGCAAAAACAAAAACTAACAAAAGAACAGTCTCCTCGACCCAGCATACTCTGAAATCGGCCCCCAGACATGCGTAGGCATGACAGGCCACTGGGCAGACTACGCCTGGTGCCCCGCCATAGTCCTAACATCCATCATGCTGATCTTCCTGCTCGACTTCGGCGCCGAGCGCTGGGTGGAGTCGAAATACGGCTTTTCGCACAGTGAGAGCATCGAGGATATCATTACCGACAAGCCCGGCCCCAAACACAGCCGCTCGCTTACGCATCACCAGCTGCATTCTGGGGATCAGGATGAGAATATGCATGATGCTATTGCGGCGGCTCAGGACGCGAGGCATGTGCCGTTGGGTAAGAATGATGGATCTGGATCTGGGTCTGGGTCTGGGTCTGGAACTTCGGATTTAGAGGATCAAAGACTGTCTGTGGTGGAGCAGGAAGAGCAGTCTTTTAGACAGCAGATCGCAGCATTTCTAATCCTGGAATTCGGCGTCATCTTCCATAGCGTAATCATCGGGTTGAATCTCGGGACCACGGGCGCCGAATTCGCTACTCTGTACCCGGTGCTTGTCTTCCACCAGTCCTTTGAGGGTCTAGGCATCGGTGCGAGGATGTCTGCTATTCCGTTCCCCAAGAGGCTGGGCTGGCTGCCGTGGTTTCTGTGTGCGGGGTATGGCCTTACGACGCCGGTTGCCATTGCGATTGGGTTGGGACTGAGGAATACTTATGATGCGGGGAGCACGACGGCGAATATTGTGTCTGGTGTGCTTGATGCGACGAGTGCGGGGATTTTGATATACACGGGGTTGGTGGAGTTGCTGGCGAGAGATTTCTTGTTCAATCCTGAGTTGACGAGGGATTCGAGGAGACTGGTGTTCATGGTGGTCTGTTTGTATCTTGGGGGTGGCTATAATGGCATTGTTGGGGAAGTGGGCGTAGAGAGGTAATTGAGTGGCTGGAGGATGTTAGGGGGGAGAGTTTTGGTGGGGGGGAAGGGGGGAGGATTTGAGTACATACCCGGGACGTTGGTTTAGTTTAGTTTAGTAGTGTTTAATGCCGGGGGAGAGAAGCCATATAGGCTTCCTCCAAGCCTCCCAGGGGGCATTAGGGCGTGACTAGCTAGGTAATTTATAAGTGTATACACTAAACCTAGAAGCCAAAATTCAGTCATAAAGAGCGCTAGCCATACTGGTTCACAGGCTATCCAATAATCCTTAAATCCCTCCGCCGGTTGAGAGATCTTATAGAAAAGAAGTACTGCAGGCCCTATAAAGGTAGGAGCAGGTGTTTTAATATCTCTTAGGTAGAGCGTATGCGTAGCTTGTCGTATAGCTAGAAGGGGGGAAACGCTATAGATAAGTTAGGTATCCAAATAATGCGTCCAGTTCTCTTTCCTCCCTGCCAGCTAATATTAAGGCCTTCCATATCCCCTCCTTCCTTCCCCTCCCACCCCTCCTCCCTTCCTTACTTCCTTCCCCTACTGCTACTCGTAGAACCCCTCCTACGCGCCCGTATAACCCCCTCTATATCCGCAAGCAAATCCAGTCTCTAACTTGTAGAACGCTCCACCTTTCCTCCTTCCGGGTATATGTAATCAGCTTCACTCTTAAAGGAGGTTCACAATGTCTCTATAGAATGCGACTTAGGACATGATTGCTAGGTGGCAGTTCCTGTAATAGCCTACGCGTTTTGAGCCTCTAAGTCTTCCGCCCTGTATCTGCAAGTGGGTATATTATTTGTGTATGCGGCCTTATAGTTAAGGGCTCTATGTCGTATTCGTAGAGGTAGGTAGGTAGGCAGGTAGGTAGGTTAGTAGGTAGGTAGGTCGTTAAAGGACAGGTGGCCGAATGCGTTCTCTCTTCAGCTTAGACGAATGCATGTTGAAGCATCGCCAGTTCGTAGCCAGCGCCGCGTACAGGCAGAGAGATCCGTCTTCGCTGGCCCCCGGGACGTTGGTGATTGAGCATATGTTTGCATAAACCGAATATACCAGAACGTTGGATTGAGGAAGTTGTCTTCATGCAACAGTGATACAGTACAAATGACACATGATTTAGGCGCTCACCGGATACAATGCAGACAGCGAGCAGCCCTTTGTTCAGAACTGTTTATACTCTATGGAACTAGCCTAGCTAGAAATGCATCAATAGAAGTATACAGAAAGTGGTAGTGAATACAAAGCTGAGCAAAAAACCACAACATCTCTATCCACAACGCTCCAAATCCCCAACATCACTTGTCTAGAGTATATCTAGAGTGCACCTGCACCATTCTTCTCATCGATATGACGGTACCTCTCCTTCTCCTTTCGGCTCTTGAGTAACATGGTTGTGGAGAGGACAAGAGCGACATCGATACCCACGATACCAAATGCACCCGTGAAGACCAGATCCAAGAAGTTATTGGCATACCTTGAGAACGGACCCACGCACCCAACGCGAGCAGCAGCAACCAGTGCGTTGGGACATGTCGTGTCGACGGCAAAGGGGGGAGAAGTGCTGTTAGCGTAACCGCAACAGTCGAGCTATTACATGATTAGCAACCTGTTCCAGACTAACCATAGTAAAGTGACAAACCTTCTGCTGAAGCAAACTCTGCGAACTAACAGGCTGCTGGTCCCACACGAGCGAGAGATTTTTCCTCGTCTTCAGAGTATCGAACCAGATATCAAGCCCAATAATCATAGTAAAGAGCGCACAGACAGCAGTCATGAACCCGTGAAACTTCAGCCATCCTCTGGTCGTCGGCATGACCATCGCAGGAACGGAGATCAGGAAGGTGACGAAGACCATTACGGCATTTCCAACGGCAGCTACTCTCGTCAGTATTTCATCGCCGGGTCCGAAGCTTGGGAAGAGACGAACCATTTAATGGACATCGGTTCAAGAGCAAATCTCTCGCGATAGTATTGATTGTAGGCACTGACTTTGCCTCGGTCTCCGTTATCAGGGCAAAACCAATTAGAAGCCCTCCGGATATCACGAACAAGAGGTCCATGACAATGTACGACAAGAGGATATTGTCGCGAGCCATCTTGAGTTTATCTTTTGGTCAGGGCTGGGAGGATCGGTGGGCGGTTATAAGTAATGACGACCGGCGTCTAACAGCTCCACCAAGAAAGCAATTTCTTTCTTTCTTTCGTTCTTGATTGATGGGCCAGCCTTTAAAGAGCGAGAGGGTTGACTGAGAAGTGAAGAAGAAGAAGAAAGGGAAGAAACAGGCGGATGATTGAAGATAGAAACAAAAATTAAAAATGATGCAGTGGAAAGGAAGGCAGGCGGCAGACAGGAAAGAGGAAGGAGCAAAAGAAACACTTGCATTGTCCGGGATGGGCTGTGCAATTATGGAAGGGACGCATAGTACGGAGTACTCGTACAATAGCAGGGCGCCAGCAAGAGGCCGTGTGAGGTCTGTCGCGATCCTCGACGTTTGGTGTTTGGGATTCGGCTTCATCATGGCACCAGATTCGTGGACCCAAAACGCTGGTGAGCACGGACCATTGGTCGGGGAATCTCACTGATTCGCTACAGTACAGCGTCTTTGTCTGCGTCTTGTCTGACGGCTGGACTACTGTACGAAGTCCTCGTGCTATACGGAGCGCCTGGTGCTGGCTGGTGGAGTACTTGTAAATTTACTACTTATGAAGAACTGGAAGTGTTTGGCTGGAGTTGCGCGGGGTTTAAATTTAGAAATCTACAGTACTGTACAGTACCTGCACTCGTAGATTTTCACCGGGGCTTACTCGAGCACCCAGCGAGCCACCCGAGCCACCCCACCTACAGCACATGTTTCCGTATTGCGGCATGCCTCAGGGGAAAGCCGAGGTGGTGACTGATGCGAGTATTTTTGGGTGAGAAAAGCCATTGAGTCTGGATATATAAGTAACAAGGAGAACCTTTCATAGTTACTATGAAAGTGCTAGGAATTAGTACACTGCTCAGACTGTACTCGAGTATTGTGGAAGCAATTGATACCTCCACATGAATGAATCCCTCGGTGATTCTTCGAGATTCTTGTCTCTTATTGGAGCAATCATCCATAGGCATAGGCGCATCGGTGGATAGAGCTGCCGATCCGAATCCACCTTCCTTCCAAGTCTTGCGCACGGAGGATATTAAAAGAGCTCCCAAAAACATATATTTAACCTTGAAATTGCGTTTGTCTTTGAGGATTCTTATTTGTGAGCCGAACAATAAGGCAATGATTACGAGATTAATAGCCAAGTCTGTACTTCAAAGTAGAAGCCAAAATACCGTAAGCAGTTCTTGAATTTACACTCCTGGAGCTTATCCTTATCCCCCCACATATGCAGCTAGTCAGTAGCGTGGCCAATGACAGGCTCCCAATCCAAGTGACTAAGGTAAATTTGGTCGACGCTAGACACAGGAATTCCCCCATAAGAAACACGCTCTTCCCCATTTGAAAAAAGGAAGACACTTACCCTCATCAAGACCTTTGCATTATTGTCGAACGAGAACGACCGCCCTGACTCGTCGCTAGCCTTGTCTCCATCAGGTACCAAAGCAGAGAATCCCTTTTCTTCGAGGAGGAGAACAGAGAGACAAAGAAAAGGTACGATTGCTCCGACTTTTTTTTAACTGTTTTTGCCTCGCATCGCTTCCATTGCCATTGCCATTCCTTCCTCCACTACCTATCACCACTTCCCGTCCCAAAAACACCATGTTCAACTGCACTGCAAGCCGCATGCACATTGCACGCACGCACACACAGGCTGTCGAAACCATTGAATTGACCAAACCCTTCTGGGCCGAGTCTTTGCTTTGGTACCGTATCATATCGGCGATCACGCCGAGGCCTGCCTGCTTGCTTGCTGACTGCGAACTACGAGTACCGGTACAGTACCAAACTTCAACGCGCGCTGCCCACTCCCGAATCTCTGCAAGTCGGGGATTTTGGGGTAGCATTGCGATGCGATGCGATGCGATGCGTTATTGTCGTGGTACTCGTATGATCGCAGCAGAATGAGTGGCTCAACCAGGACAGACACAGACACAGTCATCAGTCATGAATGAATGAGATGGGCAAAAAACTCGGTATCAAGAAGTCGTCTCTTGGAGTTTGGACCCCATCTCATCCTAGGCCCCTTTTTCCTTCCCCCCCCTCAATCTATCTTCGTCTGATGTTCTACCCCGTCGTACCCACTCAATCAATGTTACTGGTATCTCATTGGCCGGTGGTCTGGGATGGCAGTGCGCCTTGCCGTTTTCAGTCAATCCTCCCGGCCACCGTCAAATATTCAGTCGCCTCTCCTGTAGCACCAGCACCAGCCCTGTCTGTCTGCCACTGCTAGTCCCTGAAGTTAGTGGTGGATAGGCCCTGTGGCATGCTGAGTGCTTCCCGAGTCAGCCTGTTCTGCGGTGCATCTCAGTGTTGGGTCTGGGGATGTGCAGCGAGCGCATTTTAGTATGGTGCGGTCGATGCAATCCGGCCCCTTCTCTTCTTTTGCCTGTCCCCCCCCCCCAGCCTTCCCTCCCCCTCCGCCCTTTCCTTGCCATCATTCGCTTGTGCTTTCTCATCTATCCTCGCTATTCTTCTTTCAACCATCCCGCACCGCACTGCCCAGCCTCCCTCTCACACCTTGCCTGATCAATCATTAATTCCACCGTTTGCTTCTTCAGGTCGCCAGCAATCCAGGAACACATTATTGCACTACGCTACACTTCCCCCGGTACGGTAACAGTAACCGCTCGCATCTACCGCTCGGAATCGCTCCAGCTACCCGAACGCCCGCCGCCCGCCTTTCTCCATCGATTATTCCTGCGAGGCCGCAATTTGCACGCGGTTACTCCCAGCACGCCAACCTAATCCAGTCTTTCGCGACCAGGTTTCTGCGACAAAACAGACAACAGCCTCTCCACTCCCCATAAGCAGTAAGGTCATCGGCACTCAACTCAAAAGAGTCAACCTCGTCACACCTGAATAATCAACAATGGCCGACATCACCGACCAACACGACCAAGGTTCACCATCGACCCTCGACGAACATGCCGTCGGAAATGGCAACTCAATCGCTGGAGGCGACAGCCGTGGCATCAAGCGTCAACGCCCCACAACTGCGGATGACGACGACGACGATGATGACAAGCCCGGACGCGAGCGCAGAAAGATTGAGATCAAGTTTATCACGGACAAGTCGCGTCGCCATATTACTTTCTCGAAGCGCAAAGCCGGAATCATGAAGAAGGTTGGTTTCAACACCCCGAAATCTACGCGTCGCACAAGTCGCAATTCGCGATTCAATTCTAGAACCATCGTACTGACTCCTCACGACAGGCATACGAACTCTCAGTCCTCACTGGAACTCAAGTTCTCCTTCTCGTCGTCTCCGAGACCGGTCTGGTCTACACATTCACTACACCTAAACTACAGCCTCTAGTCACGAAAGCCGAGGGCAAGAACTTGATCCAGGTACTTGGACCCACGCGCAAGTCGCACTCGCATCTGCTAACATACAAATAGGCCTGCCTCAACGCTCCAGAGCCTGCTGGAAATGGCGAGAATGGTGTAGAGGATTCGAATACCGTCGACTCACCTGAAGAGTCGACTCCCCAACACTTACCACCCCAACAATCTCGGGCAAACATGGCACCCCAAAGTGCACAGATGCACCCCGGATACATGCAACCAGGGACACTCGAGCAGCAACAAGCCCTCGCATATCAGAACTACGTCGCTCAGCAACAACGAGGTGGTGGTTATCCGATGGCACCTCAATCGGGCATCCCGCAACAGCACTCGCATCAAGCATAAATGAATCATACGCCTGTGGATCCCAGTATACGAGGGAGGGTCGAGCGAGTCTTTGAAAACTGATACCCGACACATAATATGCGCGTCACAAACCGTTCGTGTCTTGCGGGTCTCGATCCTCGCGTTTACTTGCCAGATGGTGTTTTGGTGTCTTGATATGGGTTTCCGATTTTCGGAACTGAGCTCAGTTGCTTGCACACATATTTTTCTAAATCTTTCCCCCCTAAAATTGCACAACACATGGAGAATGATAGGTAATTTTCTTCAGCTGCCGTTTTGGGTTTTGGACTGGTATTATGGAGGGGTAGTTGGGTTCAGGGGTGGGTTGCTTTGGTCCTAAACTAGATGATGGAGTTTTCTAACTTCTCACGAGTCCAAGTCTTTTGCTCTGTTTTCTGGGAATGGGTCATAGCATTGGAAGGTCGTGGGTCGTGGTGGACAATCTCTTGCTCTCTTGTACAGTACAAACCTCGGACCATAAGGTGGGGTTATATCGCCGTGCATCAACAATAAACGCTACTAAACTTGGTTATTCTTGGCCCATGTGAATTGGAAGCCACTCAGTGATAGCTTAGAATGGCATCTTCAAGACCTTGGCCTGTTGTTCATTCCTTTCCTCTTCTAGCCTTGCTTTTTTTCGTTAATTCACATCTCCTTTCCAATCACCACATCTACCATTATATGCACGCCATGATAGCTCCAACTCAACTCCCGTAAACGAACAAACAACTCCTAGCAATAAAACATAGGTAGACAACCACTCTAGTATAATAGTATATATATATATTCTATCTAGATTGCTTATATGTGAAAATCTGGGCTTTAATGAATTGATAGATAGTTAGATACCTCACTAAGTACTAGCTGGCTGGCTGGTTGTATACGAAGGGAGTAATATGTTATGTTATGTGTTGAGTTGGGTTATGCTATATATACTGTATATAGATAGATAGATAGATGGAGCATGTTAGTTGGTTCGTATATATATATACTATTTCGGGTATGTAAATTAGGATGATTGATATATAAGATACATATACTATCAATCCCGAGTTATTGAGATGTTGGTATTGGTATTGGTATTGGTATTGGTATTGGTATTGCTATTGGTATTGGTATTGGTATTGGTATTGGTATTGCTATTGGTATTGCTATTGGTATTGCTATTGCTAACTGTGTTTTCTGTTTGGTGGGATGGATGGATGGATAGAAGGAAACGCGGGGTTATTGGGAGGGAAGATGTTGGGTAGTTTGGGTTGGGTTGGGTTGGGTTGGGTTGGTATTGGAAGGGATGGGATGGGATGGTAGGTGGGTGGGTGGGTATGGTTTATGTATATATTATTGTCTAGGTTTGAGAGTGGGAGACAGAGAGAGAGGAAGGGAAGGATATTGGTTGGTTATGCAAGGAAGTAAGAGAGGGGAGAAAGAGGCGGGAGTTAAGTGGTAGTATGCTTGCTTGCTTGCTCTACTCTGGTATTCTTACAAATAAACAGACTTCTTCTCCTTTCTTTGCTTCACTTAACTTCGCTCCAATGCTAAATATACCTAGATAGATGATACAATACAAAACCAATCCCGAGGTTCACAACTAACTCCGTCTAATGCATTTCGTTTCCCGACTCCCGTTGCATCAATCAGCCTCATTTATATACAGGCTACCCGTAGTACGCCTCAACACCACAATCAATATACAAGGCAAGCGCTCGCTATGTTGCGCTACACGGCATTACTAGAGGGTCCTTCCCCGGCATCAGATCCGGGATCAGGAGGATCTTTCTTGCCCTGCTTCCACCAGCGCATTTTCCAGCCCTGTGACCTTTTCCTAGACTGTCGGGGCGAGGGACGTGGTATAAATCCTGGGAACCCCGTTGAGCGTCTCCGGCGTTTCCTGTTGGTCGTATTAGACCTCAGTAGGGCCGTGCTCTCATCGGGCTCCTCATCCTCCAGCGGCCGAGCATGCGGTGATGACGACGTAGCTTTCGTATCGTCATCCTGCAGCTCGCCCCATATCTCATCCGCTTCCGTGAGACGCACGTTCTTCCGTATAGGCTGTGTTGCGCCTAGCACGTTGTCGAGTTTGGTGGTGGGTGTCATGGGACCGCCATCTAGGAGGGCTTGGTGTGATGCTGCTGCTTCTTCATCTGCTATAATTGAGTCGCTGGACTCGTCGTTATCTGTATCTTCTACGAAGCCCAGGCCAGGGGCTAAAGCGCTTTGTGTAACCGTTGGCTGTGTTTGCTCGTCTGAGAGGCGCCAGGAGAGAGCCAGGACGCCAGAGAGAAGGATGGCAGTTCCGAGCGCTATGAGGCAGGCATGTAGAACGGTCAGACGGTCGGTTTGTTTGAAGTAGATTAGCCCGTCGAGGATGGCTATTATGTTGTAGATGCAAAAGACGAGGGGGTAGAGGACGCTGGTTGAGACGAGCTTGAGGCCTCGGTGGAGGTAGTACAGTTGGGTGAGGGCGAGGACAACGAAGGCGAGTAGGATGACCCACGATTGCCACCTGTTGAACTGGTTGATTCTGTCCACGATTGTTCGTACGAGCAGTTCGACTGCGGATTTCGCTACTAGTAATGAATGGGCTGATAGTATCCCGCTTATGCAGCCGTATGCCAGTCCTCTTAGAAGTCGTATGCGAGGACTCGATGATACCCTGGGAAGTCTTCCTAGAAATGCTGCCACCCCTATAATCGCAATAACCAAGAGAGCTTGTAGTATCATCCAAACAACAAACGGTCTCCGCCCCAGTAATAGCAATAACTGATCCAGACTATGCGCCGGCTCTGGTATCGCCCCAAAGATAGCTATTAGAATAGCTCCGCCTGCAACCAGTAATGTTCCTCCCAAAGACCAGCGCGTGAAGGGCTCCCCCAGGATCAAGGTGGAGCATATCGAGTTGAAGACCAGACCGGACGCCTGTAACGTCGACAGCACTGGTAACGGCAGCGTGGTTATCTGAATCGTACTCCCAACCAAGTTCGATATGAGGAACATGCCCATGCCCAGCTGCCAGCGCCGTCTTCTGTAGGGTGGTCGTCGCGCATGATGCGATTCTTTCTCCTCTTCTAGGATGTGGGATTTTCGCTGTAGAGTCAGACCCACGCTTTGGATGCTCGTAGAAAGAAGGCCGACGATAATGCCTATCTGTAAAAAGAAGATGTGTCAATGGGTGAAGGCTGAAGGGGGGTTATTGAAGCTCGAGAGTACATACAGCTACGCTTCCCTCGGGGCTCAAATCGCCGAGGTTTCCCATCACGCAAAGGCAGTGTCGCAAGAACTCATTTGGGATGTTGTATTATAGCCGCCGGCTGCTTATATCTGTGAATTTGGGATCGAGTATGAATGGCTGCGTGGTTGGATCGTGACTATATACTTTCTCACCGTCGTCATTGAGCTTGGCTTGGTTGGATGACCTTGTCTCGCTTGACCAGCTGAGCTGTTGCTGTTCCAGACCTCGACTTGAGAAGGTGTCGGTGTTGCTGATTTACTTAGAGGACTAACTGCAAGACACGTATTGAATCAGGAGGCCGAATGTAAAGTGAACTTAGACAGAAACTATAACGGTAGCTAAGTATTTGGACCATCGACCAAAGTCTGAGTCAGGTGACGAGGCTCGCCAAGTACCCGGTACTTGCTTGCACTGATCGTACCTCCCGCTTATCGTAGCTCAAGCTGAAGCTATACCTCAACCCCATTACTCCCTCTCCTCAGCTTCTCTCCATATCAACCGCCCAAGATGTCGCAGTCCCACGCTTTGTCCGACGACCAGGCAAGCCCCCCTCACCAGATCTACAAGCTCCAATTGCTAACCAAGCTGTCTGTAGGTCGGGCAGGAGCTCAAGAAGATGACGGCCTTCATCAAGCAGGAAGCCATGGAGAAAGGCCGCGAAATCGAGATCAAAGCCGACGAAGAATTCGCCATTGAGAAATCCAAGCTCGTCCGCCAAGAAACCTCCTCCATCGACAGCACGTACGAGAAGAAATTCAAAGCTGCCCAGATGTCCCAGCAAATCACACGCTCGACCGTCGCCAACAAGACCCGTCTCAAGGTGCTGAGCGCGCGCCAGGAACTGCTCGACGGCATCTTCGAGCAGGCACAGAAGAAGCTGGGGGAGGCGACTAAGGATAAGGGGAAGTATACGGAGATTCTGAAGAATTTGATGTTGGAGGGCTTCTATGCTTTGAATGAGAGCAAGCTGCAGATTCGGGGCCGCAAGCAGGATTATGATTTGATCAAGAAGGCTATTGAGAATGCGACGAAGGAGTATAAGGAGAAGACGAACAAGGCCATCGAGGCCAGTATCGATGAGGCGAATCCGCAGCCAGAGGGAAGGTACGTTTGCTCTTGAATATGTTTGGGCATGGGAAGCTAATTGGGACAGTGCTGGTGGTCTGTCGATTGTGGGTGGTGCTGGGAAGATTGATATCAACAACACTTTCGAGGAACGCCTCATATTGCTGCAAGACAATGCCTTACCGTCCATACGAACGACCTTGTTTGGCAAGAACGAGAACAGGAAGTTTTACGATTGAGCGGGGATAAAGCATGGGTTACTGCACTTTTTGGGACTGGTTAGGGTGATACTGAAGCGTAAGTAGAGTCATGGCTTTGAAAACTTGCTATACATTAGTTTGGGGTTTGGTCCAGCTGTAGAACGTGTATGATACAATAAAACCAGTGAGCTTCACTATGAAGCCTCCTAAAGCCCTTGGTGTTCCTACTCCTACTGGACCAATTTGACCGCCTTGGGTATTTCTACTTTGATTCATGACCATTGACAGGCTTGGTGCCTTTCTTGTATAGCGACAGAAAGTTACTCATTCCAGCTTGTGCTGCAACATGGTCCTCTTTCTTTTTGGATCCATCAAACAGTGACTTCTTAGGCTTAGGTTTACTGCGAAGTGTGTCTGCGATCCGCTGGCTCACCAACAACAAGAGTTCTTTGGCCTCAATCCTTGAAATGAAAGCAGCGCCAGGACTACCTATTCGGTCAATAACTTTGTTGATGGTGAGAACAAGTTTGTCGACATCCTCGTCAAAGCGTTCTGCAGCTGAACTATTGGCTAAATCCAAATACGCACACCTCCCATCGTCTACAGCTACATCAAGGAGGGAGATGAGAGCTGCAAGTTGTTGGTAGTCCGTCTTATCGTTGACCTTGAAGACGGGGTCCTTGAGGCGATCCATGAACTTTTGGAGCTCAAAGGTTGTATGAGGGTGGTCAATGGAGTAGGCAACATCGTCGAAAAGAAAGCACATTCCTAATCTTCTTCTCAATTCATGTGTGCGTGGGTGGAAGGAAGGTATTGAATCGACGACTTGAAGGCGCAGTGATGGCTGATCTATACATTCAATAAGTCCTTCGCAGATTCTTTGACACTGCTCAGGACGTTAGTAGGATTCTGATAACATAAACAGGACACTTACAGAATGTCCCCACTCGTCATCCGGTATGTATTTACACAGGCGTCTGATGGCTTGTTGAAGGACGTCTAGGACATCTACATTCTTGAAGACCACGTGGTCCGCACCCATTCTTAAGAGCATGCATAACATGTGCTCTCTTGTTTTCCGTTGCAAAGAATCTGCAATGCCCGTGAAAAACATTAATGCAGAGCGAACATGTGCCCAGTCTCTCGAGTATCGAGCTGTGATCTTAGGACTGGGCTTCATTTTCCCCGTAATGGTAGTAGCTATTGGTGTTCCCCCGAGGTCTCGCAGCATCTTGTCGACCAAGTCCGGGGATAGTAACCGCTCGACTTGCTCTCTGGACTCCTTTAATGTGTTCAAGTACGATGTCCGAAGCACATCACTGGGTTCCAAACATGCTTCGTCGAGTACCCAAAGAAAAATCTCATCCGGTAGAGCTTGCCCAAAGTGAACCATATCTTCAGCAAACCCGGAGATGAAAGTTTGATCCCGCATCGCAGGTTTTGACAATTCTCTCTGCCAGGTTTTTGGGACTGTGGAAGTTGGGAAAGAGGGTCGTGGAGGTTCAGCTGCTTGATCTTGTCTGCCGAAGAAATACCAAAACTTCTCTACGTTGGTTGCTTCAGTTCTCTGGAGAGCACGCGTGACCTTCTCCATCCCTCCATCTTCTGTGTTCGCAACAACGGATTCCAGTAAGGCTCCATCAAACTTTGCCTGATTACCGCTGAGACCACTAGCGAAGGGACTTGTGTTCTCGTTAATTTGAGTGTCTAGCATGGCTTTAACTCGCTTGGAGGTCTCCTGGTCTGCCTTGTCATTTTCCGCATCTTTGACGATCGACTCCAAGCTGTACTTTGGATGTACAGGTATTGGCGACATGAGGGGTTGCAGGACCCTTCTAGATCTAGGCTTAGATGGAGTGGACGGTGTTACTCTTTTTGCAGGTGGGGGACCATTGGTAGACCGGAAAAGTTCTGGGAAAGAGTCGTCTGAATCAGATTCCTCATCGTCAGAGCTTTTGACTACTCTGCCAGATACTTCGTTGCTTGAAGGGGCAGATAACACTGCAACTTCCGGTGGGCTCTCAGTCACACTACTCGGCGGGGATAAACTTGACATAAGTCCACCCTGTTCCGAGCTTTTGGATGCATTTGAGTTTGTGTAACTGGTTTGAGGCTTAGAATCACTGGGGGTCGACTGAGTCCTCATAGCTATCAGTGAAGACTGACGTGCTGGATCTACTGGAGGCACCGCAACCCTCACATTGGATTGGGCAGGCTTGAAGAAGTTTCGTATTGATTGATTCTGTGACATGGTCTAGGATATACAGCGATTCATGCTGACGAGGTGAGGAGTTTGTTGGGTTCCTGTTTTGTCGATGTTGCGCCTTGAAGAACGCGCGCGATTCATCACGTCGACGTGTTTAGTCACGTGAGATATAGATGCCGCGGGCCGGTCAAACAATACTTCCGATTCATTAGTATTGAAGTGGTGGTTTGCATTATTTTACAATCTTATTGTTCATCTAAGTGAGTGTTATTGTATCAGATGGATATAAGATAAAATTCCGATGTTATAGACAAGGGCATGGTAATCGAATGTCTATAACAACTTTAAGTATATTAGTGGACACTCGAAACGTTTTCCCGGTTCTATACTCCCAGATGAGGAAGTTCATATTGGAGTGAGTTTCCGTAAGTCAATCTTATATCGAGGACAAAATTTGGGACAGGTTTCAAAAAGGCATAGGCTAATTGACAAAGCGTTCTGTGTTACGATCCAGCCGGTGACCCCGTGTTTGGAAGATGTTTTATGAGAAGCGTTTGCTTCTAGAGTTGTTGTTTGAGTCTTATTCAGCGACCTGTGACTTGAGGCTGACAGTAGACAGCGAGTGCTACAGTAAGCTTAATGTACCGTACCACGAAGAGGAATGCGGGATGGATTTTTGATGTTTCGCGTGGAGGGGCTGCGGTATAGTTGCACACGCAGGATGCACAACACAGCAGATAGCACAGTCGGGGCTAGCGGGGCGTGGTTAGAAATAGGGGTTCTGCTCAAGAGCCTGGCACTCGGGAAGGGTTCAAGGAGGGTTCCGGGTCTTTAGCGAAAGCACAAGTTACAAGTATACGATCAGGATACGTAAGTTTATAAAGCCAAGGTATGAAGTACGAGTACGGTTACGGTATCTAGGGAGTTACGAGTAAGACGATACCCTTAAGTGAGGTAAAGTACAACTTACTCAAGTACAACATACCTAGCTACGGATCGGACGGACATTCGGGATAGTTCGGGGTTTGAAATGGTGATGGTTTTTAAGGAAAATTCAATATCTCGACTCTTGACTCGAGAGTCTTTCCTCGGACCTCGAGTCGTGAGGCTGCCGGAAGGCGTTAATGCCCGGACTTTATACCAAGTAAATGCCAATGTAAAATGCCAATGCCCAGCCCAGCCGGCCGGTGATTACATAGCATCTGTAGCCATCCCATCTCGGAAGATGCAGCTCTAGACGACATGATAGGCTAGTTCGAGCTTTGCCTACAGTAGAGTCTCTGCATCCTACCAGTACCTCCGTACATACGGAGCAAGATGTGCAATCAGGGGCGCCGCAAGGCCTGTATCTTACCAATGATACTCCTGTCTGTGCCATACTAAGCAGTACGGGGCAAGATCTGAGAGAGGGCGAGGGCTGCGACTCTGAGAGCGAGGATCGTTCCCGGGTACCGTAGCCTACTTACTCTATCTGAGTAGCGTAGTGTAGGTAAATTTACCTTACGCGTAGGTACCGTACCGTACTTGATCCTACGCCCAGTCGCTCCTGCTGACAGAACGCAGTCTTGCTCTTGCTGTCAACTGGAGTAATAAGAATTGTTTTCTGTTGCATGGAAGCCTTTACTCCAAGTTACAGTATCGTAAATTAATCCATCCGGTTTACCAAGCAGAGTGAGCGGACCGAGCTGACACGGCGCCCAATTTCACTTTCCTCAACTTATTAAGCAACGCAACGCAAATCGCGCCGGACACCCGCCGTACCGTATCTAGCAGACCCGCAGCCATTTCAAACTTTCCAATTCTTACCCTACTCCTACCCTACCTACCTACCCTACCTACCCTACCTCCCCTTCCTCTCCCCTCGACAACCTCACCTCCCTACCTTCTTGGGAAGCCTCATGAATGAGACCACCGGCTTTGCACCATACCCGCATTTCCTTGTTGCGCTCTAGACAATTTCATGAAAGGAAAGGCCAACCAACGCTGCCGACGCGACCTACAAGTATCCGCTTGATCCGGTAGTACCCAGCCAACCAAGCATCTTCAATTTCCCAACTTTTGTCAACTCCGCGAAAAGGCCAACAGACCTGCTAGCAACACGCCGCGATTTTGGACGAAACCTGAACCACGTACTGATTCCCCTCATTGCGACAATTTTTCCGACGTGAGGGCTGGATTCGGCGCCGACAATTGGAGGACGACCTGTCTCCGTGAGAGGGCTTTGCCCATCCTCAGCAATCCTAAATCATCGTCATGACTCTCTCGCCGTTTGAAGAGCCGGAGCCCGAAGAGGCTCCACTGCCAACGAAGCGATTGCGATGGGCAACACAAAGGGTAACAGGGAAAAAGGGAAACAAAAAGCGCATGTCAATTATCGATCGTTTAGCTGCTCGTCGACCGTCCCAAAATGAAAAAAACCGGAATTCTGGTGGAGCTGATTCAATGGCGCCATCAGAACTAGGCGGTATTCAAGAGGAACCGGGAGAGGATATTGGAGACGAGGGAGAGCACGACCGAGACGGACAAGGCCCGAGAAAGATCTTTTTCAATCTCCCATTACCACCGGAAGCCGTGGATGAAGAGGGCCTTCCCATCAAACACTATCGGAGGAACAAGATCAGAACAGCCAAGTACACCCCGATAAGTTTTGTACCGAAGAACATTTGGTATCAGTTTCACAATATTGCCAACGTGTACTTCTTGCTTCTTATTGTCCTTGCCGTAAGTCATATCTTAGGATAGTAGTTTCGCCCGATTAACTCTCCTGCAGTTCTTCAGTATCTTCGGCGCATCGAATCCAGGCTTAAACGCGGTCCCACTAATAGTCATTGTCGTTATAACAGCGATCAAAGACGCCATTGAAGATTATCGTCGTACTGTTTTAGATAACGAGCTCAACAATTCCCCGGTACATAGACTTATCGAGTGGAATAATGTCAACGTTAGCGATGACGATATTTCATTATGGAGGAGGATTAAGAAGGCTACGAGTCGCTTCATTGCTACAACTTGGAGAAAGATAAACAACAAAAAGGTACCCGGCCAGGAACATGCAGAGCGAGCTATGGACGAACCCCGGGAATCCTACGAGACAAGAGCAGCAAGAAGAGCATCGGCTTTCTCTGTAAACCCCCAAAGAGAGTCTTTTGCCTCGACGCGAGATGACATTCAGATGACCCCAGTTCCTTCTCCACTGCCCCGCCCGGATGGACTGGAAGTTCCTGACCGTCCGAAAACTGCCTTTTCATATGATGGGGAAGCCCCTGCAGCCAAGCATTTTGGGAGTTTGATAAATCCAAACCTCACCGCGAGTGGAAACGCTCGTTTCCACCAGGACTACTGGAAGAATGTCCAGGTCGGCGACTTTGTTCGACTCTATAACGATGACCAGATCCCGGCTGACATTGTCATTCTATCGACTTCTGATCCAGACGGAGCGTGCTACGTCGAAACTAAGAATTTGGACGGAGAGACGAACTTGAAAGTTAGGCATGCTCTCCGTTCCGGACGTACGATTAAACATGCACGAGATTGTGAGAAGACGGAATTCACAATAGAGAGCGAGCCACCGCAGGCAAACCTCTACCAGTACAGCGCAGTTGCTCGTTGGAATGATCAGCCTTCGGGACAGCCGATGGCCGAACCCATATCAATTAACAACCTAATCTTGAGAGGCTGCAATTTAAGGAACACGGACTGGATCTTGGGAGTGGTAGTCTTCACAGGTTTCGATACCAAGATCATGATGAATGCTGGAATAACCCCTAGCAAGCGCTCTCGTATCGCCCGCGAGTTGAACTGGAACGTTGTCTACAACTTTGGATTGCTTGTGGTCATGTGCCTTGTTTCAGCTGTTATCGAAGGTGTCATCTTTGGGCAAGCAGACAACTCTATAGCTTTCTTTGAATTTGGTTCGATTGGTAACACGCCGGGTCTCGATGGATTTATCACCTTCTGGGCCGCCTTGATTCTCTTTCAAAATTTGGTCCCTATCTCCTTGTACATTTCTCTCGAAATTGTCAAAACCTGCCAGGCCTTCTTTATTTATAGCGACACCGAAATGTACTACGAGAAAATCGACTATCCCTGCACACCGAAATCCTGGAATATCTCCGACGATCTTGGCCAAATTGAATATATCTTCTCTGATAAGACGGGTACCTTGACCCAGAATGTGATGGAATTCAAGAAGGCTACAATCAATGGTGTTCCTTATGGCGAAGCCTACACCGAAGCTCAAGCTGGCATGCAGAAACGTCAAGGAATGGACGTGGAAAAGGAGATTGCAAAGGCGCGTCAAGAGATCGGGATTGCTCGGGCGAAAATGCTGGTTGAGCTCCGGAAGGTTCATAACAATCCGTATCTGCATGACGAAGACCTGACATTTGTCGCCCCCGATTTTGTTACCGACCTTCAAGGCGAGTCGGGCCGTGAACAGCAGCGAGCGAACGAACAATTCATGCTAGCTCTTGCACTATGCCATACCGTCATAGCGGAAACAACGCCAGGAGACCCGCCTAAGATTGAGTTCAAAGCTCAATCTCCCGACGAAGCTGCACTTGTAGCTACTGCCAGGGATTGCGGCTACACAGTTCTCGGTAATTCAGAAGATGGCATTCGATTGAATATTCAAGGCGAAGACAGATCTTATAAGGTTCTCAATACGCTCGAATTTAACTCCACCAGGAAAAGGATGAGTGCCATTGTAAGAATGCCGAATAACAGGATTGTTCTCTTCTGTAAAGGTGCCGATAGTATAATTTACTCTCGTCTCAAGAGGGGTGAGCAGCCAGAGCTCCGCCAAACGACAGCTGAGCATCTCGAGATGTTTGCGAGAGAAGGCTTACGTACTTTATGTATAGCCCAAAAGGTGCTTGACGAAGAGGAATACCAGCAATGGAACAGAGAGCACGAGCTTGCAGCATCAGCCATCCAAGATAGAGAAGACAAACTTGAAGCTGCCGCTGATCTCATCGAGCGAGATCTGACACTCCTCGGAGGCACTGCTATCGAAGATCGCTTGCAAGAGGGTGTTCCAGACACCATTGCCCTCCTGGCTGAGGCTGGAATCAAACTCTGGGTTCTTACTGGAGACAAAGTTGAAACAGCCATTAACATCGGCTTTTCTTGCAATCTGCTCAATAATGATATGGAGCTTATCGTGTTCAAGATTGAGGACGAACAACTGGTCACGGCTGAAATCGAACTTGATAAGCACATGACCGCGTTCGGGATCACTGGATCTGATCAAGAGCTTAAAGCTGCTAGGAAAAGCCATACCCCGCCCGCGCCTACCCATGCTGTTATCATTGATGGCGACTCGTTAAAGCTGCTCCTCGACCCGAAATTACGTCAAAAGTTCTTGCTTCTGTGTAAGAAATGCAAGTCTGTGTTATGTTGTCGAGTCAGTCCTGCTCAAAAGGCTGCCGTTGTCCAGATGGTCAAGAATGGTCTTGATGTCATGACTTTGTCTATTGGTGATGGTGCCAATGATGTTGCCATGATTCAGGAGGCTGATATAGGGGTTGGAATTGCTGGAGAGGAAGGACGCCAGGCTGTTATGTCATCTGACTATGCAATCGGCCAGTTCAGATTTCTCCAGAGACTTGTTTTGGTTCACGGACGATGGTCGTACCGCCGACTTGCCGAATGTATTGCAAATTTCTTTTACAAGAACATCATCTGGACCTTTACCATCTTCTGGTATCAGATATTCTGCAACTTCGACATGACATATCTATACGACTATACCTATATTCTCCTTTTCAACCTGGCCTTCACATCCCTACCTATCATTTTCATGGGTGTTCTGGATCAAGATGTTAGTGATAAGGTATCTCTTGCCGTTCCGCAGCTCTATCGACGTGGCATAGAGCGGCTGGAGTGGACCCAAAAGAAGTTCTGGTAAGTATCACCCTAGAATGCTTGGATTCAAGATGCTAACTAAAATCCAGGCTTTACATGCTTGATGGCTTTTACCAATCCGTCATCTGCTTCTTCATGGCCTGGCTCCTGTTTCGTGGTGCAAACTTTGTCACCGATAACGGACTAAACATTGACGACCGGGAACGATTTGGTGTCTATATTGCTCCAGCCACAGTCATTGCTATCAATGTCTACATCTTGCTCAATACTTATCGATGGGATTGGCTCATGGTTCTTCTCGTCGCCATAAGTATCTTGCTTGTGTGGTTTTGGACGGGGGTTTATTCAGCCTTCACCTCCTCTGAATATTTCTACAAAGCAGCCCCTCAAGCATTTGGTCAAGCGTCATTCTGGGCGTTAACTGCGCTCTCCATTATAATGTCTTTGCTCCCCCGCTTCTGCATCAAGGTGATTCAGAAAGTTTACTTCCCATACGACGTTGACATTGTCCGCGAACAAGTCAGATTGGGCAAATACGACTATCTCGACAAGCCTGAGATAAACGATGATACCCAGTCGAATGGTTCTTCTACATCCTCTTCGGACATGCCTAAGCCGAGTAAGCACACCTACTATCCGAGCTTTGATGAAGACCAACGGCCCATTTACCCTCCTTCAGTTGCTCCCACCACCACCACACACAATAACCGAAGCCAAAACGGCAGCGACGGAACCGAATTTACCCGCCATCGGCAGTCACTCGATCTTCGCGGCGAGCCCGCTGCCGTTCGTTCCTCAATGGACGATCGACCAAGACCATCCTTCGATCGACTTCGTCAATCAATGGACCGCATTCGCCCTTCTTTCGAGGCCAACAATGACTTTACATCTGCAGCAATGTTGACGCGTTTGGAATCATCCCATAATATTGGTCTTGCACAAAGCACCAGCAGAGGACACAATGTCTCAAACGAATTCTGATGACCTACGAATATCCTACTCAAAGCGCGTTACAAAAGAAGCCGTCGGTGGTTGTACAATAAAATATAATTCTTTTCCTTTTGTTGATAAATGAGCGAAGAGATCTCACCATGATGATCTGAAACATCGATCTATATGACTTGATTTTACATTGCATCTGGTTTTCATTGCATTGGGCGCTGGGAGTTTTTACAAAGGCAGGGAGGCGGCCTGGTATTTTTGGGTCTGCTTTTCCTGGGTTTTAAATTCTATAGTACTTTTCCTTGGGAGATTATCCTGGACCTCTTCTTTTGTAACGATGAGTGATAGTGGCTGTGGATTGTTGTGATCCTTTCTGTATATAGAGTAGTATAAATGCAGATAATGGAAAATAACTTCAAAAACAAATGTGGTCTTCAAAATCTTGAGTGAACTGAAAGACGGGCTTGTCTAAACTGAATGACGGGTGAAAAATGAGCATGGGTGACTGTAATATGACGATGCTGCTAAAATGGTAGATTTTTTTTTTTTTTTTTTTTGGAGAAAGGGACCTTGCTTTTGGACGCTTTGTTGGTTCAACATGAAATAAAAAGTTTTAAGCCAAGTAAAGTGATATATATGGACAAAGGATTTTTAGGAGTTATTGTCAGCCTCATCGCAAGGCTGAATGATGCAGGATGTTTTTGGACTAGTTTCGCGCGTCAACCTGAGCAAGAACCAACGACGAGCTTCTTTCTCCCTTCCACCTAGGATCTATCATCTCCACAAGTAGTGAATGAACAGCCCATTGAATTAATAGTGCTGACTACTGTCTCACCTGCCACGGCATAATCTACGTTGCCCTTCAGCGCCACTACTTTGTTGCTTTTCAGCGCCACTACTTTGTTGCTTCTATTGCTCCTCGTGCTCCTCGTGCTCCTCGTGCTCCTCAAAACACTTCCTTTCATGCCCTCCCGCTACCACGTTACCCCTCAACGTAACCACTCCGATTGATAGTAGTCACATCTACAATCCGTCTCCGCTATTCACATATCGCTCACAAATGTGGCCCTTATAGGACACGTAATCCCTCGCCATGAGGGACGTAGCTGAGATTGAGGATGAGCTTCATGCTCTCCGTAGGTACGACTACTCCCATCTTTGCACTTCTCAGCTGACATGTATTCCTACAGCCAGCTGAAAGGCTTTCCTGCGGAGGCACATTGGTTCTGCCCCAAGCGAAGCGATGACGATGATATTGATTACGGGCATCCCGACGAAGCTGAAGAGGATATGAGCCCCGAGACAAAGCATGAAGCAATCCAAGCGGCGAAAGAGCGACACGATGTGGCATACAAGTACTCTCTTGTTCTTGGCATGGATGTTACTCCTGAACAGGAGGATTATCGGGAGAATTTGGACAAGATGTTGAAGTCGTGTGATAAATGCGTATATAACTGGCATATGGGTCGGAAAGCATACTTGAGAGAGCTTTCAGAGTAAGAATCTACGGGAATTATTTGAAACGATGTCTAACTGGTTTATTTGTACAGAGATTTCGACGATGATCAAGTTGCGGAGCTTTCGAGTCGCATCAGAATTATCGACTTCAAACGAATCAACGCCGGCCTTTCCCTAGGGAAAAAGCTGCTCGCTGAAGTCGAACCCGCTCAACGAACACAGTCCTTCCTTGTCAGCAAGGATCCTACAGCATTAATGGCTCTGTACGAGGCTCTTTGTTGTGTCGACTTCCATAAATCCGAAGAGGAACTTTCACGTCATTTTAACTATGTCTTTGCCCAAATACAAACTCGAAAGGTCCTCAGGCTGGGTGATACATTACCCGCCATGGCTCGATTTCTCTTTCATAAAGACACAGTCCGACTCCGATTTGCAACGACCGCATGGCAGAAGATGAAGGACTCCCTCACGTCTGCATCATTTGACTGGGTCGTACACGATGTTTTATCTGAAGCAATCCCCTCTTTATTTGAACCTACCGCAACCCAAGGGGACAGACAGCGGTTTTGGCAAGGGTTTCTCCTTATCCTCGACAAGATGGACAAAGACTTGATCACGCATTCGCTACGAGGGATGGAAGTCCAACCAGACGTATACCATCTTGGGTTCCAACATTTATCTACCGACTCTGCAGAGGTTGCGGAACAGGTTATGGAGGCATATTGCCAACTTTTACAAAAGGCCCCAAAGGATTTCTGGTCTGCAATGTCTGATGCTTCTCCAACCGTAGTTGCAGACCGGATTTTTCAGAGTCCTGGATTTGAGAAGATTCTTGCGGATAACCAAAGTCTTGAGAATTATGAACAATGCCCTGCTATTTCTTGGATCCCTGATTTCATGAAATCTCTTACCCCCATTCATCAGTTTGATGCGTGCCGAACTTTGCTCCAAACTCTTCTAGGACGAATCACTAGTAACAAAACCCAGCGCTACTCCCAGGAAGCGAAAGTAACATGCTGTCGTGCTGGTCTGGAGGCGTTGAGAGCTACTCTTACAACGTTTAACAGTTCTGATTACAAGATCAACCCGTCAACTTCATTACTCGTTATCAATGACATTTTGGGGCTTGTTGACGAGTACAAAAGCGTCATTATTACATGCGCTGATATGGAAGATAATAGCCAACTTGAATTAAAAGAATTAGGGTTACAGGTAGTCCGTGATTCTTTGACGCTCGACTGCAAAGCTATGGCTGCAGAGTTCTTTGCTCTTCAGAGTGGAACAACAATTCAACGCGGCGTTAGGAGCCATTCGCAGCCTATCTGGCAAGCCGTTCTCGATAGCTTTCGACCTGGTAATCTCGACCTAGCGAAGAGTATTCTCATTCCAACCTCATTGCTTACCGGCCTGGATGAGCTACTGCCAGAGAACAAGAAGAAGCCAAATATGCCCAAGGATCACATACAGTACAATAAAGACTTTCACCAGCTGATGGACAACATCTCACGAGTGTTTCAGCGTCTTAGTGACTTCAAAGCGTCCGATGCAAGCCAACTTTACAAAAACTCAGCAACAGCTCGTCCTCTATTCGGTGCCCTTTTATCAGCAGACCAGGGTGTATACGAAGCCACCGTGGAGGTGATCAAATCTATAACATGCCATCTTAACAAGCAGGAGGCAATCTCGGATATTGTAGAGAAAGCCTTCGTTCCGATGCTGAACTCCTTGACGTACGCTGCCACCAAGGTCACTCGAGCGAAGACATTCTCGCCCACGCCGTACCTGATTAAAACTGGTAGGGATGTCCTGAAGGCTCTCAGCGGAAATACTGGGGTCTTGCGTACTCGTTCTTTCTCGACTGTGGAGCACAACGCCATCATGACTTGGTGGACGCAACAGTGGCGGGCTTTAGACATGATTTTCTCTACAACTGAAGCGTGGTCTCCACGAGTGAACCAAGATACCCAGTACTTGCAAGAATTCTGTCGAGACGGCATGGAATACGCCGAGGCCCTGTTCGACCAGTATAGCATTTTCGCGTCAGCGCTGAGGGAAGCGTCGCCAGATGGCGAAGAGAGATCTGCCAAATCAAAATCAGCGACGCCTCAGATCCGTAAGGTTTTAGAGATAGTCTGCCAAAATGTCAATGGATTGACGGGCTTGCTTAGGCTTCGAGATGCATACTTAATAAGTGTCATTACTAGTCTATTAGCCAAACTTCTGCGATCCCTTGGAGAGTATGACCTCGAGATAGACGATTACGCTTCGGATTTCATCAATTCTGCTTGCAAGCGCGATACTGAGAAAGGTTATAAGAGAACAAATTTGACAAGCCAGCAAAAGGCGGAGTTGCAAAGGACACTGTATGAGCATCAAGGTGTTGAGGTCGTTGAGAAGCCCATACAAACTGTCAAGAGGCAAGGGACAATCGATGGCTGGTCTCAATCAGCAGATGGTAGAAAGTTCGAGCCAAAGCTGCCCCAAAGAAGCGAAACCTTAACCCTGGCGTCCCATTCGGACAAAAGTCGCGCCATCTTGAAGCAAATGCAAGCACAGTCAACGAAAGAGGCAGCGAAAAAGGACCAGTCTAATAGCGCTTTCAGGGAGGCTCGTCGTAAAGCTGATGAGGACAGGAAACGTCAAAACGCCAACGCCGCTGCTAAGGCCAAAGCTCTGCGTGAGCCAGTCGGCGTTCGAGGAGAAGGCTCCGGCATCAAAGATATTGTAGGGGCGTTGGGCAAGGACCATGCTCCAACCCGCAGTGAGATTATGGTTGGGTCTTCTGATGAAGACTCGGATGACGACGACGAGGATGAAATTGGCGCTTTGATCAAAGCTGGAAAGGGAACTTCGAAGATCGTTCTGGAATACGAAGAGAGCAGGAAACGGGCTCTGCAACAGCATAAAGGCCCAGTTCGGAAGACCAAGGTGCGGCGATCTGCAAAGGACCTTCGGGCTCGTGTAGAACCTAACATGGATGGGCTCTACATCGAAATATTGAACTGGGAAATCTTTCACCGGGGCGATGATCCACCCAGTTCGAATGAATGCCGACGAATCGATAACCGTTACCTGGACCTGAATCTTTACAAAAGTACATTTGCGCCATTACTGATATCTGAGGTCTGGCGATCCTTCGTGACTGCGAAGGAGGAAGCCAACTTTAAATCCATCGAAATTACCGTCTTGAACCGTTTATCAGTGGACAAGTTCATGGAAGTGAGTGTCAAGATGCCCATGACAACTAATAGGGACTTGAAGTTTGCTGAGAGAGACATTGTTCTATTGTCGCAAAGCCGCAATGGGATGACCGACGAAAAGGCCCCTCACTGCCTTGCTCGCGTGAATCGCACGACCCGTAAGAAGGATGTAATTGAGATCACGTTCCGTGTCAGCAGAAACATCGACCCCGGCTTCCTGCAATTGTTGTCTCCTCAAGGCAAGATCTATGCTGTTAAGATTGCAGACATGACCACAACTCAGCGTGAATTTGCTGCCCTTAGCAGTTTGGAGTACTACGACCTTTGCCTTGAGGTCTTAGAAGCAAAGCCGTCGCCATTGCAAGCCTACTCGCCCGAAAGAATCTCTTCAACATCGGCCAAGTACAATCTGAACAAAGGACAAGCGCAAGCGATCCTTTCAGCCACCGACAACGATGGGTTTACGTTGATCCAAGGGTATGTATGTTTTCTTAAAATGGAGTTCTCGAAAGCTAATACCTCGTAGTCCGCCGGGTTCCGGAAAAACTAAGACCATTGTTGCAATGGTTGGCTCTCTTCTCACTCCAATCTTAAAGCAGCAGCGACTTGACCTAGCCAAGACCCAGGCTCCGGTACCAGGCAAAGCACCTGTCTCAACCAATCCAACGAAAAAGCTCCTTATCTGTGCACCTAGCAATGCCGCTGTTGATGAACTGGTGATAAGATTGAAGGAAGGCATCCAGCCTCTGGATGCGCCCCGACAAAAGATCAACGTTATACGAATTGGTAGGAGTGATGCCATTAGCTCGAGTGTCAAGGATGTGATGCTGGACGAGTTGGTCACTCGGAAGCTCGAAGGTACCAATGGAGAGAAAGGTAAACTTATGCAAGATCGAGATAAGCTTCATCAAGACGCTGCTCAAATCAAGGAGAAGCTCAATGCTTTAAGACCTCAAATGGATGAAGCCCGAAAAAATGGCGACAAATCAGCGGAGCTCCAGCTTCAGCGTGAATTCGATGGTTTGAAGCGCAACCAGGCCCATATTGGGAGCAGAATCGATGCGGACAAGGAGAGTGGAAATACGATGACGCGGCAGAACGAGATCAACCGCCGCAAGTTCCAACAAGAGATCATCGATGGTGCTCATGTCTTGTGCGCTACACTCAGTGGAAGTGGTCACGACATGTTCAGAAATTTAAATGTAGAATTCGAGACCGTCATTATTGATGAAGCCGCTCAATGTATCGAGCTCAGCGCATTGATTCCACTCAAGTACGGTTGCTCGAGGTGTATTCTCGTCGGAGATCCGGAACAATTACCCCCAACTGTTCTTTCGAGATCCGCGCAGAGCTTTGGGTATGAACAAAGTTTGTTCGTTCGAATGCAGAAAAATCATCCCAAAGATGTTCATCTCTTGGACACCCAATACCGTATGCATCCTGAAATCAGCAAGTTTCCTAGTCAGCAATTTTACAATGGTAGGCTGGTTGATGGCGAAAACATGGCGATTTTGAGAAAGCAGCCATGGCACGCAAGCACTATTCTTGGGCCGTATCGATTCTTCGACGTCAAAGGAGTTCAAACCCCAGGATCTGGGCATTCATTCATCAATATACCCGAACTCAATGCTGCCATTGGACTCTACCAAAGACTCAAAGCCGATTACAGGACATATGATTTCAGTGGCAAAATTGGTATCATCGCAACCTACAAGGCGCAATTGAATGAACTCAAAGCACGCTTTGCGTCAAAATTCGGCGAAGGAATCTTTGATGAGATCGAATTCAACACAACCGATGCATTCCAAGGCCGTGAGCGAGAGATTATCATTTTCTCTTGTGTGAGAGCCTCAATCACCAAAGGTATCGGTTTCCTCAAAGATATCAGACGTATGAATGTCGGTCTTACGCGAGCCAAGTCATCTCTGTGGGTTCTTGGAGACTCTCGGGCCTTGAAGCAGGGTGAATTTTGGAATAGACTCATCGATGACTCAAAAGCTCGTGATAGATACACTGAAGGAGATGTGATGGCTTTGCTCTCGAGGCCAACCTCTCGTGTAAGCCCCCCGGACCGAGAACCGGGTCATCCGGTCAACAATCACGGTGGCCAATCAATGGCATCAAGCTCGACAGCTATGTCTCATACCAAGCAACAGCAGGCCAAGTTAGAGGTAGAGGACGATGATGTTGAGATGATTGATGCTCCTAGTGCGACAGTTTCTCGAGAACCATCCTCAGGCCGCGATAGCATGATGCCAGCTGGTCCGGATGCAAATGATATTCGTTCACGACATATCAAGCAGGAGAGCACTGAGGCTCTAAGCAGCAGAGCCTCCAGTGAAGTCAGTAGCAACCTTGGAAAGAGGCCTCGGGAAGCAGTTAAAGAAGAAGATGCTCCGGCGAAGAGGGTATGTTTGTTTCAGTACTGATGATTGAGTGCATGCTAACTTCAAGAATAGCCACATTCCACATTGACAGATTCGGGGTCCGCTCTCGATGCCGCCTATCGGGCTCAACAACAAAAGAAGCCACCATCTATGGGAGCGAGACCTCCGCAGCCACCTCTTGGACTCGTGGCTCCTCCTCGGAAGAAGAAGGCACCGGCTGATCCATTCATCAAACGAAAACCCCCAAAGAGACCATGATTTTATCTTCCTTTTCAACGGAGTTTGGGACATAGTAATCGGGCATTGCAGGCGTAGCATCTCTTAAGATTGGCGAGGCCATTTGTTTAGCATTAGATCTACCTTTAGATATTGAGACCCAGAATCGTGGAGGATCGTGATATGCGGTTATGGTGGCAGCACCGTAGAATGGAATTCATATCTGGAGGAGCTGCCATCTTTACGGACTGTGATGCCTCCCAATGAGGATCGCTGTATCTTGCCCGGATTTGGGATTTTGGTCCATATGCGTCATTAAACCGAGACTGTGACGCTGTATTGTAGCAGGTAAGAGTTACTCAGGATCTCTCTATTGACTATCGGTAACAGGGCCTCCCAAGCTGTCCGTATTCCATGACCATGATTTCTCTTGTTTTGAGGTTTACCAGAGTTTTGCTTTCAAGTTTTCTGTCACTCTACCACCACTCTTGAAAGGACGATAGCAAGCCACAAATGATTTTCTCGTTGCCCCTTTTCTCTTTCAGTCTGGTTTTTACCCCCAAAACCGAAAAGATCTACTCTACCCTAGAACCATGACGAAAATCTGATAGGAGGGATGCTTGCATGTGCATGGGCCTGTCCTGTGCCTGCGCCTGCAGCTTTAATCTCGCAAGGATGCATGGGATGCTGTGCTGTGATACAATACCGTACCGAACCGATGGGAGAAAGGTAACGTACAGATGGTAAGGTCCTTTACCGGCATTTTCTCTACTTCCTGTTACAATTGCACATGAATGTTTATGGAAAAGGAGCACGAGTTTCGCTCGTTTTCCATGCTGCATCAGGGGTGGTGTAAGCGACGGAAAGAATTGACTTATCAGATATTCTCCTGCGTGCACAGTTCGCAATGTGGCACCGTCTGATGCTCCTGTGGGCCTACGTCCACCTTCCATCCGCGGTATTGGTATTGGAAGATCACTCGGACTCAACACAACTCTTGGCTTGGGTCATAGGGCACTTGCTCGACTGGCTAGTACTCACTAAATCCTCCGGCTTGCAGCTAAGGATGGAGGATGGGGGATGGCACCGGGCGGCGTCGGCGGCGTACCTTAGGTCAGGGCAAACAAACGGCTACGGCTACTCCCTTTGAGTCTTTTCATCCCTTCATCCCGTCCTCGATCTTCTGTCCGTCTCTATCTCGTGTCTTCTGCGCCTCTGCGTCTGCGTGTGCGTCTGCGCCCTCGTCCTTCCCTTCAGCAATCTGTTTTCGAATCATTTCGTCTCACTGCCGACTGCTTTTACTTAATCCAGCATTGTGAGCTAAGGTCTCTGCTGAAGTCCATGATACCCATATCCAATACGCCTTCCATTTATTGTGTTGATCCCAAGATCTCTGTACCGAACTACGCAAGACGTTGAACGTCACGAAGCCTCCCAATCGCATAGGACCCTTTATAGTCGTTTTGATATTGTACTGTACTGTACGTGCTGCTCCTAGAAGAGCTCTTGCTAGAATCTCCAACAGTGTCTGAGACATTCAACGGGTGCCAACACCGCTTATATTTGCCCCCCTCGACGACGACGACGTATTCCACCCAGCGTAGGAAATTGATTCTTCTCTTGACGACAATACGAAACGGCAGAATTCATTCTACGCAAATACGCGATTAGAAGAAGAGTAAAAGTAAAACAAATACGATCTGCTGCTTGTTGTGCTGGAACTTACAAAATCTCCACGGCAAGGATGCAAACATTTTGGTATTTTTCCTGTTCCATTGACTCTTCTATGTGCGCACAATACATGACTCGAATTGAACTGACAATGTTCTTTTGCTAGACACAATACACTCTTCCATCTCATTACAACCTCCACAATCAACTGACTTGAGAAGCTACTCGAATAGCTCAATCCATGCCATTCAAGAGAAGTCCATAGTCTCCAGCCGCGAGCACGAAACTCCACCCAATATATGGTCTACGAGAATGATAGAAAATAAAAATACTCGAGCGCACAGCAGCCCCGGGGAGCTGAACCGGTGGAATTCAGATTCAAGGTTGTCGGACAGCGTATTTAGTTCATCGAGGATTGCAGAAGCAAACGCCATGTCAGAGAACAGGCGAGAAAGTACACAAGCTCTTTCCGAGTTTCTGATGACGAAACAGCCCCCACCAGGCAATTGGGTTTCCCATCCATCAGATGATGACCAGAGTCTGAAAACGACAGCATCCAAGATGTTTAGACGGAGGAAGAGTAAACCGATAAAAAGACCCCAGTACCTGAAACTTCCCGACAGTGCTATAGCAGCAACAACAACTTCGGGTTCGCGCTATATCGCAATCTCAATTCCTCTTGAAGGGGTGCAAAATGAGAAACAGCCCGAAGAGTCGGTTCCTGCACGTCCTCAATCGCAGCCTTGGCTTCCCTCCGAAAGAGGGCCAGTCACTGTCCTCAAACCCGTGGTAGAAACTCGAGAGTCATCTTCGGGATCTTCACCGTCGAAGAGTAGAGATGCCAAACTTGGAAATAGAATATCTCGAGCAGAATCTGATATGACACCAACCGTCGAAATCCTAGGTCCTGAAGCTACACGAACTCTGGAAAACTACTATACGCAACTAAGCCGGCAACAAAAGCGCGATGCGACGACGCACACGAGCATCGCACCTTCCCGATCACAGCGAAGTTACGTGGCGGTTCTACCTATTGACAATATTGCTCGGCAAGAAACTCGGCGGACCAATATAACGTATTCCGCTAGAAGTGTGGACAGTACTGCCTCAATGTCATCGCCTATGAGCCCTCCGCGTCGTGCCTCTACAGCACCAAGTGCAACCGCCGTACCAGTAAGTCGGAAATTGAATTTGCCGCCGCGTAACTCGAGCTTGAATAAGATCGCCACGGCGGTACAAGTGGAGCTCTTACACATTGGAAGACCTGAAAATGATAGCCCGAGAGAAGATACACAACGGTCTTCGATCCTTTCCATAGATGGAAGCATGCTATCTGGCACAACAGCAACACAATCTCCCACAACAGCATTTTGTGCTGCCGAAACAGCTCAAAGCGGTATCAGTCCTACAATGGAGTCACATTTGCAAAATGTCACGCCGCTTCCAAAGCCACCGAGTCCCCCTCCAAATAAAAAGCTGCCAGATATTCCAAAAACTCAGGTCAATTCACTATCTCGGCAGTCAACTTCGCACCCAGTACAAATTAAAACTGTAGCACCACCTTCTCCAGCCAGGAAACCGACCATATCAGTCGACCCTGAAGAGTGCGTTCAAGCCAGTCAAAGCCGGCAGGATCGAGTCAAGGCACGAAAGCTGAGAGACATGGCGATACTTCGAGACACGAGCAATTCCGCCCGACTGCCAGCAGAAGATGGAGCGAAAGGCAACCGAGTACCCTCGCAAAACTCTTCCCACCTTACAGCGCCGCCGGCTCGAAACCCTAGAAGAGGAAGCTCATCGCATCGAAAAAAGATCCCGATGACCCTTTCGCCTGTCATGTTCGTTGCTAGTACAGAGCCCGCGAGCCCCGATCTTCTTCCCCCCTCAGCTCGAAGATCAGCACGCAACTCCCTCAATGCCTCGAAATCACTCAAAATCCCACCACACAAACTCTACGGCAGCAAAACGCCCCGCACACCACCCCATTCCCGCTCCATCACACCCACCTTCGGCTCCGATAGCGAGACAATCCCCACACGCCGCAAGCAAGTGCATCACCGAGCCTCGGACCTCAGCCTGAACAGCAGCTTCCTCGACAGTTACCGGCAGGAACGCAGAGCGCGGCGCAATGTTAGCCTCAAGGAGAAGGAAATGGATGCGCGGTTGAAGAAGGTCGAGAGGGATAATATGGCGTTGATGAATACGCTGAGTGGCATTGCGATGAGTTTCCAGGAGCTGAATATGAATAGGCTTCATCCGAAGACTGGGGGGAAGAAAATGAGGGCAGGGGGCTTGTTGGAGGGGGCGAGGGTTAGGGGTGGGGATAGTGAGGATAGTGGGGATGAGGCCGGCATTGAGGCTTAAGGTGTGGGCTGGGTTTGGTGTTTGGATTGAGATATACAGGCGTGAGGGGATTGGATTCTGAGAGCAGCTATCTTTAGCTTGGATTTGGTTGGTTGCGATGACTAGATCACCAAGACTAGATGGTCGCATAGGCTTCGATAGCTTTGTCATTAAACATAATGCCATTCATTTATAACATTTCCCGCAGTTTGTCGAGAACTGTCTATTAGCACTGGTATTCTTACTGCGTTCAATCTTCAATCTTTCAATCTTTCCCCAGGGTGCTAAAATCCTATCTGAAAGCCCTCTTCAAAGTTTCGACACCGGGGGTGTATGCGAATTTCCATTAAGTCGACCGCCAGAGCTGTAAACGTATTGAGAATTCAAGAATATACACTGCCACATACTAAACTCTTACAGACTTTTGGTTCTCACAACCCGATCCAATCCGATTCCAAAATCTCAAGCCCCCAAACTCGGTTCAAACCTCATCATCTCATTGAGCATCTGCAAATTGAACCCATCCCCATCCCCCTCACATAAACCCAACAACCATTCGGCATCCATCTGTCCCAATTCGCCATGCCGTCCCTCCCATCGCCCATTCGAAACAGGACTCGTCTGCGCCTCGTGCATATAGGCCAAATCCGGCCCCTCACTCTCTTTCAACGAGGCCGTGTATTCTCCCATCTTGGGCGAAGCACGGACATAGCTCTCTTGCGCGGCTCCTGAGAAAGCAGGTGAAGAGGCATTGATATTGTTTAGCTGCGGTTCCCGCGCAAGCGAACCGTGTGTTTGAGCAGGGGAGGATGGAGTGGGATCCTGGTTCGGATTCGGATTCGGGGGTGCGATCTGAGCAAGGAATTCCATTGTAGCGCCAATGACATTCTCCAGCGCATCGCGGTATTTCTTCACGACCGGCGTGCGTTCCGCCATGACGAACAGCGCGGACGAGCAGGCTCGCAGGTCGTTGGAGACGCTGAATGTCCAGAGGGAGGGCGTAATGAACAGGCAGTAGCACATTGTTACACCTGCTATGAATACGGAGTGTAGGCCGATGAAGGAGTGGCCGTAGGAGTCCCGTTGGTGCAGGCGTTTGAAGATCTGGCAGAGTTGGCCCGAGGCGTGGAGGCAGCGGGCTATGCGGGCGTCGGCTGGGGGCAGGATGCTAAGGAAGGGTTGGAGGAGAAGGCGCACGGCTTTTTGGTAGTGCATTCCGAGATAGTCCTGCTCGTAGGGGGTAGAGGGTGGGAGAGCTTTGTGCCAGTCTTCGAGCATTTTAAGGATGGGGTTGATTTCTGAGACGAGGCTAGCGATGGGTCGGTCAACCCTGTAGATTGTTTCTTGAATGTGCGATTCTAGGCGCTTTAGGCGAAAGCACTGGATTCCGAGGGTGATATTTGAGGATGTGCGAGATGGTTGGAAGGTTGGAGAGGCAGGTACAGCTAACTTTTGTGCAATTAGACTGTCATCTCTTACTATGTCGTCGATTTCCAGGGGCATTTGGGCGTCAATGTCTCGATCTGCTATGCTATAAGGTCGCCCGAGAGAAACAGCTATGACTCGTTCCAGAAAATATACCGTCCAGAACAACCTTCGTCTCAATTGCCCTTCGTATGGTGCAACATTATGGTAATATGCTTCCCGGTGGAGGCCCAAGTCAATGCACGTTCTAATAGCCAGCCCAATCATGTACCAGATACCAGAATTGGAAGGAGATCGTAGGTTATATAGAACGAGAAGGGTCATTGCCTCGATATTATGGACCGAGTGAGATTCTCTTGCAGCTGATATGTATTGTAGGGCTGTCATGAAGAAATTCTCTGGAGGCGTATAGTCATATTGCTCCGTCAATCTCAACATCGTGGCCCCAATTGCATATATCATATATATCTTGAAAGTGCCATATTGATCCTGGGGAGTCAAGTTGCTCTGCGAAAATCGATTCGCATGTCGTTGCCGAATATCTGACGGATCCAGAAAGGGATATCGCAGATGGACCCTAGTGAAATATGCTTCCAGAATCCGATCTCCCATATCATCGTTCGGCGGTTTAGCGCTGTTCCTTTTCAGATCTGCAATCGTCATTGCCTTAGGCTGACTTTGGCTAACGGTAGATGCAAGTGCTTTGTTCCATACTGTTGCTTGTACCATCTGACCCAGATTCGTTGCGAGTGCGAATCCAGACGAAGATCCAACATATGCTCCATCGCCCCCGAGACTCAGAAACCCCACGATATCGGCAATATTGTTCTTTCTTCGCTCATCCTCTGATGAAGTTGGTGACACTGCCTGCGGGGTGTTGAATGGGGGCGTATCGATTTTAGGCGGAGCCGCCTCTGCATATGCTGCCAGTTGAGCTTCGAGGCAGGCAATACGCTCCAGAAGAGCTTGGTTCGGACCACTTCAAACGTTCAGCTTTTGTCCCACTCTGAACGCGCGGTGACTTACCTGTTGTATTCCTCAATGGCAGAGGGGGGCTGAATACATTCCTCCTTCGAATGCGCGCAGTTTTCGCAGACAGGAAAGCCGTGGCATTTCTGCTTACGTGCTCTGCAGCGCTCACAAGACTTCCTTGCTCGTTTCGAGGGCCGCGGATTGTCATCCATGGTCAGTAATGGCGCAATTTAGCGTTTGAGGGCGAGATGGTGATCTGAGGGGAGACATGGCGGGCAATGTTTGGCTCGAGAATGGGGGGGAACGGGAACCTGGGCTGGCTGGGCCTGGAAGCTATCATGGCTGAATGCCGAGGAGGCTGCGATAAAATGGTGTGTAATGCTGATAGCAGAACATTCGGCCGGCGGGGAAGTAAGCGACGACCCTATTGGGCTTAGCTTTATTTATACCCCTAAGATGAGATGGGGTCTGCAAGAGAAATCTGATCGTCTTCTTCATCGAGGGTGCTAGCTAGTACCAATATCTTAATCGATTTGGTAGAGTATAGAAATTAATATTTTACAACTGTAAAGACGTTATGAATATCCCGATTTTTTCTTTTAATTTCACCCCCTTTCTATTTCGCTTAGTGACTGAGCTTCAGTATACAAGTTGAGTAATAGTAAATATAAAAGTGTACGCACCAGCGATAATAACGCATAATCAGAAGTCCTACTCGTAAGTACAATTCTACAGTACCAGCCGAGAGCACCTATCTACCTGACCCTATGTACACCCCGGGATCCCCAAAGCGTCAGCAGTGGTACTAGCCAGTCCCACCCAAGCCCTCATCGCATTGATAATACTCAGATCTCTATGAACTCTTGTGTACTTCCCTTCCGCCATCGTGTACCCACAGCTGTTCTCCACATATGCAGTATCTTTCGGCACACCCAAACACCCACTCGCTCCCTGACTACCTGTATACAACGAGCAGTCGCTCAAGCCATCAGGAAATCCGGAGCCACCAGCAGTCATGAACTCATAGGACGAAAGGACGAGTTTGACCCACCAGTCTGCATCCGTTCGGGAGAAGAGTTGGACTTCGAACGCTCGGTGCTTAGCAGGGTCTTTGTCTTTGATCAGAACAGAGCCTTTGTCTTGCATGTCTCGTGACGAAGAGCCCTAAATCAAGTATCAGTATATCATCCGTAATCAAGAGGAAGCGGCCACGCACAGGACTTTGCTGATCATGGTCATCATTCTGAATTGCAAATCTACTGGCAGGAATCACCCAATTCCCACAAATCGGCATTTCCTTCGGATAATCAGAACTCCAGATCTTGATCTGACTTATCTCATCAGCTGTGAAGCCATTATTAGTCAGTATGGTATTGAAGTTTGTATACCAGCTATCAGCACCACCATCACAAGCAAGCACTGATGATTCGCCGCCGAGAATGACTTCTAGCCAGGATATGTAATCTGCTGGCATACTGCCTCCCATCTTCTTCTTCACTATTGCGAAGATGGCTGCGATAGAAGACGGTCCGATATGCTTGGCTGCGTCAAAGCGAAGGCCGCTGAAGCCGATCGAGAGTAGATCTACGACGTAGCTTGCAATGCGATCTTGTGTGTATGGTTTCTCGGTATTGAGATCTGTGAGTCCTACGAGCCATCCTTTCGTGACTTGATTCATGTCAGTCCAAGAACTGATTGAGCGTTCACAATGGAAGTCTGTTGGACCGTAAGGAACCGCTGGAAATTCGAGTGTCGGCCTCGTGTTTGTTTGCGGGTTGATGAGATAGGTGTTACCAGATGTGAAGTATGGCGATCCTGCTGTGGCATTATGACCGGTGTATGTAGAACAATCTGTGTTCTGATGATTCTGGATATCCGTTCCTTGCCCAACCATGTGATTTACCACAGTATCTGCGTAGACTCGAACGCCTGCTATCCGGCAGGCTTGGATCATTGCTCGAAGCTCGTCTCGGGTACCACTTCGAGAACGTAGTCGGTAGCTAACAGGCTGGTAGACGAAATACCACGGGCGAAATTGCTTGTCAGTCTCGTACTGTTTCATAATTAGCCGGGATGTAGGCTTTTAAGACCTGAGTATGCGCGTACATAGTTTGAACCCCACACATGCTCATTCGGAGGCCAAATCTTCACTCCCATATAACCAGCTTTGCCCAAAAAGGCACATTCTTTGCCGACATCCACCCACGGCCAGCCAAACAGCTCAGCGATTCCTCCCTTTTGACCACTTTGGAAGGAGCTTTGTGCAGCAGTGAGAGGTGCGCTTTGCCAGATGAAGTTGATCGGGTCTAAAGTCAAAGTCTTGCCACTGGATGTAGAAATTGTCATCGAAAGAGAAGTTGCAAAGCTCGCAGTGACTTGGTAGACGTTGCTAGAAGACGCGGTTTCTCCATTGAAAGAGTACGCCAGAGTCTCTCCAGTTCTCGAAGCAGCGTTAATTACGACTGCTGCAGCTGTCCGAGCGGCACTGTACTGGATGTCAGCATACCCGACAAGGTCACGGTATGCTCCAAAGCTAGGATCGTAAGCTGGACCCCCTTGTGGTGGAGTCTGCCATCGACGTTGTTCAGCCGAAGATGTGAACGAGGATACACTGTCTGAGGGGCAGCTATCTCCTCCATTCCAGTTCCCACACCCGCTTGGTGCAGTAGCGGGGCTTTCGCTGGGGATTGACGTGGGAATTATTGGTGGTGGTATGCTGGGCGAAACAGCTCCGGTTCCAACGACGGTAACTGTAGATGAAGATGAGGTAGTCGGAGTTGTAAAAGTTGACGAGCTTGTTGAAGTCTTGGAAGTGCTTATGGTAGAGGATGAAGTAGAACTTATCTGGTAGTTCATGGAATTCCCAGGATCGTAGTATCTCAAATTCAGTCAGGTTGGAGAGCGTGTACAGAGGATCTCAAGAACTTACGAAGTTCCGCTAACATCATATCTTACATAGAATTGGGTTGCGCCGGCTGCAGTCCCCGAGAAAACCCATGTTTCATAACCACTTGACCCAGCAGCAGAGTAGCTTGCAGATATACTCTGTGAGGTGCTCCAAGTATTACCCATGGCATACACGACAGTGACTACCTTTGAAAAGGCAATATTCTGTATCTATAGACGACAAGATTAGGAAGTGGTCATGGTAATATTGGAATGACTTACATTGATTGAACCAGACAGGACGTTCTCAGAGAAGTTGTAGTTTATCAATGAAATCTGCGTCGCTCGTTTTTCCACTGGTGATGCATAGATGAAGATGGCGAATGCTAGGACAGCTACTGAAAGCTGCTTAATCAGCCTGATGAAAGAGAATAAAACCATAGCGATATGAAGAGATGACAGTATTAGATTATCTGAAGGGATAATCTGGGAGAACTGAGTTGACTTTATATTGGTGTTTTCCAGACGCTCACCGTATACAGGTGACCGAATACGGAGAGACCAAGGAAAAACTGCATTGCTTGACTAGAAATAGAGGGCATTGTCCGAGAACTTGATATATTTCAAGGAACTATGTCGGCCAGACTCTAGCCTCGCCTTCTCAAGCGACTTTTCTAGAGAGAAGAGCCATTCCCGAGGAACAAGCTCTCAGTAGGAAGTCGCATACCGGAAGTATATGCCACTAAATTAGGTGCGTGAAGAGGCGTACGGAAGTCCAAAGGGCCAGATGTAATTTAATCCTAGTATCCTCGTAAATATATTGGAGCAATATACACCATAGCTTGGCATTTACATTTACCCAATGCTGACCGTGACTTTTAAACTACACAGCGCTCAGGTGCGGTGAGGGGCAGCTGCCTCGGGAGAAAACTCACAGTCAAATAAGCGTATTTGGGACCTCAATCGGACCGCACTTCTCTTGGCGATATATAAAGAACAAAATAGAGGAAAGGAAAAGGAGGGTGTTGCCAGGCATAACCGATAGAACGGCCGAGAGGTCGGACTTGAAACCCCCATGGGGAAAGTGTGGGGTAAGGAGACAGGACTTTCCAGGCGAAAGAACTTGGCATGAATGGCGCTTTTATCGAGAGAGAGCAGGGCTTACTAATCTGAAGAGCATCCATACGTTCTTGCACAATCATCATCCGCTCGCATGTTCACCCTCACAGGACGCGTTGCTTCGAGCCCTATTGACTAATACTGATGGATGAGAATAACTTTGACCTTTTGGGAGTAGGGTTATGTTGCATTTCAATTTTTCAATGTGAGCTGAGATTGTTTTGTAAATAGCCAAAATCACGAGAGCAGTGCGATTGATGCTGCGGGCATATTACATTGTTTTTACAGATTAGCAGTGGATGGTATGTTTACATTCCATCTTTACATCTCAAGCCTTACTGCTGAATCCCACACCTTGTCCCACTGGACAGTTTGGCACGTTGGCCTGCCAATTCAACTTGGCATACTCAGGCAAGTAGCTTTGTGTAGTAAAGCTTTGGTCCAGGTAGTAGCTTCGATCAGCCGAGGTATAATTTGCACCCATGGCGTTCAGGACAGTAACAACGTTGCTAGCAAAGTAATCAAGGAATATCACATCAACAGTAGCTGGCGTGGTGCCATCGACAGGGAAGGAAGCGTTGCCTTGTACATAGTTAGGTTGCGAATACGAGGCGATCTTGGAGTGGATTGTGTCATCCCCATCTGTGCCGAACGCGTCGGTAGTGGTATATCCCGGGCCGACAGTTTGGCGTCGAGAGATACCGCGTGTCTTGAGCTCGCTCGTAGTTCCGGATATAAGACCAACAGTGGGGTCGACGCAGGAGTCTCTCTCGACTACGAGGGGCATAGTACCCCAGGTTGAGCCAGCTGAGTTGCGCTTGTCTGGCAAGGTGGCACCGTTGAGACTAGCGAGGACTTTGTGCGCCATGTGGTAAGGGACGTTGGCAATATACTGAAAGGCATCGGTGAAAGGACTAACGATAAAACTATCATCATATGTGAAAGGCCCTTTGACGAGATCGAATCGAATCGATCCAGTGTTAAGGATGATGTATCGAGGAATGGAAGATCGAGAAGCATTGATCACAGTAGCCCCGAGAGCAGTTTCTACGAGGCTGAAGATGTTTCCAGCAGATTCAAAGGGTTGGCAGGATTGGCACCAAGTTGCAGGTGCACAACCATAGAGGGACGTGAGGTTCTGCTTCTTCCGAACATCCGTAATATCGCCTGAAACTCTCAAACCGCTGTGGTAATCGAAAGTGCTATCCTGGGAGTTGGTGGCATGGTACTCGAATGTCAATCGGTTCCAGTCCAGATATCTCCGGGAGTAAACAAGGCCGGAAGTGGATGTGTTGGTAGCCTTCCGTGTTGGATTGGCGACACCACGAGGTTTACAATTGCCGTTGAAGGTTGAAGAGTTGATCCCAGTCATCGATAGCCACCCAAGAGTCTCACAATACCGCCCTGCAAGGAGTTAGAATGGCGACAAAAATTAATAGGATCCAGGACATACCAGACTCTAGACCAGTGCTCTTGTCATCATAGACCGTGAAATCTCTGATGTGTGTGTGTCCACCGAATGCTTGAATGGGTGTATTCGGACGCAAATTTCTGATGGTATCATGAATGAGACCAAAAGTAGACCCAGAACCATGGATGGGGTTGTGACCAATTAAAAGAAACAAGTCAACAGGCTCTGAGAAATTGACTGCATCCAAAAACCATTGCTGCTGTACCAGGTCTGCAGCCTTGATGACTTTTGAGACATTTGAGTTGCCTGTGAAATCAAAGAGAACGCCAAATGTCATGATCCGAAGACCTGGACCCATTTGGTTAGCTTGGCCGGGTGTATATTGGAAGATACGACCTACCATGAGGAGTGGTGAAGTAGCGATACTTTGATCCGATGTACTCAAACTGAGATGTAGCGGGGTTGTAGATCTGGACATTCGAAGTGACATACTTGTCGCCCCAGACCTTACTGAAATTTTGATAGGTCTGTTTCTTCTATTAGAAAATTCTGGGAAATTGAGTCGAGATGCAACAATGTATTTGAATTATTTCCACAAAAAACTAAAATACAATAGGGTGGAAGATCATTATAGGGAAAGATTAAAAAATATAAGGTTCCTACTTCATATGCAATGTTGGTCAAATACAGCTCGTGATTGCCTAATTTCCGTCAGTATATAAGTGAATTTGACGGGTCGACGTACCAATGGTGAGAACGTCATATTCAATCTGCTCAAATATGGGGTTTGACAGAAGTCCATTAGGAAGAGCGGCATCACTGAGTCCGTTCCCATCGTGGAGATCGCCTTGGAATCAAACTAGTCAGTCTTTGTCCTGAAATACAAGGCAGCCCGAAAGTTACATACCAGTGTCAACGAGCAAAAGATCAACGCCCAAGTTCCCTGCCTTGTGCTTCATATGTCTGGAAAACGAGACAAAGTCACCCCAATCAGCACCATAGTTCTGCTCCTTGAGATGTCCTTCAAGCCAACCATGAGTATCTGTCTAGACAGTGTCAATGCTCAAGTCTTGATCATATGAGGGAATAGATGACCTACGGTGTGCAAGAAGTTCAATTGACCCCATTCAAGTGGACTCTTCGGGCCAGAAGTAGCATTGCTGGCTTCCGGTTGCATTCGTCGAACATTGCGTTCATGAACGACGGCAGATGAGGGACCATAGCAAGAATCACAGGCCAATGTAGAGCTGGCGGCGGCAGCTACGCTGAAGACAGTTGAAAGCCTCATTTTGGTGCTTCGAAATGGACGTCTTGATGGAACTTGTCAGGGTCTCAGAGGCTCTTTTAAAGAAGCAGAAATCTCTTAAGCGATGGCATCTAGTTCAGGAACACGGCGTGTCCCTTGTACCTTATCGCTATTCACTGCATGCATGATAATTCACCCTTGCACGTTCCCACGTGCTTTTTCAGTACCTTCCCATTTGGTGCTTGCCAAGCTTACAGTGTACAGTATGGGCAAGAGCAGTGCCATGGCGGTCATGGCTGCCGTTGATATATGATCCGGAACGCCCGCATCATAGCTAACATGCTAACATACTGTACAGACTCCTAGGTGGATTTTGATAAGAGCGGGAAGAAAGAAGGTGGTGGTGGGCTTCAGCGGCCCATATATCAATGCAACCGGGGCCCGGCAAGTCATGTGATGCGCTCCTATCTGGACTAGGGCTTCTGTGTTCAACTTCATGTCTTCAAACCTCGTTTTCGTGCTCTCTTGTAGAACCCAACATCTTGTCGCTTTATTGATTCTATTTTCAGCTTCCACTTTCTCGCAAGCCGTCGTAGAATGTTCCACGCTAATATATAGAGTTTTTTCCCCGAATGTATTGATCATTGTCGATATATGAGCCGAAGGCTTATTTGTGATACGTCGATTTTGGACACACATAATTTGCAAGTGCATGAAGTTCTGCAAATTATTCTAGGCCAGATCAATTCGTAATCGTGGCTTCGATTTGTTATTCGGAGTTTTTCAGTTTTGCGATATTTCTGTCAGACCTTACGTTCATGGCAATGAAAACTAGGGAGCCCTGTTTTCTTAATTCAGTCTCTTTTATCTGTGAAACCGTGGGAAATTGGACCTTCACCTCGTGCGCGATTGTCCAGAAAACACACGCACCTCTTCGACCACATGGCTTCCAATGATAAACTCATATCTCGATCACAACAGGTTCCTCTCCCCTCAACGCTCTCCATCGATTTGTAGCCTCCATGACTCCCTTACACCCTTTCAAAAGCCACCCCCACTTCTCGATAAACCCTTCTGAGACCTCCCACCCACTTATCTCCCACGGCGTTGACCAAGCAATCAAGCCTCTTCGCTCAGCCTCAGATCCAGGGAACCCTTCCCAGAGTCCACCCAGAAAATCACGACGCATGTCATTTGAATCATAAGTCCCAGCAGCCAGGATGCAATTGTCTCTCCAGACAGCGTGGGGTAGGATGTTTATCCACTTATCATGTGTGACAGCGCGCTGAAGGGGAGTGGGCTCAAGTGATGGAGGAACGGGTTGGTCTGGCCCTGAAAAAGTGGTGGCGTTGGTGGTGGGCACAGGAACGATCCGCAGAGCTTGTGAGCATTCCGAGGGAACAGTGTGTAGGGCTGAGAGGAGACGCAGGTTGGTCATGGCGGCGCGAAGGACATTGTATTGGACGAGAGTAATAAGATGGTCCGAAGTGAGGGGGAAGACAATCCTTGTGGTTGGGTATGTTGGTGTTCCGCGAAACATCGGAGGAATTAAAGGGCTTGGTGGTCTGGGGATTGTATTGGCTAGCTGAGCTGGGAGAAGAGTGACTGTTTGATGATCTTCGTCCCAACAAACTGTTGACACATCTGTGGCAGGTGCGGGTAGGGCTGGCGCCTGAGATTGTGCGGCTTTGCGCTTTCCTGTTGAAATGTCAGGGACCAATTACCTTGCTCAGAAATAGTTGGCATGCAACTTCAATATGCTCATAGGAGATGGAATTTCGATTATTTCAAAAACGTGAATAGTTTTTGGACTGTGGGGTATCGGGATATTTCTGCTTTCTGGGGTGGTTGATTGCTGCGAAGAAAATGCAAGAAGAGGGTTCAACAGTGTACGCTTTGATTGAGTGTGTCGGCGAGACTGGAGCTATAACGAAAAAGACAACGATCAAAGACCTCGGCAGTAACCCGTGTTGATGCCAGCATACTATAGAAATTCCTCACTTACGATGAGCCCTGACGTTGAGCCTATTCTGCAACTTCCTACGAGTTTCAGCATCACCAATTCCGGTCCAGTCTTCATGTATGCCCTTCGCCTTCTTCAAATTAGCACGATAGCTCGCCAGCAGACCGGACATATTTCAATCACCTCGGCTAGTTGTGGCATCCGCTCAAGACGGAGATCTGATAGGGTGTGAACTGTACCCATTATTATAACTGTGAATGAAGCCTTTGCATCTGTTTGAATTGCGGCAAAATGTGGACGAAGTTTGCAGGTTCGCGTCAGATATTGAAAGATACTGCAGTCTGCTTACCGCTAGCAAGCATGACAAGGGAAATACGGCCTATTTATTACCTTGAGAGCTATCAAAATCATTTTGGAAGGACACCGCAACAAAATCTTGCTTACATTCACGTTAGACGTTGTTATACGGCGTTGATCCGTGCATTTTCTGTTTTCCAGGAGAATGGAAGTCTCACGCTAATGCAGTGGCCTTACAGCGCTAACTGAATTAGGAGCTAGTTGGTCTAGCCTATACCAATCTCCTCCGCTAACCTCACGACCGACAACCTTTACTTTCTTCACATTGAACCAATAAAATGTCAAATCTTCAACAGGTTGCAATCCGCGTAACGTGCATAGACAGAAACAGATATGTGTATGCGTAGGTAAAGTCGGCGCTTGCAGACCATCCAATATCTATATAAAAGCGTTGCATCGCCTTCTCTCTTTTCAGAACCAGTTGCATCCCAAGTCTTCAAACGCCTCACCTATCCAGTTATATCCAAGTTCTTCAAAGTCCCCATCTTTCCTCGTCCTTCCCTTTCATACGTGTCTTTCGTTAGAAACCTCAAGATGACCTTTCACCCAGATTCTCTCCCCGATCTCTCCGGGAAAGTTTTTGTAGTGAGCGGAGGGAATGCTGGAATGTTCGTCTCTCAACTCGCTTCTCCTTTATCCAATTCAAGGCTTACGGGTATGTAGAGGGTACGGCACTGTTTCCCGGCTCGCGGAGCATGGCGCGCACATATACATGTGTGCTCGATCTCCCACCAAAGCCTCCGAGGCAATTGCAGAGATTAAACTCATATACCCCAAAGCGAATATCACCTTACTAGAGATGGACCACAACAACCTCTCTTCCGTCGTTTCAGCCGCTAACAATTTCTTATCGAAGGAAACCACACTCCACGGTCTCGTCAACAACGCTGGAATCATGGCCACTCCCCTTGAAATCACCAATCATGGATACGAGGCTCAATGGCAAACCAACTACCTAGCACATTGGGTCTTTACCTCTTATCTCTTGCCGATTATGCTTAGAACCTCAAAATTGCTTCCGCCTGGTAGCGTTCGCGTCGTAAATATTTCTTCTTCGGGTCATTTTTGGGCTCCGAAAGGCGGAATAAACTTTGCTGATACCTCTCTTACTGGGAATTCCAATATGAATCGCTACGGTCAAAGTAAACTTGCTAATATCCTTCACGCAAAGACCCTCAACAAACTGTACGGTAAGCAAGTCTTTCGTGAACTCCAAATGATTCTCAAACAATATCGCTGACTATGAGGACTATTCTCAGGTCCCTCAGCACCGGCATCCAAAGCAGAAGATGGCGAGATATGGACTTCGGCTGTGCATCCTGGTCTTGTCAAAAGCGGACTTTCAAGCAAAATCGCAGAACCAGAGTGGTGGATGAAACTTACTGGTCCTATGGCATCCCTCGGATTACAACAAGATGCAGATACGGGCGCGAGAACGTCACTTTTCTGCGCAGCGAGCCCAGACATGAAAGCCGAGCAAAGCGGTACTTATTTTCAGCAGATTGCGAGTGCCGGATGGCAAAGTTGCTCGGCAAAGGATATGGTTCTTGCTGCAAAGTTGGAGGATTGGACGAAGGCTGAGATGGCAAAAGGAAACTGGGTTAATTAAGCATTCAATAAGGATATCCGAAGCACCCAGCATCGCGCTATCCCCGCCTAGTTTATTACGCAACCTCCGAACTGAATACCGCTTCCTTCCTCAATCTTCCTCATCTCCCATCCCGACATTCTAGAGTTTCTGATATCTCTCATTTCTACTTCTATGATTACACCCCTCATAGCATATAAACGCCACAGTACGATACAGTAAAGCCGACCAATGCTTACTTCGCACTCCCGTCAAATTTCATGGCTTTTGAATAGCGACCCAAAGCCATCAAAGGGAAATAGCTATGGGAGAGAGCAGTTAGTGGGAGCCTCAGATTCGCGAGGGACAATTTGGGACCTACTGCCGGTAGAAATCGTATCGCAAGTAGAAATGGTTGGGGAAACCAGTTCCTGTAAACTGAGGTTCTAACCATGAAGCGCCTTTGCCGTCCTGGTGGTCGTCTTGCGAGTCCAGCAAGAATGCTATTCCTCTTTGAATACTATCATCCGTAGGTGCCAGATGTGCCAGCAATCCCATCAATGCCCAGGCAGTTTGAGATGCGGTCGTTTCACCTTTGCCGGCTTTCTCTGGGTCAGCATACGTCTCGAGACATTCTCCCCAGCCCCCGTTTGGTGCCTGGCAGCTTTTGAGCCATTCGATAGCGGGATTGACCAAGTCTTTAATTCTTCCACCGTCCGAATACGCAAGTGCACAAAGTACATTACTTGTTCCATACACATAATTAACTCCCCACCGACCCCACCATGATCCATTTGACTCCTGAATTGATGCAAGGTAGTTGATGGCGTTGTGGACAGCTATCGTCAATGTCTTCTCGAGACCAATATCAATTGGGAACGCTCTGCTACTAAGAATAAGTCCAAATGCTTCCACGACTCGGCCTGTCACATCGGCTGTACTGGGGTCGCATAAAGCATCGAGATCACTAAATGGACACTTGTTCATGAATTCGTTGTTGTTCTCAACGTCAAACGCTCCCCATCCACCGTCAGGATTGACCATACCTAGGAGCCAATCCAGGGCAAACAAGACGTGGTCTGAGCCGACGCTTTCCGGTTCTTGCTTCACAAAAGCGATTATCACCGCCGCTGTATCATCAATATCGGGATACCAGGTGTTGTGGTATTCGAAAGCCCAGCCTCCTGCAGTCAGCCCAGGCCGATAAACTCTCCAATCACCTTCAGGGCCTTGGATCTGCCTTTCTTTCGTCCAACCCAATGCTTTTTGCAGTCTTTTGTCTGCGCCAGGTATACCAGCATCGAGAAGTCCAATTGTCATGAGCGCAGTGTCCCAGACAGGTGATACACAAGCTTGAACATGCATGCCTTTTTCGTTTTTCCATGTGAATCTTTCTATGGCTGCTAGGCCCCCTTGGAAAGGCTTGCTGTCGTGGCTGAATCCCTCTAAATGCAACATAAGAATGTTATTAAGCATTGGCGGGAGGATCCCAGCCCAGTCCCCAGACTTTTCTTGCCTTTCAAGGACCCAGTCTACGCATTTTTTGATTGCATGTTTTCGTGTTGGCAATTTTCGTAATGCGTTGCTGAGATAGCACAGTGTCGTATCTGCTATAGTAAAGCAAAACTCCCAACTGAACATGCCCTCCTTGCGCCATTGTTCAAGTAGAGGAGGAGAGTAGGGGACCGACTTATTTCCTGGGTTGCGCCATAACTCATCAATAAAATCATTGTTTGCAGAGAGGCCATTTGGTAGTGGGAATGTGGGTTGGTGATGGGCAATGACCAAAAGCGGAATTAAGGTGGCCCGAGCCCATGATGACAGCCGATACACGTTGATCTTTGTTTGTGGTGATAGTAGGATCAACTCTGGAGGTAGTTGTGGAATACCGCTCCATGGGAAGAGGCCAAACATTGCGAGATGGATGCGTGTCTATGGTCGACAAAGTTAACACCCGTGTAACGAGCCATGGACCCAATTCTAGAGCTAAGTTTTCAGTAATCGGGTGTTGCAGACTCACAAATACTCTGACTTTCGGAATTCCGCCAATGCCCGTAATGAATTGGCGCCCCCTTTGCATTGCAGGATTGTCGCTTGGAATCCCCAATAGCCTGAGGGCCAAGTACGCCTCAACGCTTGTGGAGATGTCTCCTGGTGTTCCGTATCCTATGTTCCATCTACACAACAAAATAATGGAGTCAGTATCAATTTTTGGTTTTGCGAAGGTAGCAGGAAAATATTTCGAGAGAGCCAAGGGTTCAGCTTTGAAATCCGCCGAGGTGAAGCAAATTTTGCACAGGAAATATCTACTTACCCGCCATCTTTCTGCTGGCCTGATAAGAGCTCATGCTTAAGTGCTTCGGCATTAGGGAGGAGGTCGATTCCCAGTATGTATTGCAACATCACATATTCCGCAGTTATAGTGGAATTGGAACGCAGCTCTCCATACCAGTGTCCATCATCCTCGGAATGCTTAAAGGCATATTCCGATGCTAAAGAGATGCTTCGCAGCACTTTATCTCCGTGCGTTTCAAGACTACTTGCTGAAGGCATTAGGTTCAAGCTTGGATCCAAATGATTATTCGGGTTTTGGAGAGTCTGATGGGTTAGGTTTTATTCCAACGCTACATCGGAATATCACACTGCTGTTAAGTCACATCTTTCTATGACCCATTTTGTGACACCCTATATTACTTGCATGTGATACCTCAGAATGGTACTAAAAGCGCCATTTGAAAGTTCGGAGCCAGCAAACAATATTGAAATAGTTCAGCTTTAAGCTGTTATGTCGGCGCAATTGGTGAAGTCGAGTCCGTTGCCACTCCTTATCTGTCAAATATCACTCCTGCCGTGTCAATATTTTTCAGCTATTGGAATCTGTGCATCTCCCCTTCAGCCTATATTGGCTTTCTGGCTGCATTGACAACTCGCTATCTCGGGTGCCTATGTAGATCGGTGGTGCTTTACAGAATACTATTCGCTGAACACAAGAGGAATGAATGCCTGCAGCGATATCGCAACATCGGCTGTGTCCCGTTACACATGGTTTTCTTTTTTCGTCCGCGTCACCTTCTACCTAGCTTCTTACACAAGTTGACTATTGCTGCACAGATCACACGTTCTTCGGGACAGGCCGGGTTGTGTTACTCTCGACCATGGTCTCCTAGTGTCCGGAGGTCTTAAAATACCTGACATCAACAGTGACTTACTGTCTGTGGAACACACAATATATACCCGACCCACCACGAGAAGTCTTCACAGCTTTCTGATACAACCCTGAAAACAAACAATCAACAGCTATCAATTTGTGCTTTCCTAAGAGTATCTTTGCGGCCAATGTATCAAACACTTGCCCTGATTTTCGCAGTGTTGATCCTGCTCAGCAACCCTCCTTCACTCATTCAGAAATACAGACTCAGAAATATACCAGGCATTGGACATGGCATCAAAGACTGGCTGTTTATCCCTACAGGTACAAAAGGGAAGCTTCACAGAGCATACAAAAAGGTTAGGCCTTCTATACAAATCGAAGAAACATGGAAAGCCGCTAATTATTATGTGAAGTTTTCAAACACTCTTTATAAGATGCAAGCATTGGAGGGCGATGTTGTTTTGATACCACCAAAATATCTCGATGAGCTGAAATCCATGCCTGACTCGCATTTTGCCTTTGCACAAGCGCAGGAGCTAGTAATCATCCCCTCTATATCATTGATTTGAGTTACTGACTCTCTAAAAATAGTCGTTGATGAGCAAGTATACGAAAACCCCGGTAACAGACTTGGTAACGACTTCAATGAGGAATAACGTGGGTCCTCAAGCTGGTATGTGAGAACTACTGATAGAACTTTACAACGATGTCTCACGTTTGGCAGGAAAATTCATACCCGCGGTATATAAAGTTGCTCGAACGTCCTTAGCGAGTCATTTTCCAGTTACTGAAGGTACTTTCAGACATGCATTTACCGTCATCTACTGACATAAGTTCAAGAATGGAAGCCCGTCACTATCTTCCCTGAAGTCCCTCATCTCATTGCCACAACCGGTGGGGTTTTGCTCTCGGGTGAGGAGCTCAACAGTCACGAAGAATGGGCCAACGTCTGCATCGACTATCTAGTCAACGTATTCCAAGGTAGCAGTAAACTACTCGTGTGTCCTACCTTCTTGCGGCCTCTGGCCCAATTTTTCATTCCAGAGTTGTTCCGTATAAAATCATGCCTGAAAAAAGCAAATCAAATCGCCATACCGATCATCGAGAAGCGGCTGAAAAATATGGAAAACGAAGATTTCCAGAAGCCAATTGATTTGATTCAATGGGCTCTGGATCTGAGTATTCAGCGAGGGCCTGTGAATTTGCAGGAGCAGGTAGAGTGTCAGTTGATGGGTGCCCTTGGGGCTATTCATACAACCAGCATGGCGTTCACACAAGCAATATATGGCATGGAACCCCCCGTTTGGGAGTTTCACGCCCGCTAATTGCCATGAGTAGATCTCGCCGCACGCCCAGAATACGTCGATCCGCTTCGACATGAGATTCAAGACGTGCTAGGTGACGGACACGACGTAACAAAAGTAACACTTTCGGGACTGCAGAAAATGGACAGCTTCATCAAGGTAACACAATCGTATCACAATACATGTTCTACGATACTCATTAGAAACAGGAATCCCAACGTCTCAACGGCATCACACTGGCTACCTCCCGCCGCATCACAGCACAAGACATCCACCTCTCAACTGGACATATCATCCCCTCCGGCACTCAGACCGGCCTCCCGGGTTTCGACCAGCTCAATGACGTACCGAACCCCGACGTCTTCGATGGGTTCCGCTATTACAGGATACGCAAAGAGTCACCGGAGAACGAGAACAAGTACCAGTTTGTGGAGAGCGGGAAGAAGAACTTGTACTGGGGGTATGGGCGACATGCTTGCTGTGGACGCTTTTTTGCGTCTGATGAGCTCAAGTGTTTGTTGGTGTGTGTGCTTAGAGGTTATGATTTGAAGTTGCCGGAGGGGATGGAACGGCCGAGTAATTGGTTGATTGATTGGAAGATCATTCCGAATATTGATGCGAAAATCATGATGCGAAAGGCTGCTTAAGGGTATAGCTGCTGAGATACTAGATGGGATGGGTTAGTTGGCATGCACTAATGCGCGTCCATGTTTCCTTTGTACTTTCGGAGCATTCTCTTCTCTCGGAGTGAACGGAGCAAGGGGAACTAAATACACAATTAATTTACTATGTATTCTATAACACATCTTGTTGGGGAATATCAAACCATGTCTAGTACTTGTCTTATTAGCGCGGTGATGATTAAAGCTGGGATGTCTCTCGGAGTTTTCGTAATTTAGGTGGGGTAGGGGGCATCACTTCCTAACTTTAGGCTCTGCTGATAGGAGAAACATGCCGAAAGCCGCTAGGATCAGAAGATGGCCATATCAAATGCGTCACCACACCCGCGATTGGACATGTGGATGGTTAGAGAAGAGAAGTGTGTTGATTCGGAGTGTTGCTCATTGACTCATATGAAACAGGACCTTACTCTCCTGCAAGACAACATCCCAGTATATCCAGAACAAGCACAATGCCTACCATGCATTTTCGACTCTCATCCATAACGTTACATCCGCCGTGACATCGCGTGATTCATATATGCCCGAGGGAGATATGATCCAGAGGAAGTCATCCCTATCTTGGGCGGTACGGAAGCACCAAGTCTTGAACTGGACTTGGTCCAATGATCGTGTCGTACGTATACGCCACGTCCTTTCCGCCCGTCTCGCTTTTCATCCAATCAGTCTTCTCGACGACGTCCATCCAGACCCACGAATACTTAACCTCAATGACTTCTTCGATATCTGTGTAGTGGTAAGCACCGTTGCCGTACCTAGGGAGTCAGATAATTCAGCCTTACCATCGTTGATGTTGTACGTATCGTCAGATCTGTCGAATCCCATTGCACGTCGAAAGATTCCCTCACCCTCCTAAGTCTGCGGTCGAGCTACCTGCTTGGAGATCCACATCAATCGTTGACGCCTTCTCTCTCTTTTCGTATGCTTTCGCGGCATGTCGTTGTCGTTGTCATTGTGCGGAACTTGGTGTTCATTCAAATTGCGAACTGCAACGGCTATCAGATCACGAGTTAGCTTATTCAATTGTGGTCGAGGAAGAGGTTGCTCGTGGAGTCTTACAGTCGGCATCGAGGAATACAGCAGCTCGAAGCTTCTTGATCTGCCGGTTGTCCTTTGTCTTGCGCTTGGCCTTGAATGCGCCGCCTTTTCCGCTGTTTGGCTCCTGGATTGCGGTCTGATTGCGGTCTGATTGCGCTTTCCACTGCCGTTCTGGGGATACTACGAAGAAATCGTTGAGCAAGAGAGTAAGCTTGAGAGCGCCCGATTGGGACGGATACATACTGAGGGTGGTTCCATCTTGGTAGATGCGATGTGTGACGAAGGGGATGTAGTGTAAAATGAAACGTCCTCGATGCGGGAGCTGGAAACAGAGGGAGAAGAGGGAGACGTGGATGCCCATTTTGGCGCGTCAATAAATTTTACGCGTTTAGCAAGAGGAAAAAGTGCGAAACATGGCAAGCGAATAGGAAATATTTCAGAGGGTGGAAAGTCTCTCGCTGCTTCATAAAGATCTCGGTTAGACGGATAATCGATCGGCTTAAAACGTCTCCAGTGTTCTTTTTCATGAATAATAACATATGATAATATAAATCCCCAGCTCTAGCATTTAGAGAAGGCCACTTCGCGAAACAAGATTTACTTATACCTATAAACGGATACAAAATAGGTCACACTCAAGCGGCCTGTCTAGGTAGGTATGTTGAGATCCAGAGAGTTGGAAAACGTGCATATGTGGTTGGCCTTTGATTGAAATAAAAAAAGGAAATACGGGCGCTCTACAATAAAAGCCCTAGGGAAGTGAATAGGTAGTGACTTATATACCTACCCAAAGACCTGATCGAGGATCGAGGACATTATACAGTAGAGAATAAAAATGACGAAAGAAATAAGAATCTGGCTTCCGAGAAATATCCACAGCCACAAGAATATAGGGACATTTTACAGATGCCTTAACTGTTTTTTTTGGGGGGGGGGGAATATCATTGCGCCTCACAACCCTGCCCGCACTGGAACAAAGCCTAACGTAGTGGGATATTCTCAGAAGACTGGGTCTTCTTTGAATTTTCGTCGAGTCATGATATTCCACTCCCCGCTAGAAATAGTAAACGAATTTTTGGCAGGAAAGGGAAGGAGTTTGACTTACTAAACCATGTGGCCAGTTGGCCTGTACAGTTTGCCTGTATTGAATTTGTTGATGATTTACCTTATTCCAATATATATGTAGACCTGGCAAAACCCCGGCTCCAATAAAGCGTCCACGTTCAATCATAGCAGTAGGGACCGCAACGCTTGAAATACATCCAAACCGAATATACCAGCGCTCCAATTGATTATGTAGGCATCGATCTGATGTTGCGCTAATATAAATGGGTGAAATATCATTAGCAGCCCCAAGACAAGCTGCCATACTGCCCACGCCTGAAATATGCAGCGACAAGCTTTGCAACGCAGAAGAACACGGGGGTTTAAGTGAACGTAGGCAATTCATAATCAACGTAGCAGACTCGCAGAGACAGATCAATCAGCACATTCTGACCACTTATAAGCGCGTGAGAAGAGGGCAAATGAGCAAAGACGAAAGGGACACCTCAATGAACGAGACTTGGTCTAAAATGTAGATTTCCTCTCAAGGGCATCACTTGATGCAATACCGGTATATATGATACTCTCCCTCAACTAAATATGATAGAAGCCCTTGCGAGACCGATAAGATCTAAATTGAAGAGCAGGAGAGCAATGTTGGTTATGGTGAGTTTCGAAACAGAAGCATCTCACGATGAGATAGTGAAGTGTCGTTGAAGTTAAAGCTTAGTCATCATTTTCAGCCGAACCTGGTGGAGCTACTAACCCCACCCCACTTTCCTGAAACGGCAATTGACCCCTTTTGCTTCTCGTGCCAAAATAGAACTTCAGTGACTTTTTGTTCAGCGATGCTTTTTTGCATATGAAAGGCTGAACGACTACTGAGGGGAGTTGCAACTTAGAGTCTTATGCGCGGCAAGCCGAAACTCCTTTATGAAGCAAGAGTGACGCAGTCTTGTGTTTCCATTCCTTATGATAGGTGTTCAATGACAGATATTCCCCGTCTGTACGTAGGAAGTGTATAGATGAGGCAGCACTAGGTGGATGCAGAGTGGTTCCTACTGCTTTATCGATTTAGGCTAACCGATCAACACTAGTGCCCCTCCCTATAGTGTCGATATCAACTAAATCAACATGGTCTGCGCTCCGGATCCGACTCTATCACAGACCGAACGTCCCGTTCCATCTACCGGTTTGAAAGCCCATTTCCTTCCAAGTGCGGACCCGGACCTCTGGGCTCTCGCTACGATATCTACTATTGTACGACTCCTTGGTGGCTGAAGGATTCTCATGCTTGTCCTTAAAACCATACGCTCTCTTGTCACCACGTCCATGAATTCTCCTTCACCCTGCTTATTCTGTGCACCCCTCCCGATCATTCGTGCCTCTCTTTCCCTCGCCGCATCTATAGCTTCGACGTCGTGTCTGTGTTGGCTTTTCGGATGGTGTTGAGCTGGCTGGGATATGAGCAGTGAATCTATTTTGCCGTTCATCAGCGATTATAGCTAGTAAGGGTCTCGACCGAGTAGCGCGAAGAGTATCATACCGACTGAGATCTCAACACCGGACGGTGTAGTATCAGACGGGGTATTGCTTGGTACGGGTGGCCCGTATGCCCTCCTGAAAGCTTTGAGACCCTTCTGGTATTTCCGTTCGGATCTTCGCCCTATGAGCTTTTGACGCTTCTCCTCCAAGCTCTGCACTCGACATTGGCCTCTTAATATAACTGCAGGTCCAAATTGACATGCGTGAGAACAACTCACCTTCTCTTTCTTTGGCTTGCTTCTCTTCTTGTTGACTTTCTTGACCTTCTCCATATTATGGTCGTCCATCCTGTGTTGGGAAGTTGGTTTGCTTTGACGGAATAATGTATCGCAAATGGGTCAGATATGGTGCCAGAAAAAATCCCAAGGTGGCTAGCGCCACCAGAGGAAGCAATTCACATATACATGGCAGCAGAAATAGTGGACACAAAACCCTTGAGGAGTTTTGGCAAGGTGCAAAGAAATTATTGATAGCCTACTGGGTCCTATTACCCAGACCTTTTATACGGCTTTCCCGCCTTGGGTTCGATTTTCTCTTCATAAATTCCCCCTACATTTTCAGAATACATAATTGTAGTACCACCTAAATCCAACTCTTGGGCGATACCATCCTCCCCATATTCAAACGAGCTCGAGGGCGGTCAATGGCGCGCTAAACTAGAAAACGGTAAATACCAATGTTTGTTTACTTTGACCTTTCGGTAGTCTGCCATAACAACAATATCTCCACATGCCCTCATAATGAACTGCCCGGCGTTTATGTTATTGAGTGACAACCGTGCTATGTAAGTTCTCTTTACATGACACAACCTTCATTTCCGGCGGGTACAGGAATAGGGGCGAACTTCACAGAGCCTTCTAACACTTGGCTATTAGGATTCGTCCCCAATTTCCTGAACATCAGTCGCGTATGGCTGTAAGTTGGAGCCTCACTATTCCTAGAACATCATTTCAAAAGAGAGATACTAAAGTCACTTTTCACAGGATTCACTAAAGGCCCCTACCCCAAGATCCGTAGCAAGTATGCACAAGCCATTCGGATTCCCAGCCACAGAGGTTTCACCAAAGGCCCCTACTCCAAGATCCGCAACAACCATGCCATTCAAATCTCCTGCCACAGTTCCTCCGATTGTCAATCCGGCTGCACCCAAGAGAAAGGCAACGGATCGCTCTGCGATGTCTATAGATGCAATGGATTCGGAAGATGATACGGGTTCTCCAGCACAAAAGAAGGCCAAAGCAGATATCTTGCGGGCTCATACAGTGATTGGATGCCATGTCGACGAGCCGTGGGTGGTAATCCATGCTATACTTCTCGAGCCAAACGGGTGAGTAGTCTCTTCAACTTCCCTCTTATTCGCTGTTCCAAAACCTCTAATCAAGGCCTTACACTTAATACTGTCGAGTTTCAACGTTCATCTCAACTTCTCAAGCAAACAGTACTGACTTTGAGAACCTGCAGTCTACTCATCAAAGCTGTCAAAGACGAAGACACTCCCATGGCCATAATTCGAAAATGGGACGACCTTGTGTTGTCTGGAACTGACGAGGTGTCTATTGATAAAGTCAAGTTCAAGCCAGAATTCACTCGGCAGCTTGACCCTTCGGCAAAAGCGCTTTCCCTGGAGACAAATCTACGCAAAAATATTCGCGCGGATAGAGGACTTCATGATCAAGACGCATCTCCTGGTGGCCCTGTCTTTGAACCAGCTGCCCTCTTGGTTGGTGTACACAAAGATGATGAAAATATTCAGGTATATGCAAAGATTCGAAAATCGTCAGAAATGGCGCTGCTCTTTTACCTGCGTAAAGATGACAAGAAAGTGGTATCGAGCAAGTTCCAGTTTGATTTAGGAAGCGTCAGATTTAATCAAATCCTGTTCGATCGCAAATATCGGGTAGGCAATGAGACAGAGGTCAAGAATTTGATTAAAAGCCAATTCAATGAGGTCACGAAGATGACAGAGGGTCAGTCATCAGCATATGATGAAATTACCCTAGGTACGGAGGAAGGTGATGAAATAATGGTAAGCAACCCCTTTGACCCTCCGATTCCCTACTCAGACAGTGTTTGCTGGTTCAAAGGCTTTCATTGATGCTTTGCGTATGTAAAGACAATTCACAGACGTTCCTCGGATCTTGATCAGTTCTGATTGATTACTGACTGCCATTAGCAACCCGATCCACTCCCTCAGCGCATCCTTCAAGATCTAAAAGAATACATCGACCTCAATTATACCCGACAAAGCGAGTTCAGTATGCTTCGTTTGAAAGTCAAAGCTGGAGAGGCATTGATAAAGAGCCAGGCTACCATCAATGCTCGTCAATCGCAAGAGATATCCAAGAGAGACGAGACAATCCGCGATCTTCGAGCCCAACTGCACAGTCAAGCCGGTGCCAGCCCACCATTTACACCAAATAAGACGCCTTCTGGTATCACACAGATCAAGGATTTGCAACTAACTAATGCTGCCGAATCTTCAAAGACTATACGAATTAATGGTTCGCATTACCGGTTTATTGAATGGGATAACGACAGCTTTGGCGGGATGTTATTCGAACGGACTTCAGGCCGGATTTTCCATGAAGGGAAGACCTATGAGTCAACTCTGCTTCTACGTCCATACAAGCTTAGTGTGAACGGTCATTCAACTGGTATGTGACTGTTAATAACTCCCTCTTTGTGGCATTATCTCAAAACTATATCAAGCGCGTCAGACTGACCTGTTATCAGGTAGGGAAGTCACCATCGAGAATATCCAGTACACCGAGTATATAGATAATGGTCAGCTCAAGTATGTGCAGAAACACCCTGCTGATTCTGTATTGGAATCAGCGGAGGGTGGGCAATATGTGAAGTTTCGTACGCTGAAGGAGGTTCCCGAGGATATCAACTTCTCACTTTGAAGGATGCTGGCTTGTCCACGAAGTGGAAGAAATATTATGATGTTAATGTCCTTTTTCCCCCCGAAGCTCTGAGTTATTATTGCCTTTTCGGGTGCTGGTACTGCGCATGTAATCTTGGCGAGGGTCTTTAGTACAGTGGGTGGGTATTACTAGATAGCCGTTGAAACTACTCGCACCCTCATATACCTACTCGAGAGAAAGATTCTCATGCTTTACTACTTCATTCAATGGAGTAAATGGCGTTCTAATAACCATTATGGATAATGCAATGTCGGAGCGTAAGTGAACGGTCAAAAGGCAATACGAATTTTTTGATTTACGGAATACTCACTAGAACGAGCAACGCCACTTATTATTAGACAAAGTTTTCACCCCGAGACATTTTCAAGCCTCAAATATCACCTCAGCTGGGATGATGAATCGGTTTACATATCAAAGCCAATACGATGCTATCGTAGGGGTTTCAAACAATCAGTGACTCTGGAGCACGTCCACATGCTTAGACCGTCTCCGGGCGGACTTTGACGAATGTTATATTTATACCAATCATTCCCAGAAGGCCTAACAAATAACGTCAAAGTATTATTAATAAGTCTTCTATCCTTCATATTAGTGTGGATGCAGGTCGCATTGTGGTTATAAATTATGAAGTGTTGTGAATGTGGGGTGGTAAAGCACTTACTCGAACGCTCTCAAGGAGCATGATAATTACCACCGAGCATGTATCCCGAGTGAAAGATGAGGGTATTCTGACGTGCTGCGCCAATAAGAAATTCTTGTCAACACGTATAAAATTCCAACTCCAACTCCGATCGTGTCCCCCTTCAACACCATATGTACAGCCTGTGTCTTGACAGACCTCTTCTCATCTGTCTGCGGTCGTCTCTTATCACTCGAAACACCTTCATCACTGTAGCAGACCGTTGCAAGTGCTCTTCTGCTTCCTCATCTTTGGTCAGGCATAAATTGTCGGCGCGCTCACCTTTCATCAACCAACATCGACGCGTCCACGACCTTCAGCCACTTGTCAAGACTTGTAAGTCAACAGCTCTTCAGAGTTCAAAAGTATCTTTTCCTGTAGCACATTAAGCTAATATCCCTTGCTTTCCCATAGGTAGTGTTACTCATCTATCTCGAGGTAGACAACGCCAACTCGCAAAAGCACTCCGGTCTTCGTCATTAAAAACGCTACTCCTTTTCCCCTTTATTTTGTAATCTTACATAGCATATACCTAGTCACTATTTGTCATGAAGTAGCCTGATTGATTATGCGCTCGTGGGAATTGACTATACAGACGCAGATTTATAAAGAGGTTACTGTGTTGCGATACATTTGGTTTGGGTTCTGGATGAACTAGAAGCGCTTGCTAGTATCATATGGAAATGTACGAGTATCTGACAGAAAAACAGGAAAGCACAAACAAAAAGCAAGTATAATTTAAAAACGATTCCATTTTGTGACATTTACGAATTAGCCGTTACTACCATTAACTCTCTCTGCCTCTAACCTCTTATTCTTCTCCTCCCCAACCTCATCCACATAGCCCTCAGTCTTCATGTCCGTCAGACCTAAATCTTCTTCTTCCTCCTTTGTCCTGTCGTATTCCTCTGACTCGATCTGCGGGTCAGGGTCTGGCAGGCAAAGGTTCTGAACATAACTGCTGGCCAATGGATCTGTCAAGATGACCGTGAAATGCTTCTCGCCTTTGATGGCCTCGTTTATTTCGTCGAAGAACTTCTTCCAGTTTTGCTTAGCTTCTGAAGGCAGAGAATCGCCACCCGTTCCAACCTCGTCCCCGACGTCGAAGATCTGTTGGTGCAGATCATCTCTGACTTGCGTCAAAAGACCCTCTACCGTAGTGAATCTTCCTCCTAGTGTGCCGGGATTGACTGAAAGATGTAACTCCGGACATTCCAAGGCGCAGGACTCGGACTTCAGGATATCTCGTGCAAGATCTACAGCCCCGTTGACTTTCAGAGTAATCTTCTTGCCCTTCTCGGGTACTTCTCCTCCCGTCTTCACTTCGTTGGAGCGGTAGCCGCAATGCTCGCATACCGTGCTCATAATGACCACTTGCTTGAAATGCGGGATTTCCACCATCTTCATGTTTGTGGTACAGGATTTTGTGCAACCAGGACACGTCGCTGGGAAAGAGTAGACTTCATTTGGTATAATGTCGTCATCTTCGAAACTCGCTGCTGTAGGTTGCCCTGTTGCCTGTGGTTGTGCCTCCGCCTTCTCCTCTCCACCGCCGAGTCCTATAGCTTCGTTCTGTTCCGCTGTGCGTGCGTATTCGACTTTTGACCATTTGCCCACGCCGTCCTTCTGATCTGGTTCAATCCACGAGTTGCCGGCTGGGTCGTCGAGTGATAAACGGAATGGGAAACTCTCTCCTGCAATCATCTTCTTGCCCCGCGCCACAATCTCTTCGATCTTGGCCCAAACCTCTGGAATCTGTTCCTTTCTCTCGGGCTGCTGTAGTTCCAGATCTTCCAGAATCATGCTGAGTAGTCCTTCCACATTTGTCAACTGCCCTCGCCCAGCTGGGACTTCGATATCGAGTTCAATGAACTTAACGATGCAGCTGTCAGACTTGACCACTTGCCGGGCGAAGTCTGCGGCAGAGGTGAGGCGCAACTCATATCGGACACCTTTTTGCTGAATCTCTCCTGCGGATTGGATCTCGGCGTTTTTGAAGTTGCAGTGTGGACAGTAGAAGGACATTATGATGATTTCGCGGAAGAAGGGTATTCGAGTAAGGAGGAGGCGAGTGATTCCCTGAGGCGCGAGTTAGACTTTGCCATATAGGGTAGGATTTAGGGATACATACATTCTCCTGACAGTTCATGCATAAACTCTCTATCTCGTCCACTACTCTGGGCTCATTGTCATCTGGTTGCTCTCCAGAGGTCGCTTCAAGAGATGTTGACTCGTTGCCATTGGTGGCGGGTTTGCCATCTTTGTTGATCGTGAGGTTTTCTGCTTTCGTTCCAATGCTATCAAAGAACTCATCAAAGGCAGCGCCATCTGGCTTGGGATCTTCTTGGGTATTGCTCGCCATCTTGGAAGATTTCTTCTTGTGGGGATATTGGTGGGGTGATGGAGGGGTTAAGTACAAATTTTTCTGGCGATAAGGCTTAGCGATACGCTGGTAGTCAGGCTGAAGGCAAGGCTAGAATCTAATAGAAGGTCGATCGCAGCTTTGCTCTCAAATCATTCTGGCATGATATGAATTATGGAAAAGCTAAGGTGTGACTGGTACAAAAGAGAGGAAAAGACGGCAAAATATCTGAGATGAATTATGGCCCGTCTGTCACATAGGACTTTGCGAAAGATACCCATAGTATGACATTTGGTTTTGACTGCACTAGGCTGGATACAAGCAGTACACAGAGCTCCCAGCCGTCTCTCTGAAGCCAATAGAAGCAACTCAGTACTGGATCAATAGCAGATGTTTTTGCTGAACAACATTGGCTCTCATTCGATTCATGAAGGTATTAGAAACTAGTTTGCTAATCAACCATTGCGCCATATATCACATCCGCTCCTGATTTCTGGTCGTTAGCATCTCGAGTGATTCATACATGTGAATCCTCTATACCATAGACTCTGTCTGCCGGTTGGCTTGACCAAAGCTATCGGGCCAATCCTATACTCCAACGCCTGGAGTCTTGTGGTACATCTGGAATGATGGGTAATTTCTCCTCTAGAGAGAATTCTTACATGCTTTGACTCTCTAACAAACAGGAAAGAGGCTTCTCTCTTGCCATAATTGTAGTTTTGAGAGCGTCGTACAAGATTTGCGTCTCTGCATTTCTCTGCAGATGCCCGTTTATCAACCATTCTTCATGAAATCCATCAAATCGAGCCCAAACCCAGAAGCAGAAGCTCCCTCTGATGCCTTTTGTTTCGCTAGAATTGCTTGTAGGCTGCCTTGTTTCCTGCTCTTTGCTCGCTTCTTGCTGCTGGAATTCGAGGACTGTCCAAGGCTTGGGGTTTCTTTTGTCTGCGCAGTCCCTGGAGAAGCCGTAGCTAATATAGGCACAGTCTTGGAAGGTTTTGTTCTAGGTTTGTATTTTTGATGAGGGGTAGGAAAATAATTCCGAGTCTTGCTGCCGCAACAATCGCATGTGTAGATCACAGCTCTCTGTGGGTTTGAGACTTTTCCCTGGCGACGCGTGTTCTTTCGTCCAGGTTGCTTAAGCTCTAGAACCCCGTTCCAACCCAGTATCATGATACTCCCGCATGCGCCGCATGCTTTGCGCTTCTGTGTAGTTGGTGGGTCGAGGTTGCTGTCGAAGAGCAGGGAGTCGTGTCGTGACATGAGGTGCCTTGACGTCTCGGGAGCGGTGGCTGCGAGGAGATGCGCGGAGTCATTCAGGTATTGTAGACGCGCCGATAATTCTGGAGATGTCATGATAATCGCATCGAATTTGGATGTGAAGATGGCTAATAAGAGCGACGCGTTGTGTGACTTGGGTTTTAATTGAATGTTGTAGAAATTCTAAGAAGCGAACATCAGATTTCTAAAATACAGTACTGTATCCTTGGTCGTGACTACACTCAGAAAATTACTCCAACCACTGCCACATTGCAGAAGACTTAATGTTTAATGAGCTTATATCAAGTTTAAGCAACCAACTTCCCCAATCCTTGTTTCTTCACGTCCAAATTACCATCTCCTCGGATTAATTCCACCACGATGGACCCCGCCCCGGCATTAGTAGAGGGGCAGGGCTTGCGAATTGCTGTTGAAGGATGTGTAGGTTGCTTCTTCAAGTTTGTGTTGCTTCTTTATTCATCTAACATGTTTGACAGGGCCATGGCACGCTGGATGCTATCTACGCAGCAGTGCAGAAAGCATGCGAGGTTCGAGGTTGGGACGGGGTTGACCTCCTCATTATTGGGGGAGACTTTCAGGTATGTCCTTCAGGTTGCAAGTAAGTTCAGAAGCTAACAACCACAGGCAGTTCGAAATGCCTCTGACTTAACCGTCATGTCTTGCCCGGTCAAATACCGCGAGATTGGCGATTTCCACAAGTACTACAGTGGAACTGCCAAAGCACCATACCTTACAATATTCATCGGAGGCAATCATGAAGCTAGCAGTCATCTCTGGGAGATTTTTTATGGTGGCTGGGTCGCACCAAATATCTATTACATGGGGGCAGCCAATGTTGTACGAGTCGGTGGAGTACGAATTGCTGGCATGTCCGGCATCTGGAAAGGCAGAGACTACAACAAGCATCACCACGAACGATTACCTTACAACCAAGACGATGTCAAAACCATTTATCACGTCCGGGAGATTGACATCCGAAAGCTCCTTCAGCTGAAATCCCAAGTCGACATCTGCATCAGCCATGACTGGCCCCGAGCGATTGAGAATCATGGAGATTCAAGAGCATTGTTCAGATGGAAACCCGACTTTGAACAAGAATCGAAGGAAGGAACATTAGGTAACCAAGCCGCAACATATGTCATGGATCGCCTTCGACCTCCATATTGGTTTGCAGCTCACATGCATTGCAAATTTGCTGCAGCCAAGAGCTATGAAGATACCACAGAAGACAATGCAGCCTCATTACCGTCGTCAGTTGAAGCAGACCACCATCATCCACCAGCTAAAACAGCAGAAGATCCGGTGATTGCAGCAGCTGCTCACAATGCAGACGAAATTGATCTTGACATGGACGATGAAGAAACGCTACCGCCTCCCAAGCTTGCTCCGACCAACGGTTCAGTATCCACATCCACTACTACAAATCAATATGAATTAGATATGGATGGCGATAAAAAGTTGCCCGAGGTGTCCGCTGCAGCTACAATTCCATCTTCCGTTCCTTCCGACCTTCGTGCGCAACTACCTGCTGCTTTTTCAGCACCTTCAGCACAATCTTCCCGACAGGTACCTGGGCAACCTAAACCTCGCGAAGTCACCAACAAGACAGTGAGATTTCTTGCATTAGATAAATGTCTACCTAGCCGCAAATTCTTACAACTCCTCGAAGTCCACCCGCATGCGAAAACCAATCATGAGTTCCCGGCATCTCAGTCAATTCCAAGGCCAAAGCCCAAATTCGAGTACGATCCAGAATGGCTTGCAATAACCCGAGTATTTGCTCCAAGTATTGTTTTGGGAAACAAACAAGCCCTACCTGCAAAAGATCTGGGCGAGGCTAACTATCGTCCCCTGATAGAGAAAGAGCAAGATTGGGTCAACGAACACATTGTCAAAACGGACAAGCTGGAGATCCCGGAGAATTTTGTCATAACGGCTCCGATATTTCACGTCGGAATGCCAGAAATTGTGAACGAAGGACCTGTCGAGTACAGCAATCCGCAAATGCAACAGTACTGCCAGCTGGTCGGAATTGAGAACAAGTTCTTTGCAACACAAGAATGGAGAGACGAGAGAATGAGTTTGGGGCCTGCCCCAGAAGAGGAGAGACGCGACGGTGGATTTGGAAGGGGGAGAGGAAGAGGCGGTCGAGGCGGTCGAGGCGGTCGAGGAGGAGGAGGACGTGGAGGGGGTCGGGGCCAAGGCCGTGGTGGAGGACGAGGACGTGGAAGAGGATGGTAAGGAAAGAAGGAATTCCCGCTTTTTCAAGATACCCCAGGACTACCGAGCGGAGCTTATGTCGACACATTCTCACACCGAAGTCTAGATTACCCCAGCTGCGCGGTGTACTTCATAGCCAGCTTGATGACTGGGAATGAGTTTCTTGTCTCATGGATGCGAGCTGCCGTTTCTCCCGAGAAGAGGAGATGTCTCCACGTACCGTATAGTATTAGCTCTGGAGGTTACCTGGTGAGCCTACATGGAGAACTGGCCCATTCCGAATACCATGTCGAGTCCGCTTCCCTTGAACTGTGGGTTCCGTGGAATATCATTCTAGGAGACTCTGACTACAATGTGATTTTGGACACGGAGACGGCGCATTCTAGACCAATGTTCCACTGCCACTTGGACCTCCTTGTCTGCATCTTCAAGTCAACAGGGTGATTCTGTTACTATCACGGTACAAACGTATAAGTCTCTTGCAAGGCATCGAAATAACAAGATTTCTATAAAGCCTTACCGCCCAAGGCGATTCTCCTTACCGTCTCCACCAAACTAATGCGTGAAAGAGAACCTGCATATGCCGCAAAGAGCTGCTCTTGGTCCCAATGGCTGGCTGGGTCTTGTACCGGATGTGCTACACTGCTACCCTTGAAGACTACTTCGTACAGTATTGATTTTTCGGAGACCCCCCTACATGATGTCACATGTGTTCCCGGCGTTTGTCAGAATTTGCTACTGATGCTGAGATTGAAGAATAAGTTAACCGCAGGTTTCTTAATACTCCCTGTTTTTCCAGTTGAAATACCTATTTGGTTCTATTCCGCAATATCAGATGATTTCGGGGGTACAAAACCGAGACGTTCCTGCATTTCCAAGAGACTCTTACTCTGTACCTGCTGATCGGGTATACCGGTGTGAACAGCGGTGTGGCTACTAACAAGGGATAGAAATAGAGTACATGACTGCACTACATTATTATTCACCACCGAGTTGCACAAAAGTTGGCAAGTATAAGACCCAGCAGAAAACCCGCAGAAACGAAAAATAATTAATTTTCACTAAACGAATCCATTAATTCATTTACTTACTGTACATCCCTGGGGATTTACATTGGAGTTGCCCTTATTGCAAGCGGGTAACAAAGAAGCGGAACCCGCCCGGCATGTACCTAGGTACGGAGTTAGCTGCAAAATTTAACAGTAGTAGCGTGCACGAATAGCAGCTTCATTCATCAACACGCCTCGATACCTCTCGACATTCACACTTCTCAGCACACACACCTCTTCCATCGAGTCTATCCTGCTCTACCTAATTGCTACCCATCGCCCACCATTTCTACCTTGTTCCATCACATTCAAGACTGCCCTGAACCTCTTGCCTCCATCCCGAGGCCCGTCTTCCCGCCTCTAAGAAGAAGGGACCCAAAGAAGAACCTGTAATACAGATTGGAATCCGGACTGAATGGCTACTAATTCGGGCGCACTTTTATTTGACCAGCGAAGCTCAGTTTCGATACCTCCTCGGTAACCCGAGCTGCCTTTTATTCTCATCCTTTACACTTTCATCTCCAACGTAGTATCCTCGCCGTCAATTGCGACGCTTACTGCTACAACCCAACGAAGCCGTGCAAGGAGAGATATTCTACACCAAGAAAAGTCCAAGAGACTTCTCGAGAGAATTAGCAACCATGAAGTTCGGACGCAAGTAAGTCTGCCAATACCTTAACTTTCATAAATCCTGTTTTGAACCCATCGCCAACTCTCTCACAGTTTACCCCGCAATCAGATACCGGAGTGGTCAGCGTCATACATCAACTACAAAGGTTTGAAGAAGCTTATCAAGGCGGCCTCTGAAACCGCCAAAACAGGCAAAGATGTCGACTTAGCCGGTACGTGCCAACTTTCACCAGCAGGTTTCTTTTCCACTCGCTAATGTCACTTTCTAGAATTCTTCTTCTCCCTCGACCGCAACCTCGATACCGTCGATGGATTTTACAACAAGAAATTCGCCGATGCTTCGAGACGATTGAAATTACTCCAGGAAAGATATGCTTTTCCAGAGCAAGGCCTGGAGACATTGGACCGCAATGAGGTTGACGAACTCATGGGTGCTCTGTTGGAACTGCGGGGTCAACTAAGAAATCTCCAAAGCTTTGGAGAGTTGAACAGAAGGGGTTTTGTGAAAATCACCAAGAAGCTTGACAAGAAGGTGCCCTCAGTGTGCACTCAACAACGATACCTCTCTTCCAAAGTCGACCCGAAGCCTTTCGCCACCAACGCTGCTCTTTTAAAAGCCTTGAAGACTGCAAATGAGTGGATGGAAACTGTAGGCGAGACGAAAGTGCGCGATGAAAACTTATCTGTCCGTTCAGCACATACCCTCAAGCGAGTATCCTCGAGGTCTATTGTCAACCTACCCAATGGTCTTCTGGATAAGGTTGATGGAGCAATCAGAAGTGATGATGTTCCAACTTTGAAAGAGACCCTCGCCCAGGCCAACTTGGATTCCGACGATGCAGGAATGCAGAAAGTATTGGTCAACCTATTGCAGAGTGCTATTGCCTGTAAGTCGAAGAAGTGCATTCGTTTCTTTTTGAAAGACATCAAGTCTTTGGAAGAAGCAGATGATATCAATCGCCGAAATTGTCTACATCGCTTGGTTGTGTCTATTGGACGTGCCAAGTCCGGCCCCAAGGAGAACTTTTCAATCATACCCGAGCCGGATCACATGAAGTTTTTAACTCCAGCAGTCACCCCTCCTCTTGGCCCAGCTATGAGTAAACTCAAGGAGTCCAGCTTGTTAAGCATCAATGACGATTCGGTCATGCTTCTTGCATACGTCCTCGACTCCCTCCAGCCTCATCAACGGGCATCGTTGGTAAGCAAGGATACGTACGGCCGCTTTCCTTTACATTATGCTGCTCAATTCGGCTTCGTTGTCATCTGCGAATTGGTTATGAAGTACATGCAAGACTGGGGCCAATTCAATGTTGAGCATGGCATTGATGCCCCTGAATGGCAAGATAACGAAGGCCTTGCGCCGTTGCATCTCAGCGTGATTGGAGGACATCCCCTGACTACAAAGGCTCTTTTGAAAGCCGAGAACTGGCAGGGCTCGAACGTCCGCAAGGCAGCTATGAGGAGAGACATTTCTAAATCAAGCGCTGTGCTCGCCCTGGCTACGAAATCCAATCTCACACAAATTGTCAAGCTTCTGGTTGACGCAGGGGTCGATATAAACTGGCAAGACGAGCTTGGTGAAACTGCTTTGCATATCGCTGCCCGTTTTGGACATGAAGAGTGCGCAAGGATCTTGCTTGAAGGGGGCGATCAGAAAATCAACATTGAGCTTGCTGAAAAGACTTTCTCTTGGACGCCTCTTCACGTTGCCTGTGTTGATGGTCATCTCTCGATAGTGGAGCTACTTATTATAGCGGGTGCCGACCTCAGGAAACTCGACGCCTCTGGCTGGACTGCTCAAGAGCACGCTGCCTTGAGAGGTCATATGGATATTGCAGATATACTCAATGAAGCTACGGATGTTTCGAGCAGTGATTCAGAGGATTCTTCAAGTACGACGGCATCATCTCCTCCAAAACCAACATCGTTGGAAGCACTCCGTTCTGCCCAGAGCTCCCAGAGCAACATCATCCGAACTACGGAACCCGTCAAGACCTTTGGTCATCGATATCTCACAAATGAAAGCATTGTTCTCGTCAGCTTGGGCTCAATGGATATGAGAAAAGACACTCCTGCGGTGAAACTTGACCAAATTCCAATTGCAGAAGCTCATTCGACCCAACTGGATACAGCATTGTCTGTTGTCGTTACTGCGAGCGGCGCCCAGGGCGAGCCCACAACTATTGATCTGCCAGTTCAGGACAATATCTCTACAGAGCCTATCGTCTTTTCTACTCTAGATGCATCAAAGGTCAAATTATATTTCGACATCATCCCAACGTATACAGGGAGTGAAGACAACAAGGTCGGACGGGGCGTCGCGATTCTATCAAGCGTTAAACAGGCAATCGGCTTGAAGCGTATGAACCTTCAAGGCGATGTCAGTGTTCCCATCATGGGTACCAATCTTGAGGTTATCGGATGCGTCAATTTCAATTTCCTCGTCATTACACCATTCTCTCATCCGAATATGGGAATCACTGCGAAACATACTTACTGGAAAGAGTTGTCCTCCACAATGGTCATAGGGCATAGGGGCCTGGGAAAGAATGTGTCAACGAACAGATCTCTCCAACTTGGGGAGAATACTTTGCAATCTTTCATTGCAGCCGCAAACCTGGGCGCTAACTATGTTGAATTCGATGTCCAGCTTACGAAGGACCATGTACCTGTCATCTACCACGACTTCCTTGTCAGCGAGACGGGCATCGATGCACCAGTCCATACTATGACACTTGAGCAATTCCTACACGTCAATGACCCTACCCCTCGTGCATCAAGGCCACCATCACCACTAAAGGAAAGCCCAAACTTTCGCGTTGTTCGTGGTATGGACCGCTCGCGATCACTCTCTCTTGGCCACGAGGTACCCGATTTCGAGATGGCGGACAGAATGAAACACACTCGGGATTTCAAGAAAAAGGGGTACAAAGCAAATTCTCGTGGTAATTTCATTCAAGCACCTTTTACGACGCTTGAAGAGATGTTCGTCAAACTTGATCAAAACGTCGGATTCAACATTGAGCTGAAGTATCCAATGTTACACGAGTCGGAAGAGCAAGAGATGGATGCTTATGCTGTCGAGTTGAATAGCTTCGTGGACACTATCTTGGCTAAAGTTTATGATTTTAGCAAGAAGCGCAAGATCATCTTTAGCAGTTTCAACCCAGACATCTGTCTGCTACTAAGCTTCAAGCAACCCAGTATCCCGATTCTGTTTTTGACAGACGCTGGCATAAGCAAAGTTGGCGATATCCGAGCTAGTAGTCTGCAAGAAGCCATCCGCTTTGCAAGCCGCTGGAATCTTCTGGGCATAGTGAGCGCTGCTGAACCACTGTGCAACAGCCCGAGATTAGTGAGAGTTGTGAAGGAGAATGGGTTGGTTTGTGTCAGCTACGGGGCGCTGAATAATGATGCCGAGAAAGTCAACGTTTGTTCCCTCTAACCCCTTGTGGTTCATGATCCTGACTTTGAGAAGCAACAAGTTAAAGAAGGCATCGATGCCGTTATCGTCGACAGTGTTCTAAAAATACGACAGGGTCTCACCAAAAACACAAAGTCGAACCAGACGACTGAGTTGCCTGTGCAACCTAAGGTGGTGTTGATGAGCGGCGTTAATGGAATTGGTGGGTCTTGAGGATGGGGATCTTGCATAGATATTTTGCATTTGCATTGTTTCATGATGGGTCATTAAAGAGGCGAACTTTGATGGGAGCCTAGGAGGGAGAAACATTTCGTTGCATATTCGAAGTCAAGTCCCATACAGGAGTATGGGCGAAATTTTACTTGGTCTGCTTTTTCCTGTCGCCCCTCATTCCTGCCTATCAGTGATAGCAGATTAGGAGTAGTTCAGTCATCTAGCTACTTGGTTCTGGGGTCTGCAGTCTCTTGCTTTGTGTGACGAAGTCACTCACCTAATGGCAGATGGATATAGGCCCCTTGTCCGATTTAGAACCCCATATTTATGGTCAGATACTAATGGGTGTGAATGTGGCGAGTAGGAAAGTACTAATCTAGTAGCCCTCCCACGGTAGCCCTCCTAACGATTGCATTTTAGCCAACGAGAAATGAGACAGTGATTCGAGATACTGCTCAGGTCAACGATCCCGATATCAAACGTAGCCGATACTCTTCATGCCCTGCCGTACCCCAATGTATGGATATATCCCAAGGGAAGCTCTGAGTGTAGCTGGGTATCCTACATCTCCTGAATGTGTACCGGGGTTTGCTTTCCTTTCAGTAACCCTACATTCATACAGAGTTAAAGTGGGTCGAATGGGCCAAGAGGGACACACTATTTTGTATTGCGCAGCGGGTATTACCATGACCGGCTTAGCAGGTAGGCTTGTTTTGCTTTGCTTATTCATTTTCATTTTCATTCAACAAATCAATATTTGGGAATCTGTACCACCCTTATATCCAGACACCTCCTTGGTTAGCAGCCAAATTACATTATCCTGTACTTTCGCGGTCCCTCTCCGCGAAAGGAAATCCTTGGATTGCATCGCGCGGAGTCGTTTTGATGGTCTCTCACTACTCGTGCGATTTTCAATCGTCTTGTCTTGCGGCAAAGAAAACAGTAACGCCGGCTGGAAAGGTTTCATGCGGATATGGGGGTTTTTCTATTTGTCGGACTTGCGTGCTATGGAATACACGGGCTAGCAACTTGGATGGATATAGTTGTACGAAGCGAGGCAAGTTTGAATAGTAGTGATACATGGGTGGCATGAAAGGGTTTTCAGGAGCTACCTTACTTTTCATAGGTTGTTGTTATTTACTCGACTAGTGCTAGCTAGCCCGTCACGATTGGCATCGGAACGAAGACTAAAAACGGCACCTACCTATAACTAGATTTCAATAATAGAGTGATAATGTGTTTTCGGATTTGTTTATGATGATGTTTGGTGTATTTATTCTTCGAAACTTGAGGATTTTTTCAAGATCACGTGGGAATACTGGATCTAGGGAAAGGACGTGAAATGCAAAGGGGTTTGTTGCATTTCAATGGATTTTTTGATTGGCGGGCCCCGGCCATGAACAAACCGCCTCGTGGAGAAAGTGTGGCACAAGACACGATTTTATAATATGCTAGATAGAGTAGGACATTCAAAATCCATGGTCCTTAAAGTCGAATCTCCGTAGAAATAAAGAATATTCGGAGAAGAAACTGGACTATAAGTTGTTTTCTCTACTAAGTTGTATTTCAATACAATACTCTACTTCAAAAATTCGAGAAACTCAAAACCATCAACTGAAAACCACGTCCTGCCTTATCTTCCCAGCGAGCGAATGGCATCTCTTCTCCAAGGCCGATTCGAAACGCTCCTTGACTGCCAGTTGTCGAAAGAGCAGTACCTAGGTACCAAGGAGTTCTCGTCGAATTCCGCAAACTTGTTTGCTATGATGTATGTCACGTGTGTGAGATGAGGGGCCTGCGGACTACTTGTATTCGGCTCACGAACACCAATTCTAAACATTATATCTTCTTTTCTAGCTTAATCTGCAGTCTTCTTGACGCTGTAGAGGAGAGGGGAGGGGGAACGGCTTTCTGCGTACTTTGGCTCGTATTGAGTATTGAGCAAGGGTGACTGATATTCCCAAGAGAAGTTGCCAGGTAGCGAAGGACGCTTTTATGCAAATACTTCTCGCTATAACGGAAGAACAATGCGCGGGAGAGGAATGCAGATTTAAAGAACATAGATTCCTTTTCTCGGTTGAAAGCCAAGGCATGGTTTATTTCGATAATGCACTAATACTCAACTAGAGCCTCGATACTAATAGAAAACCACCTGCAGATGGATTTCACGCGAAAATGGAAAATCAGCATGACTGTTGCGCATTGGGTAAGCTGGACTGACTAAAGCTTCAGCCTCTTGAGAAAGTCCATATGCAGGTTTCTCCTTGTGGCGTTGGAATGAATTGGGTAAACAAGAGAAGCGATAAAGATTGCACAAGCAACGCAACGTTGGGGAAAATGATGGCTTTTGGCAGTAAGACGTATACCACGAACAAAGACACAGAACACCATACCAATGTGAAACTCCTCGAGGTCCAATTCGCGACTCTCAGAATATGTATTTGTACGCTCATTGTAGCATAATCGTAATGCTCCCATGACCCACGCGAAATTCAAAGTGACAACCCGGATCCAAACTCCATGCAAAAAAGGACCGCTTTATAAATGAGATCTTAACTCTTTAAAGCCTCCAACCGGCCGCGCATCTGGTCCAGCATGGCTTCCGCATCTTCTTCATCTTCTTCTTCCGCCACTGGCTGCTCCTGTACAGGCGCTGGAGTACTCGGAGTCACACCAACCTTACCCATACGATCTTGTAGAATCTCGCCCAGCACCTTATCGACCTCAGTCTCAGCCTCTTCCTCCTCGTCTTCCAACTCATCAGGAAGCGAATCCCCCACCATCTCCTCGATGATACCTGCCTTTACTAACTCCTGACTTAATTCCCTCATTGTGCCCATTAATTCCGGTAGCCGTACGAGACTATTCACGTCCTTCATAATGCCCACGCTGGACCGGATACTGCCCTCGATCTTGCGCACCGCAAACGCCTCCGTGACCTGCATCGATACGCTGTTAAGCTGCGCTTTCGACGTGACAAGCCTTGTGGATTGTTTGCGTATCCGTATGAGCTCTCTGGCGAAGATGCGTGTTTCTTGTGCGGCCTGCTTGGCTTGTGAGGGGTTTCGTTGCGCTCGGCGGTTGGCTTGGATGATGCTGGTTCGGGCCTTGTTCTCGACGACTTTCAGCTGCGCAATATCGCGATCGAGCTTCCGTGTGTTCTGGCGGATGAGCTGGTTGCATTTCCTGACCTGGGGGGGGGGGGATATCAGTTGATATTGCGGGGCTGTGGAGGGGGTTAACTGCGGACCTGGACCTGGGGATCAGGCTTGAAGAAGACGGCTCTGATAGACTCCATATTGACTGCTGGAGATGTGGGTTCGGGGTCGCAGAGACAATGCTCTGCCTCGAGTTGTCGTCCTCAAAGCTCTTCCCTTGAATATCTGGAAGTGGTACAGTACAGTAGGAGTGTCGTCAGTTTATGGCTGAATCATTGTCCGTTGCCTTGTTGGGTTCAAGGTTGTCGTAAAGTTACCTGTCTGTCATTCAGCCAATCAAATGGCTCTAAAAAGACCCCTTTTGCCTAGGTAGGTGTAGGTACGACGGCCTCAACGTGGGGCAATAGAGACACACTGAAGTCCAATAATAGAACTCGGATTTGACTCTTGATTGGGATTGTATACTCGTAGGTAGTAAATATTATATCATCAGAGATACTCTATCATGAAGATATATTCCTATTCAAGTTAGTTTGTGCATTTTAAACAACGCAAGCGCTTTGCTACTACCTACAGGGGCTAATGATTGCTACTGCGACCCTTCCCTTCGCCGCAATTCTTCACAATTCGATCGGCTCTCCATGTCCAGCCTTACGCACCACGCACCCGTTTCTTCTTCAACCTTCTTGATCCTCTCTCACCAACAAATTCTTTTCCCCAAACCACCAACCACTTCCCCACATCGCAACTTCAACTGAATTGCTGTTTCTTCCTGCATTGTCTACATTTTTGACACTCTTCCACCGAATTAATCATGGCTGCGACTCCTGAAGGTAAGCAAGCAAACAAGCACCAGACACAGAGCTTTGATCACCCTGCAATAAGAGCTACTCCGGCTTTTGTCCACCAACCCCTCCCCTGTCTAAGATACTCCAGATCCCCAAGACAACATTGTCCAGCATCTGCCACATTGAGCATTATTTATACAAACACAGCTAACATGTTGCTCAGTCCTTTGGGCTCAACGATCCAGCGCGACCGATGCCGCGAAGAACTACATCTACCTGACCATCTCCGTACCCGATGTCCAGGCATCCAAGCTCAAGCTTGACCTGAAACCAACCTCCCTCTCCTTCTCCGGCCACTCGGACTCCCTCAAGAGAGACTATCAACTCGAGCTTGACTTCTATGCCGAGATTGACCCAACGGAGAGCAAGATCAACCCCACGGGCAAGAACATCGAGATGGTCCTGCGAAAGAAGGAGCTGAAGGAGGAGTTCTGGCCAAGACTGTTGAAGGACGCAAAGAAGGTGCACTTCCTGAAGACCGACTTCGACAAGTGGGTTGACGAGGATGAGCAAGACGAGGCTCCCGAGGAAGACCTAGGTATTTTAACTCGCATATCCTAGCGCATTTGACAGCAAGGCTAACATTTTTGACAGCAGGTAACATGGGCGGAATGGGTGGCATGCCAGGTATGGGAGACATGAGCTCGATGATGGGCGGAGGAGCAGGAGGTGACTTTGGCGGCATCGACTTCTCCAAGCTCGGAGGAGGTGCGGGCGGCGACGCAGAGGGTGAAGAAGAGGATGACGATGACGATGAGGATATGCCAGAGCTGGAGGAAGACGAGGAGGCCGGAAAGGCCAGCTCCAAGATCGAGGAGGTCAACTAGAGCGTGTTTTAGAGGCTCGCGGTCGGCTCCCTTCACACTTTGCCTTTATTTCAGGCGTCTCAGATCTCGGGTTGGTCAGTTAAACATGGCATGCATGTATGTCTCTTGAACTCGTCAATTTGGTAGTTCGCTATCGCCATAAAATTGATGTGAAATAATAGGATTAGCAGGCAAAAACATCATAAAAGCAATGGTTTTCTCGTATTGTATTGAATTTGATTTGAAGATAGTTGACTTTTGTATTTTGTACCAGGCTAATTCCTCATGTCACTGTTCAGCTTGCTTTGCACTTGATGTTCTATTTTGGTCATGCACTCATATATTGTTACCCTCATCCATATTGAGCAACACTCCTCTTCGATTACGTCTGATACATCAATACCCACAAGTTTCCGCATGCAACTGTTCACATCCAGCCTCTAAGCTTATAAGTATGAAGCGTACATCATGTTACAACAAAACCAACATAGACATCAGCAGTACTCGTCTATTCTCTTTCTTATCATCACAACTCCACTTCCACCTCCAAACCCCATACACATAACTTAAGCAATGTCTAAACCCAGCAAAACCTAGTTTCATCCATCCATTCAATTTCTCCTTGTGCTCCTTCCATAACCATTAATCACACCTCTCAGGAAGCAAACAACACGTAGCTCAAAATAAAACTCTTGTTAGTCTATATCTTCTTGTCTGTCCTCCTAACAAGCATTGAGATCAGAGTCAAGATTTGTTTGCAATGGCAGAGCAACATACCACAAGCATTGACTCATACATCCTGCTTTTGTGAATGTATGTTCACTCCACAATCCTATTTCTTGATCCCAGAAATTGCTTCTGGATAGTGCGTCAACTATCTACAAGAGTTCCCAACAGCGCTGATTCCCAATAAACCACCTGTGTTTAACTACCTGGTAACTTACAACCACACTACACTCTACTACACTCTACTACACCAAATTATGCCACCTAAACCAGACCCCAAGAAAAAGGAAAAGGCAAAACCCGACGCCTCAAAGATAGTAGCTACACACTCAGCCCCCGTCGCCGTCCCGAATAACTCGCCGCCACCAAGGCCAAAGCCAAAACCACTCCCGGTAAGTACTCCTCCCCTTCTTCTTCATGTGATATACCACCACATGTGAACTTCACATCAACCGTATACGTACGTATATTAACATTTCTTTTCTCCCCCCTTAGAACTTTGAAGGCGGACCGGACATGACAGCCAAATACCCCAAGGCCCTCTGCTGTTTCTGCGGCAGGCGGTTGGAGCTAGACATGTGCGAGCATCATGATCCGGTGCATCAACGTTGCACCAAGTGCTATGCGTTGGATAATAGTGGTCGGGAGTCTTTTGAAGCTGGGTTTAAGAAAAAGCAAGGGTGGGAGATTTAGGTTGGGGGCGTATGTGAATGAATGCCAGGCAGGGCGCCAGGGGTAGGGTTAGGCAAGGCAAGGCAAGACAAGCAGCACTGTGTTTTTATGGGATATCTTCGGTCAGCTAGTATTAAGACTGGCTGGGCTTTAGGATATGATAGCATTGGTTTGCTTTATCCTGAAATTGATACTTCCATTTCACCTTGTTGCTTGTGGACAGGGAAAGAAAACAAAAAAACACTTTGATACATTTCAATTCCTAGAATACTGTGAATATCCGGGAAGGAGCTAGAAGTATTTGAACATCTCTACTCTTGGTTCGTAAGTAACCAGGGATTTCGATTTATCCTCACACGATATGGTTGTTTATCACTCATGTGACTAGCCTCCGCATTGCTAAATATACCCCTGAAGCAAAGCTTGAGACGAGTTCATTGTTGCGCATAGTTGCTTTTGTTAAGCTAAGGTTCTCCTAGTGCGTACCTTGGGGGTAGGTATCGGGAGGGTAAAGAAGTACTTTGTTTTCTGGTAGATGTTGAGGTAAGAGTCCGTCAGCGATGATTCGCGGGGGTGTGGATCGGGCCACGTATATACTGGAAGGAGCTGGCTAGGAATACTTGAATACTTTCTTCCAAAATCTCACCACACCCAACAGCTCAATAGACTTCTCGCGATGTAGTGTGAAGGTATCCCTAGCTGCTTTTTGTAGCTAGAAGCCAATGCGTCCCAATCTCAATCGCCAGAACGGAGTAACATTCTTCATAGCCCATGTCCGTCCGAGTTTCTTCGCGTCAGGCTTACCCATGAGAGCCGTACCGGAATCCCCAACTCCATCATCGTCCATCACCATATACCACCCCAATCACCATGCTGGGCCGCAGAAATACCGACTCCTGACATGAGCCTGCCCAACCTCAACCTGACTAGACTGCTGCGTCTGGGGATTCAACGCTAGAGATACATCTTCGATCCTGCTCTGAATTCCCACACGTGGCGACGGGCCATACATTGTCGTATGCAGGTCTGGGGGGTAGCGCAGGAAGCATTCTCCTAGTGGTGGGGTTGATTGTATGGAAGGTGGAGGTGGAGACCAGATTGATGGGGGAGGCGAGGTAGAGTCTGGACTTTGGATGCTTGGATTGCTTTGTTCTAAGATCGAGGTTGGATATTGGAGGCCAGAACTATCTCCCACTTGGATTGATGCCTCGCTGGTTGGTTGTGCTGGTGAACTTCTTCGTCTTTTCTTGGAGGGTCTTTTGGTGACTTTGTTCATTGATCGAGGAACACAAGATGCTGGCCTCGGCTTTGATATTGTGGGCGCCGATGCTGGTATTGCGAATGATTGAGGTACTTTGCCAGGGTCGACAGGCTCTTGTAAAGGTGCTGATAAGTTTTTAGTTTCTTGGAATGGAGTTCCAGTTCAATATGCATTTACTTTCACCGATGGAGAACAAGTCTTCTAGTCTTCCGCATGAACATGAGTCGAGTTTGTGACCGCAGCTTTCGAGTGGTCGACCTGGTTTGCGGACTTCGATCAGGATTCTGTCGGTGTGGGCACAGGATGTCGCTCGGTGGCCGCGGATACATGGTTCACTGCTTTCGAGTCAAATTTCTATGAAAGCAATATTGTACGGTTATAAATATAGTTATAAGACAAAGTGTAAGCTAACCAAGAATATTTGCATCCATTAATGAGAGGCATGGTGAGAGCTGAATTACTCTAGAAATGTGGCGTCAAGTCGATATAAGTGAAATTTGATCAACAAATACTGCTTCACTTGTCATTAAGACACCGTCTGGGTCTTTAATCTCGAATATAGAAATGAGGAGCGTGGAGCCTGGGAGGTAAGAAAGGAGTTATTTGCGAATCGGGCTAAATATGTAACTTCCCGTCTCAACCCCCACGGTCTTTACGAAGAAAAGGGGAGGGGACGATTTGTCGGCCAACCATGAAGACTTTGGTGTTCTGCCAATAGTCAAACAATGCAGGTTTTCCAGCCATTAGGAATATTTGTTAAAACAGATGCGAAGATGCGAATGCGTTGGCAATGGTGAAAAGCTTCTCAAGCTCGTTTGAGCAGATTTGAGCATGTTATCTGCTCCACGAATCCCAACAGCGCTGGTAAGCGGGTGAACCTTGGCGATCAAAAAACGTCGTATTTGTAGACATGTTTCGGCAAGATAAAAGCTAGAGTAGATGAGGCTTGATTGGAGGCTGAGTTTAAAACGCCGTTGCTGTTTTTGCCTACTCTGTATAGGTTTTGGCTTGCGAAGCATGCCGTGGTCTATTCAGAGGCTCTTACATGGGAGAACTACTTTGCGGGGGTGAGATATTACCTGGTACCTTCAGATAATGGTCATCTTCTATGTTTTGATTATATTCTGTGAGGCCAAGCGCCATGAGTTCGTTGAGAATAAAAAGATTGCGGTAGATAATCCGCTGTCTTAGTCGAAAAAAGATTGCAAGAGCCAAATGGACTTTGGTGTAACCTCACACAGCTCACAGGCTGTGGCTTTGACATGATTCTGTGGTGTTCTTGAAATAATACGACGTAAAGCATTTGATATATGGCGGTCTTTGCCTCTTGCAGAATCCGACAAGGGATGCAAATAGGAAGAGAGACACATTCATCTAGTAAAGAATAAGCAATATCTGTCGTCTGCATCTAACTCGTACAGTGTTTAACGGCCTTCTCCACAAAACACCCAATGCTCCTCATGCTCGAAAGACCAAAGTGGCACTCACTATGGTACTTTTGATATCCCACGCCACCTGGCACATTGTAAATTGGTGCCGCTTTTCCTATATACCGCGAGGCTTCTTCAAGCAGCAGCGGTTTGTTGGGGATACGGCCGTAGAACACCGTAGGAGCTAACACTCATTTGATGTAAAGCACGCCAATCCCAGCTATCAACGGTCTCATCGATGAACATTAGGCCAAGGTTCAAACTAGCTACGATCAGAAGGATACCCTGGTGCTCTTCCGTGACATCCGATGAACCTTGCAATTTCGCGAGGAGGGCATTTGAGCGAGTTCTAGTTGGCTCCCCACGCCTATATCTGCTTTGCCTCAATGAAGTAGCACCGTGCAGGTATATGTTTCCGGCATAAGACTCGATAAGAGCAGAATGTTTTCGTATGGCGGAATAATGTTGGGGGCGCTGGTTTGGGTTGGATTAAGGATCGAATATTGGCAAGCTGAGCTAGGCGTCTTAGCTGGTGATATTCATACGTGGTCATGCTGGCAGATATGAGACGGATGCATTCGAAGCCAAAATACAAGTCGTTTTGATTGTTGAGGGGGCGACATATAACTGGAATCGGATGTGGACATCGCAGCGTCCACAACCGCCGAAATGGCCATGTCGATGGAAGGAAACAGTGACTGCAGACTTTTTTTAAGTCGTGGAAAACATTGTCCCTGCTTTGGGTGAATGCCTCTCATAGATGCTCTTGAATTCGCATATCATAGATGGATGCCTTTTGTGGTTCGCCTTCAAAATTTGCTCCCTATTTGGCTTTTTTCTCGCCTATATGACAGACTTCCTGCTCGTCATCTCACTTGAATTCTTCCGTTGTCCTCAAAGATATTTCGACCAATACCTAAGCAGAAAGAGTTCGTAAGGCCAACTGAGGAGATGGAAGAAAAGTTTTTCGCTGACGGGGAAAATGTTAGCGCAAAAGAGAGGATATTAGCTGTAATGCTAGAGCAGAGCGTGAGGGGCGTTTTGCATGTGGTGCAGTTTGCTGTTGATTATTGTATTATCTTGTTGTTTATATCAAGCAATGGAGCAGACTCACCAATGGCTGGGAGAGACTGAGATGCTGATGAGGCAATGTATATCATCATTTCAATTCTGTTTAGGGTTTTGGTAGTATTTGCGCTTTCCAGGAGGGATACTTTGTATTCGAAGAATGAGGTGCGAATTGGTTCAAGACTATGGGAGAAGTCTCCTAATAACAGCGTTAGTGACGGATAATTGAACAAGAATGAATGTTGTTAAGGGTCTGGATAATGAAGACTTCGCGCTAATAATCAAGTTTAGACTCTCACGTCAGTAACAAGATGATGCGAAATGTACAAATATGATCATGTCTTCCGATTGTTTTATTTGTTCGGTCCCCAGAAGGCTGGATGCTTTAAAAGCATAAAGCTAGGGGGTAGCCAGAACCTTGCTTTGAGGGTTTCCTGGTTTCCTGATGAATACATACAACGCTATGCCGGGTGCCGGCCACAGCGTGTTCCTCACTGTCGTGATGATTTGTACTCCTTCCCAATGACGCTAAATTTCAAGGCCATGATTGAGATGCAAGAGGCTTATGATGGTCCTTCGCCATTGTCTGCTCCATTGGTATCTGGCTGGACACTCTCTAGAACACCGTTATAACCATTTGTCGGTGGGGCTCCACCGTAACGAGCGATTCTTTCGGCCTCTTTCCTCTCCCGTATCGCTTCGGTTTCTTGTCGCAATTTCTCCATGTTCCAAGCCTCATCTTCTTCTTCTTCGTCCTCGTCGTCATCTTCGTCTTCATCACCGCTTGCATTCCAATCACCCTTTTCAAACATGGCACGACCGGTGGCCTCCTTTGCAAGGCGTGCTTGGTCCTCAGCAGCTTTCTTGTCCATTCGTTCTGCTTTCCATTTCGCAAACGTCTCTGGTGTAACAGGGGTGAGTGTTCCCGTAAGCTTGTGTCGTTCTGACTCCAGGAAATCCTCGAGGGTAAGTGTTTTGAGGGGTGATTTATCCATAAGAGCCTTTTCTGCAGCTCTTTGCTCTTTTGTTTTTAATACAAATCTGTGTAATATTAGCATAAGCCAGAAACCAATTAAGCGTGACTACAAACCCAGGTGGTAATTTGTGCTGGTACATGCACTTGTCGCCGCCATTCGGACATGTCCAGAACCATCCGTATTTCCCTTCTTCCACTGCCTCTATGAAGAACTTGCAGACTTTATCGGTTGAGGTCTTCTGGTTGCCTTTCTTGGAAAGCACGACTGCTCTCAGCTTATCTTCATCCCAATCCTCATTGGTCTCCTGCTTCTTCTTCACATCTTCATCCTCCCTTGTATCTTGGTATAGATCTTTCTTGGTAGTTTTCCGCTCGATGTTCAGATCGTGAGAGAATTTGCACTTCTTCCCCTTCTCGCAATGACCCTTTTTGTAAAACTGGCAAAGGACAGTCTTCGGATCGACTCCAAAGGGCACCTTCTGAACTTGGACAGGCTTAAATAATTCTGCGGTTTCCCTCTGGACTGCTTCGGCTGCAGCCTTGTCTCTCTCTTTCTGTGCCTTTTCCGCTGCTTTCTTCTTCTCCTCCGGGGTGCCGCCAGCCTTGGCAGACTGTTGCATTTGAGCTATTTGCCTTTGAGTCTGGGCACCCTTCTTATTTTTCATTCCAAAGGTCCTGTCCGCCACCGTCTGCGGCTTCTTGGCCGGGCCTTGGTCTTTGGCGCCCTTCTTTGGAGGCATTTTGACGATTGAGGATGCTATCGAGAGATTAAGGTGGGGGGAATAGATGGTGACAAATCTGGCAACAGTCCAAATGGCCCAAATGTCCAGAAATGACTGTAGGTAGTGGCCAAGAGTTGAGATGCTCGAGAGACTGCAGGTTTGTGAGTCGGCGAAATCGATCCTTGAGAACTGGGATTTTGGTGGGGGTAAGCGTGAGTGGCTGAAGAAGCGAGGCGCTATTTTCTGGGGTACGAAGCTCAAGCTGGCCTCAATGTTCAAGCTTGGCCCAACATCAACTTCACCAGCAGCGTGCTAATTGACCCAGAGAGACATCTACACCAGGTATGTGAATTCATCACACTTCTATAAGTTGATAACTGCTATGAATATATTCTCATTTCGCATAGGCTCAAATCAATAACTTTCCAAGCGTTACGTGGCTCCAGCGCAAAGACAAACTCTCCAACTACTACACTGCCTCCAAATTCCACCGAATTTACAGCCAAGATGATTTCTGACGATGATCTCTACCGGTTGGCCATCTTTCTCGGCTCTGCCGCCATGCTCCTCATCATCCTTTACCACTTCCTCGAAGTGAACTCCGTTGAAGAATCATCCGAGAAGGTTGAAGCAGCAGCGAAAACAGACGCCAAGGGTGCATCCCATACGCCAGCGAGATGAAGAAGGGGATATGTAATTGGTAGTAAATGAAAGGACAAGGGAACCAAGAAGGCAGCGTTCCAATGGGTTTTAGCTGTTAGCATTTTCGGCGTTATGGAGCAACTTTGAACAAGTTGAATGGATGTACAAGATTAGTGGGATGGAGCATTGCAGAGACAGCTGCGTAAAAGCTTTGCGTAAGAGTGTGGCAGTGGAGGATGCCCAACTGTACAATACCAAATACCAAGGCACGAATCTAGGAGCAATACTGGCAACGGTTTATTTCTCACGGAACACATGTGAACATAAAACCCCAGAAGATAATAAATGCCTTTCGTTGGTTGGTATTGGTAATGCATATAAATCACAGCAGCTAGACAATGAAACTTGTGACAATAATAACAAGACCTGAATCACCGAGCTACGGGGTCATGTGATCGAGCCCTACCTGATGCTGCCACTTTGCTGTACTGTGAGTCAGCGAGCTAGCTTATTTAAGCTTAGTCCTCCAGCCATCGCTCCTTGTCCTTGATCTCCCGTTCGCATCCGCATCCGCATCCCCTTCCTCTGTTCCTTCATCGCCATCCGCACAAACTCTTCATCACAAAACCATCTTCAATTCTCACGCTCGCCTTGTCTCACAATCTCAACAAAGCCCTTTATTTTTGCGCGCTTCATCCAACTTCGACAGCCGCACTTTCTTGCCACTTCAGACCCGATCTCGTCGAGACGCATTAAAAATACCCAGCCACAGCCTGATTCCATCGGCACGTAAACAGCGCGAGACACAGAGACGAAGAACAAAGCCAGAGTTATCGAGCCTTGTCTCCATAATTCCTCGACCGTCGACCTACTTGAACGTCCTTCTGCCATCTTCAGCTGACCTCAAAAACTTTCCGTCCGCATTCACCCAGCTTTTGACCTTTATCCCCAATACAGACGCGTAAATCACCCCTTACAACATCAAACATGTCTGGAAAACTCGACCAGTCTCTCGATGAGATCCTCTCCACTACCCGCCGCACTTCAGTCGGCAAAGGCCGTCGTGTTGGCCGCCGCACTGCCGCCAAGCCCGCCCACGTTGCCCCTTCAAATGGCATCAAGAAGACCGCAAGGGGAGGCAAAGTTATCGCTCAAAGAACCCCAACTGGCCCTAGTGGAAACAGCGAAAGCAAGATTCTAGTTACTGGTTTGGTGAGCATTCCCGAACTATCATTCATATCTGGACAGAACCCAACTAATAGTTGCGCAGCCCAAGGATGTGTCGGAACCCATGGTAAAGGTATGTTACCGATGAGGCCTTCGAGCCTTTGGACTTTTGTCGAATTCTTCCTTCCACACCGAATCTATGATCCGTCGACGTGATCTTTCAACCTACGCTTTGCGAGGTTCAGTATCTACTTGGGGAAGCCTCATCAGCAATGTCTCCTCTTTCCTCTTCTGCTTTCATACACATTAAGCACTAGTGGAATGAAGTTGAGCTTCTTGCAGTCTTGCACATACCTATGATTCTTTGGAGGTAGCCTGGCAAGCACCATTCCTGAACATAGAGCAGACGATGATGATGGCGCGGCACTATTGTGCCGAGCACTTTTGTACTGGAGTCTACCTTTGGTACCAAGCGCGAGCGAGAGCAAGCTTCAGCGAGCACAGCAGTGGGTCAAGCAGCAGCACAGCAACATCGTGTCATTTATTCGAGAACATCTCAGAAGGGCGTCGCAAATCTCATACGATAACATTAAAAGTCTGAACTTTCATGCGATTTCTGATTCTATATGCGGGAATTGCTCTCGGTTTGGCACCTGATATTTGATCGAGATTGGAACTGGATGGGGTAGAGCGCTCAGCAACTTGAGATACGTTTGGGGAACATTGGTCACGAGGAATCTGAATTATCATTCCCTCGAGATGCGCTGATGATACTACTAATACCTACTGCTTGCTCGCTGTTGGTGTTCTGAAGACTGCGGGGATGGACCTAACATTATTCGCAATACCTTTTCTTTCGTACCGAGCTCGACCGATCTTCGATTCAGTATAACATAACGATATCCAGATGACTAACCAAACTTTGGAACTAGGAGTACTTTCAAAAAGCAGTCGGACCTGTCAAGAGAGTTGAAATCTCATATGGACCCGGAGGCGTCAGCCGTGGCATCGCCACCATTATCTTTGTTCGCTCGGAGTCTGCTTCCAAAGCTCTCCAAGCACTGAATGGAGTTCTCGTCGACAACAAGACTATCAAGGTATGCGGTGTGCACACTTCGGAAGAAATATTCTAACGAGTTGGCTAGGTTGAGGTGATTGTTGATGCAAAGCGTGCTACTGCCCTGCCTACTCCCAAGGGTCTCAGTGAGCGAATTAGGTAAGCCGAGTTCTTGGATTTGGTTGGAAATCTACCTAACAATTTCCATAGCCAGCCAAAGTCGCAGCCAAAGTCTGCTGCTACTACCAAGGCCACGGCTACCCGTGGTGGAAAAGCTTCGACCCGTGGTGCGAAAAAGGCCAAGAGTGCCCGTCCAACCAAGAAGACCGCTGAGGAGCTTGACTCTGAAATGATGGACTATTTTGGAGGTGCCAGCACTGATGCTCCTGCAACTGGCGCTGCCCAACCTGCCGCCAATGGTGATGCCAACATGGATGATGAAATTCTGGTCAGTTAGTCTCTATTGGTCCTTGAAGAAACTACTAACTCGGATTCAGTGAACATGGTTCAAGGCATATTTGGGTCGATTCTCTGAGAGGAGATGCGACTATTTGGTACACCTTTTCGCGAAACCCGTCTTATTGCAATTGTATTACTGTTACTATGCCTAGCTTTCGAACTTGCTAGTCTCTCTCATCACAGACTTGGGCCTGGTGGATATTTTGCGACTCATCATAATACCTTTTCAGCAATTTGCGCCAAACCGGTCTCTTTTTCAAATTGTATTTGCGGTTCATCATACCGAGTGCCGCGACGGAGGACAGGGGTGCCATGGAAGGCCGTGGATATTTCAGGCAACTTGCATCAGATGCCTTTCCTTTCAGACTGTAATGGAGAAGCACAATATCAAGCTTTATCGAACCACATGGGAGTCTATCGAGCGTGCGCCAACACATCTTGCAAGAATCCGATTTGCTTTTTCAACTGTTTCAAGTATCACTGGGGCTTGGCTTCGGACAAATTATAAAAAAAACATTAAACCAAATACTTGCTCTGGATCCTCATTGTGACCTCCGTGTCAACATATATCGACGATTGAATACAGTCTTCGGTCTCGATGGCATCGGCGAACGTTTGCCTTCTTATCTTCGTTGCACAGTTTGAGATTATCACTGTTTTCATTTTGGACGCACATCTTCAGGATTGGAGCTGTCCAGCACCTTATTCAGAAAACACCCGTCAAGATCTATCGCTATCCCTCCTAATGGAGTCCCCGAACCACTACCCTTAAAAATTGTCCTATGGCTTGCATCCTCCTTAAAATTCCTCGTCATCCACACTCTGTCGTCCTGCTACGGAATGCTCCGCGCCAGCTTAAAATTACTCCAACAACGTACTCGGCTTCGCGTACTCGCAGAAGATATCCTTCTACTTGTGGTGCTATTAATTCTCCTTGGTGGACACGTCCATGTTTCCTTCCACGGCCTACTAGACCACACGCGCATATTTCCATCGGCTCTCTCGCACCCCATCTCCCTTTCCGTTTGTGGCTTGAGTACCAGATTTATCTATTAATGTACGATTTTGACTGCGTCTGACGACTCAAGCGCTTTTCATCCTCTTCGTCGATCATTATCTGCGAGACAGACAGACAGAACGTTTGTATGTTCGAACTGGCTTACACAACTCTGGCATCCACTTGCGATTATATCGCTTCGAGCTATCCCGTTCTTTTTTGTGCGCAGATGTGGCGAGTGTTGATTGCTGTCAAGAAGCTTATTTGTCATGAACTGAGTTGCTATCATTTCGTATTTTCTGTGTTCCAGAATGCTCTTGTAGTCTTTTGGCATTCGAGTGCATAATGTTTTATACAAGTCTGCTTTGTGCAAGTGCTGCGACTAGACGTCATAGAGAAGGTAAATAGAGGGACGAAGTTCGTGGGAGAAGTTTGCAGATCCTCGGACGCTGTTGCCCTTAGAATATACAAAGTTGAGTATTCGATAATTCCAAGCCCAATGTTTGTTTAGAAAGAGCAAGTGCTACTGTGATTCCTGGAGGAGCTGTTTCTCAGACGCTGTTCTGCGGTGGGTGGTGAGTGGATTCTAGAATAGTTGAAATAGAACCATGTTTTGAAGTACCATCTACGAAGTTCGCATGCGAAGACTGCACGGAAATATAGTCTTAACAATGATATTCATTTATTCCGATACTAACGACACAAACGATCTCTTGGAAGACATCCTTTCATGGCCCGGCATGTCGCAGCTCACCTTAAAAGCAATCTAGCCTCGTTTCGAACGCCCTCGCCGTTTTCTCCTTCGATTCCATTAATTCCCCACCTCATGACTTCAGTATAGGGATACACTGCCCTACCAGTTCCTTTGCACAGTTGATCGCGGCTTGTTGGAGGACCCTTTTTTGTGCTGCGATGAGGCGGAGAAGAGTTATCAATATTTGAGTGGGGGTGAGCTCAAATGGGGAGGATGAAGTGCTTGATCCTTCCCCTGGAAGGGTAATTTGACCCTTTTCATGGATCCAGGTAGGTTATCTGCATAGTGCTCGAGCTCTTATTATATCCGGCAGGTAACCTTTTCCTTCGAGATAAGGTCGGGGACAAAAGAGCCTTCGGAATCTACGGAAAACACTATCACGAGCCACGGAGGGAGACAATGAAATGAGAGATTGTCTATGCGAATAAGAGATGGAAATTAAACTATGAAAATTTGTTGTGGGGAATTCCACGCCGAGGAACGGCTCGAACCTTTGCTTGACATACGGAGGTAGAAGCAGCTCTTTGTTCCGGTCGTGTTCGTTAAAGGGGGGCACATCGGAGCGACCCCCTGCACGCAATTCATCTGTTGCTACGTGGTTGCTGGATACTTTTTACCATATAAGTTTCACGATTTTAAGTACTCAGGGACCAGATTTCCATAAAAATCCACCTTTTACACTTATAGGAGGGTCCTCCGACGTGTGCCCCTCCACCACCCCCACTCTCCCTTTAATTGGAAGCTGCATCTAAAGACTATCTTAGGTACCGGGTGGAAATTACCTGAGCATCAATTTAATACCACAAACTCACTGGAGTAGTCCAGTAGCATGCAAATTACATCCAAACGGCTTGAGGTGCGGTCAAGCAGATATTCGACGTCTCGCATGCGGATTGGATATAGACATTGCGATTACTGGAATTAAACGTCGAAAATACCGCTATTGGGCGGCGGGTATATTACTAAAAGCGCGAACGTGGCATGCAGCCGCCAGATCCCCTGCTCACATGGCACCGAGGCTTAACTACCTTGGGAAGTAGCCCCTGAACCTTAACTTCATCTGTTTCCCCGCATTATCCGGCATACCGATGTTACCGCACGCGCACGACCCCAGATGATCCCCAGAAACGACGCCATCTGGGAATTCTAACCCTGCGCGAGTAATGACAAGTCACAAAAAAGCACAACATACCGAGGTGAGTCGTAAAAGAGTGCAGGAAGGATTCAGGAACGATTAAGGAACGATTACCTGGAAGGATTTGGAAAGGGCCGATGAGGGGCGCCCATCACCTACACCTTCAATAATGTCAGCCTACCACTCACCTGAATACTCCCAGCGGCTCACTACTGGCCGCCACGGCTCGCCAGCATTCCATCGCATTTAGGCTTATCTTCTCTTCCTTCATTCGTCTTCCGTCCCTTAAACATATCCGCAATCCTCTGGAAGTACCGAGACTCAAGCACTCATCACCTCCTTCCCCTCTTGTGTGTCCTCATTGGCGATCCATTGGCGCCGGCCTTAAGAGGTCATGAGGGCCCTCACAACTCCACAAGCCTCCAATATGAAGACTAAGGCCCCGAGATGTAAGCAGGACACGCACTGTCGTTGATGCTTTTCGGCGCTCGTGCTGTTTGCAGATTCGGACAAGCCCAGAGGGGCGGTTTTCACTGGCATACCCCTGTTTCTCCACCCTGCGTTCCACTAAGTACTCGGAATGTGCTTAGATACCGATCAATAAAATGATACTTCTTTTGATGTGAATTGGGGCAGCCGCGCTTGAATGAGATATAAGTTGGGCTATTCCACAGTTGCTTGCTGGAAAGCAGACTCTTTTCCCATTCTTTCAGTTCTTTTTGCCCGCCCCAGGAAGTCAGTCCCAGGCTTCACCGTCTACTCTTCCAAATACATCAATCCTTTCACCAGCCACCATGAGATTCTCCATCTGGACCATTGTCACCCTCCTGGGACTCACCCTCGCATCCCCGGTCCCAGCCCCCCATCTCAATCTCAACCCCCGCGCCTCAATCGAAAAAAGACAAACTCCCCTAAATGCCTTTCTCTCCCTCCTCCTTGAGTATCTCCCAGCCGTCGATGGCACCTTGGATTCCGTCCTCTCTATCCTGACCAACTTCGAGCTATTCCTCGCCACGCTCACTGGCGAACAAACCACGTACAATGAGCTCGGTGGCACTTGCACAGAATACACCGTCATCTTCGCCCGGGGCACCACCGAGCCAGGAAACGTAGGAGTTCTGGTCGGCCCACCCTTTTTCGATGCCCTGACGACGACTTTAGGAGCGTCGGCGTTGACCATTCAAGGCGTTAATGATTATGATGCTGATATTGCTGGCTATGAGGCCGGTGGTGATGCTGGTGGAAGTGCTGAGATGTGAGTTCGTTTGCTCTTCTGATGAGCATTGTTTGATTGAATTTGACCTAATCCATTTCTTCACTTCTTCACAGGGCAAAACAAATCTCCGCCGCTATGGCAGCGTGCCCGGATACCAAATTGGTAGCATCGGGCTACTCGCAAGGCGGCCAGATTGTTCATAATGCAGCTGCGCAACTTCCTGCTGCTACGGCGTCTTGGATTAGCAAGGTGGTGGTCTTTGGAGATCCAGGTATGATTGCTCGTCTCTTTGAAAATAAATTAAGCGGAAATGGAATGAGAACGTGCTGATGAAAATCTTTCCCTTAGATAACGGTACTGCTATTGCGAATGTTGATCCTTCGAAGGTGAAGACTTTCTGCAATGTCGGCGATAATATCTGCGTTAATGGTGACCTGGTGAGTATTTTGCTCCTCTGTCCCATATGCATGGCTGACTTGGCAGATTCTTGTTCCTCATCTAATATATGGTGAGAATGCTGAAGAGGCGGCGACTTTTGTTGCTTCGTAAGCATATTTTTTTCTAGTTTGGTGGGGTAATAGGGCGGGCGCATGGGCGTATTGGGATGCATTGGGACGGCGATATAGGACATGCATTGGATTGGCGTGAAGGTTTTGGTGTTTTCGTGTGCTCATTTACAACTTATTTTTGAAAGTTGCCGTCGCATGATCATGTTTTTTGGGGGATTCGGACCTAAATGATTACTTTCAACTCTTGCTTGCGCTCTGGTTCATGCGGGGAATTTTGAAATTGGCAAATTCAGTGATGTCGAATTGTGTTTCATTGCCCTTCGTGATCCGGATAACTTCTCGCCATCTCTAGCCTCGTCAAATGTGTCCCGACGATGGAAGAAGGAGTTTAAATAATGAATGGATGGAGCGCCAAACTCTAGCCCTTTACTTCAAACTAGCAATCGTAATACCCCCGTACTCCTTAAAAACTCTCTTCCGCACCTTCTTTTCGAAAGGCTCTGGATGATGATGGTCCCATTGATGGACGAGGATTTATCGCGACTGTCAAGAAATACCTAGATAGGCTTATTAGGTCATGTATTTTGGGACTCGCCCCCGACATTTCTGCGCCAGAATGATATTAGAACATCCGATGTGCAATAAAAACTCTTGAAGAATTTCCCTTCACGAGCCGTATTTGTTTGTCTCTGTATATGTTGAGAGACCGGGGCTTCATTCCCGGCCCTTCGGATGAGGAGCCCAATGGGGGCATAGAGGCTGATGTTACCTTAACGTTATCTGATCTTCCAGGAAAACCGATAAGGTTAATGGGAAGCATGAGAGTGTGAGGCTAATATAAAGTTTCAACCAGGGTAAAATTGCACACCTGTACCCGCTCCTAAACCTCGGCTATTTGTCAGGGGTAGCGAGAACCCAAGTGAACAAGCCTCTACCTACTTTGTAAGGATCACGTGTCTTATAGGAGCTTTCCCATGTGAGGAGATAATGATTTGAGCTGTAGCGAGAATCAAAAACTGTATCTGGAGGGGACCTGATAGTACTGTGGCATGCGAAGATCATCGCTTCCCCGCTTGCGAGCCAGCTTTGTGACACGCTCCGACTGCTCCTTCTTCATCGGAAGATTGCGTACATACATCATTCAAAAACGTAATATAAGTGCTAAAAAACAATGGATGCGTCTCTTCAAGCTGTTCGCACTTTCCTTCAGAAGTCACCGTTGTAGGTCGTGCGTGCGCTGCTCCTGTACGTTTGCGAGAGGCCTTAACTTGCTCGCGGCACATCCTGGGAGCACCTGCTACAAGTAGAAGCAGATTCCTACTCTAGCACCAACTTTACCCAGTCGATATCACTGGCAACCTGGGTATGTTTTCAAGTGCCTAGACAGTGCTATATTCTCACGCATCTGAGCTGGCTAACACGGTGGCATAGAGAATTATATACACTGAGCCTCGCATTTATAATGCGATAAATTGATCCTACCATTTTATTTGTGGATTGCTCTCTTCAAATTCCTTCTGCAGGTTCAACGACTGAGCCACTTCTTCACTTGCTGCTCATATACCATCTCCGGGATCTCGAGCCCCCTACAAATGCTTTCTACCGAATCTCGAAACTCTGGACCCGTCGTCTAACACAGTATGAGGCTTATGACTTGCCGAGAGTCGGTGCTAAACGCACCTTAGGGTTTCCGTCACAGGGAATCATTCATGACCCGTATTCAGTCATTCTGCCCATTTCCGCTCGCGAAGTTTTGCTTGCTTCTCGGAGACTCTCATCATTGGTTTTAATTCAGCGCTGTGTTGGCTCGCGTTAATCCAGGAAAACATGTGGCCAAAGTTAAATGTGAAAATATCAGAGCACCCTTTGGGTGAAGGTCGACTTGGATTGCATTCGTAATTTACATCTATAAAGCCTTAAACTCAGCAGGCTGCAGAAATTTACTTCTCAACTTTAGTTTCGAACTCACTCAAATAGTCCATTTCGGTGAATCCTATCTTGGATTCACTTTTCCGTTAGGTTCAAATGCTTTTCCTTTCCTTCGAACAACCTCGAGCAACTTCGATTGCAACCTTACCACAATCAACACCTCAAACCTCGACAATCTTCTCTTCACCATCTCCCTTTCAAAACACCCTCCTCCTCCCACATGACAAACCTAAATACATCCAGAATTACACTACCGCGTATTCCCACAAACTGGTAAGATCTTCTAGTTCCTTTATGCTATTCACCTCGTTTCTGCCTTTCATCTTCTTCGGGTTGTTCTTAGGACCTCCCCAGCCTAGTTCAATTTCACCAACTATATTCTTTCAAACCGCCTCATTTCCACCTTCCTCGTTGTAGCACTTAAGCACGAGAGGCAGCTACGCTTATTCCGCTTTCCGAGGACACAGTTACTACTTCATCTTCACTTCATATTCACTTCGCCTTCACTTCATAGAGCTACATAGAGCTGGTCTTGGTGGCTCAATATTTTTCATTTACTTGAGCCAAACTCACCTTCCATCCCAAAAGCCAGCGCAGAAGAGCTCCTACAGTCCGCCTTCAATCGTAGGCATACTTCGACTCCAACGTGCCTCTTATAAGTGGATTCGGGTTTGCTAACACACCAATAGGCAAAATGGATACAGAATTGAGCGGGGTTGGCATTGTTCCACACAAACCCAAGATCAAAATGGAGGAGTCATCCGACCAGGAAATACAGACACAGCATACCGTTACCAATTATATCACTGAAGTCAACTCGGGACTCGCATCGCCTATGCAGAGTAAGGCGCGTGCTGCTGCGCACATGGATATAGACGAAATCCCCCAGCACGATGTCAAGGTGGAAGTGAAGAGCGAAGATGTGGATCTTGTTGCTGGAATTACTACTACGGATACATCATTTGAGACTGAGAAGGTGACCGAGAACCTTGACATATCTACCCCGACAGTCTCAGCATCAATCGAAGAGACCCATAACGTTCCTAGCCCTCCCAAGGAGAAGAAAACCCGGAGATCGTTTGCCAAAAACCCGACTGAGTACTTTAAAAGACAGCGTGAGCTGGAAGAAGAAAAAGACCGAGTTAGTAAGAGGCCAAGAAAGTCCAATGCAAACGCTACACAAATCCAAGCAGGTACTGGCGGGGCCATACTTGAGGATATGATCAGGAATGATGACAATTCTCTACGTCGTGCTACTTCGGAGCTGATCGACGTACCAGCAGTCAATGCAACTACTGTCAAAGAGAAGGACTCTATGATCAGGAAATACCTGGCCGAAAATCCTATGATAGACATTCAAAAACGTGGGACTGATGTTCATGAGATTATGAAGTCTCGCAAGAGCTTTGGGTTTAAGAAAGTGGGAGCGTCAGGCAACCTTTGGAGTTTGAAAGGCATGACTACCTGTAAGGAACCCCTTCACTGCCCGAATTTGCTACTAAAAACCCCATAGTACTTCGTGATCATCAACTGATTGGTGCTGGTTGGATGATCGCAAGAGAGTGCTTGGAGGAGGGGCCCCTCGGTGGTATATTGGCTGATGACATGGTAGGTACTTGTCAAAAATATAGATAAGTCTGAAGAAGCTTACTGACGTGTCTTAGGGCCTGGGTAAAACTATACAGGCACTTGCGGTATGGAAATCCCATACTTGAAAACACTAAATCCACTGACATCATAGGTCATTGTTGGAAACCCACCTGTAAAAGGCGTCAAACAGGTCAAGACTACTTTGGTGATAGTTCCAAGGTCTTTAGTAAGTAACTTCTCGAGTAGTTTTCATGCAGGGTTTCCTAACTGATGGATTCAAGAAATATCAATGGATGTCGGAAGCGGAATTACACACCAAACTCAGGCGAACAATTCTCTACAGTTCCAAGGATGTGAATAACAACACAATTCGTCGACTAACAAACAATGATATTGTTATTGCACCTTACAATGCTGTCTTAGCAAGCTTCAAGGAGGAGGGGGGAGGACTTCTACACCAAATTGAGTGGCACCGGGTAAGTCACTTTTATTCGCCAATGAAGAAAGAAAAGGCATTTGCTAATTTTATGTTGCTACAAGATCGTTCTGGACGAGGCGGTGAGTAGCACTATTCTACGCTTCTCACTTTGCTAATAAACATAGCATAACATAAAAAATCTTTCTTCAAAAATCACGCAAGCGGTGATTGCATTGAAGGGAGAGCTCCGGTGGGCTTTAAGTGGGGTATGTCTTCGAAGTCTTCCTCCCAACCATTTAACATCTAAATTTCTTTAGACTCCCATTCAAAATTGTTACGAAGGTGCGAAGTTCTCTGGCTATTAACGAAGTTGTGATTTTGACTTTGCTTAGAGTTCTATCCCTTGTTTTGCTTTCTAAAGCACCCGCTTATGGAGGAAGTGTCGTCTACGGAGTAAGTCGTCCTGAAAGTATTCTGAGGTCCACCGAGCTGATCAAGTCTGTCTTCTCAAGGTTTAAAACGCGCCTTTGCAAAAAGGCCAAGGAGGATATTGATGTTCGTGTTTATTCTTCTGATTTCTTGCTTGTGTTGACATGATATCAGGGTAATGAAACGGCGCAAGATCTCAGTAGTATTGTGTCGAATGTAATGATGCGGTTAGTTCCCCTCTTCTTTCTTTATCCAGTCGCGGAGAGTTCAAGAGTAACAATTCGAAAGTCGTACCTACCACGACCAGATAATGAGCAAAAGGCTCGTCCCTCTTGACGAACCACATACCTGCACCCTGACGGTCAAACCAACGCAACCTGAACAGCTCCTTACTCAATTCGTTAAACAACGCTTTGCAGATCTTCGAATGCAACGGAAGACAAAGACACTATCGAATGACAGTCGCTTATACGACCTAGGCAATTGGCTTCAACAAATAACACGGTTGAGACAGTCAGTAAATGGCAAAATTCAGTACTGGTAGCAAGCTAATTGGAGCAGATTAGTAGCGAATCCTGATCTCATTTACGAGCAGATTGAGGTTCGATTCGAATCCTTCACTAAAGATCAACTTTTAACCTATTTATTAGATTATGTCCTCAGTCTTACAACTAGAAAGTCTCCGGTCGGAAACCGAAAGCTTACAATTGGATTCTAGTAATCCAAAGGAGGTTTCAAAGGCCCAGAGTGTTGCAGAGGGCGTCATTGAGCGTAAGTGCTAGATTTGCTATTATCTATAGGCGCGGTTATAATATTTCAAATAGATATCGACAGCTGGATCAGGACAAAGAGGTACGAAAATATTTCACAGCCAAAGAGAACAATCATCCGGAAGAATCACTTTTGCTGCCGCTGCAAAAATGGCGAACTTGAAGATCTTGTTAGACTCAAGGGTTGCAATCATTGTTTCTGCGAACAATGTATCAAAGGAAATATGGGGCATAAGTTGACGGACGATGGAGAAGTAAGTTTCTCCTCCCTTATGCACATCAAGAAGATCTAAGAGATACTTATACCTTGCAAGAAAGCTTTTTGTCCCAAATGTCATAAGCCAATCCAGGACATCCGGCCTCTTGATATGCCAAAACGAAAGAAGACATCGAGAAGACAGAGAGGAAAAAAGTCCTCATTGCCGAAGAAGGCTGCCGACTGCCTGGGCGTTCGGCCAAATCTTAGTCAAGAATCTTCTGTAAAATGGATGAAGTCATTTGACGGGGGCACGGTCAATATACTACCAACAGCTAAGCTAGACACAACAATCGTCCAGATCAAAGATTGGCAGAAAGAGTGCCCAAAGGACAAGATTGTTGTCTTCACCTCATGGAGCTTATTTGCTATAATGATTGGCGCAATGCTGCAGAAGCAGAACATCAAATTCGTCTACTACTCCGTAAGTCTTTTGTCTAAAGCCCCGATTCTATTGCTTACAGCTTAAAGGGAGACATGAACGACTTGCAACGGAACGCAGCTGTCAAAGAATTCAAGGTTGCCGAAGAAGTTCACGTTATGATTATGCTGCTGAAATGTGGAAGTATAGGGCTTAATTTAACCTGGGCCAATCGGGCAATAGTAGTGTAAGTTTCTTCGACTATTCTTAGTAACTATCAATTAACATAGCCAAGGGACTTGTGGTGGAATCTAGCGGCGTAAGTTACTAACCCCCACGAAACAAGGTGATATTTACTGACTATATTGCAGAGAAAACCAAGCTTTTGGGCGCATCCATCGGATGGGTCAAACGAAGAAGACCTACCTCGTCAAGATTGTCGTTGAAGACACTATTGACGACACGATTCTAAAATGTTGGTGTTCCTTGCTCCCTGAAAATTGAGCCGAGACTGAACATTCGTAAATAGTGCAGAAGTCAAAATTAGAGAAAATCGGCGCTGTTATGCAGGACAGCCTGAGCAAAGAAGACAAAGCCAAATTACTCCAGTGTGACATTCGAGGTAGGCTTTTCTCTTTGTTTTATATCCAAGTACTAATGAACAAGCAGATGACGCTGAGTCTATAGATATCAGCGATGACGAGGAGGATTTCGTAGCAGAAGAGGATAACAATCCAGACTGTGATACTTCTGACGAGGAAGAAGAAGAAGCAGAATCCTCGATGGATGAAGAATATTCGGAATAAGGCTTCTCTTCCATCGTACGAGATGAGCTCCTTTGAGAATACAACATCCATTTTTCGACATCAATCAATCCATCACGCTTTCTGGGCAGCCTTTGGCTTCGTCATGGATAGTTCTCATCAGCTTCTACTACTTCAAGTAAGGAGTCTATATGCCCTCACATGGTTGTTATAGCTGACTGATTAACAACAGTAGAACTGATGCTACTTCCTGGACACCCTCCTGCAAACTCGTTCGATACCGTACCACCGCCATCACCCTGCCTTAACACTCGTACATCAAATTACACCAGAATCCACAACGGCCCCTTCCACATCTACCCCTGCATTAACACATCACATTTACACCAAACTTCACAAAGCCCCCCTTCCACATCTACCCTCAATACATTTCCTACACTCAACATTCCAAAATTTACGCTCATATATGGCATATCCTAACATTCAACAGTGTTCGCTCTCCAAGCTAACAGATACAACATCTGCCAGTTCTTTGCCTCTTTCAAAATACCCAACAACCCCATTCCCAAAACATACCCCGAAATGTACTTTAGCCATTACCCCTCCCGCCCCCAATATAGTGATGCACAATATCAAAAACCCCACAAAACCATCCTGCTGTTCCTTCCAAGTGACCTGATGCATATTAAGCCTGTCCATCGACAGAGAGTTTCTGTAGAGATTAGTTGGTTCATCATATTCAAGTAAGATTCTTGCTTAAATGCTGTCTAGCTGTCTGCAGCAGGTACTTGAGAAGAACGGGGCGTAGGTAGGTCGCTTAGCTTGCATTATTAGCATCCCCTCAGCCAACGGCCCAACGGTTTCGACGTGAAAGGACGTCTCGATTGATTATCAAGTGACTGAATTTTCACAAGTTACTTCAGTTTGTTTATCCGTTCGATTACCTAGACCAAGCCAAATCTCAATTGCTACGCTTCTCGTCGAGGACTTATTGCTTTGGTCTATGCAATTTTGAGGATAATAGATGAAACGGATTTTATTATTAAAAGGCAATGCGATAAAATTGTTATTTCACGACATTGTAGAGTACCAAGCAGAGTATAGTTTATAATGCAAATCTTATTGCTTTTTGATACACAGGGTTGAGCGCTTGCGATATCAATATCCCTCATGAAATACATTCTATACCATAAGGAAACAGTCCAACTCTGCTGTTTTCAGGCAATGCCTTTCCACAACAAAACACCATCTTAGGTGCCATTGCAATGCCACCCTCCAAAGAATACCCTGTGGATATAAACACCATGTTGAAATATGCCCATCAGCCGTCAAACTCCATGGAAAGCACAACTCCGAAAAACAAAAGCCTTGGGAATAATCCTTACAAGCATACAGAGCACTGGATCAAAACCGGTGGCAAGCATCTACCGTGGAAACGAGTGACACTTTTGGCGATGACCAATTAGAAGACAGGCTTCGTCAAAACTCTGTACTCAACGTAATCCTCGCCATCAATACTCAAGATCTGTGCAGAACTAACAAGTTTTCCCTGGAATGGACCATTCTGCTTGCGCTCATACTTGATTCCGTTGTGAAACTTGACTTCTTCCGTAGCTACAGAAGCTACTGCTGGTCTCGGGGAGGTCGTCGATGTTGCGGCTTGTTGTGCAACCCAGACTTTGTTGAGCTTTTTGATGTTGTTCTTCAGTTCTTGTTGTGCAGCCTCCTGAATGACAGCCTCTGCCATGGCGACTTCCTTTCTGGACTTCTCGTGTTGTCTTTCTAGGGCCTCAGCTTTCTCTTTTCTGGCTTTCTCCGCCGTCGCATCAGCCTCTACCTGTTGTCTAGCAGCCATCTTAAGCTCGGACCTAGCGCTATGGCGGGTTTCCATCTCAAGTGGTGGTACACGAGGCTGTTCAACTCCGTTGGTGGGACCTTCCTGGGCTACGATAGCCTTTGCTTGCTCGACAGCCTTTAATTCATTGGCCTTGCGCTCCTTCTCAGACTCTCTGTTCTCGAGATCCTTTTGACGAATGCGGCAATACTCCTTTACTTCAGGGCGACTCAAACTAGCAAGGTGGGGCTCAAAGATAACCTTGTCGTAATGAAGCCACAGAGCCCCGGCGCCAATGGGGAAGTTACCATCAACATAGCGACCGTCGCGTGTGACCCTCTGGACCTTGACTCGAAAGCAGTCGGTACCGCTGAGAACACCAAAGACGGCGTGCTTGTCTTCTAGACGAGGCTCATCAGATTCAGACCAATAGCCCAGAAGAATACCAAGCGGCTTTCCTGGTGTTCCTGGGGTTCCTTGAGTTCCTTGAGTTCCTTCAGCGAATGGCGATGCTTTGGGAGTTTGTATGTTGGCAGCATTGACGGCTTGGAAACTTGGCGCTTTGTGGAGAGTTTGGCGAGGCTCGCGAGGGAGCGATTCGCGATGGCCACCCCGACCGCCCCGCCCAAGAGATTGGCGATGCGCCATGGGCCGAGTGCCCGGAGATGCCGTGTCATCCGCAACGATTTGCTTTGCCTTGAGAACGGCTTTCTGATCAGCTTCATGTCGCTCTTCGGGGGTGTTTTCTGGCTTGGCTTCGGATCGCAGCTTGACATATTCCTTGATCTCGGCGGGATTGAGTGCCATTAGGTGTTCGTCGAAGATGACTCGTGGAAACGTGACCCAGCATCCTCCAGCGCCCGTAGGGATATTACCAACGAGCTCATCGCCCCTGCGGTTCATGCCGTAGATCCGAGTACGTAGCCGGTCGTGAATGTCAATGAAACCATAGATCACGTGTTTATCTGCATCATTGGGCTCACTGGAATCACGCCAGACACCGATGATGACTCCACGAATTCTAGGACTGCCCCCCCGTGACCTCTTTGCAGCAGGCTCACTGGTCGGCGTGCCTTGAGGAACCTTGCCATAGCCCAAGTCGTCCAAGTTGTAATTGACCGAGGCGCGCTTTCTCTTGTAGTATGGAGTTACAGTATCCTCGTCGTCTTCCTCGTCGGGGTTGAGTAGGATAGCGGATGCGTCGGCCATCTGAACTCCTGGTGTGTCGACAATTATGCCCTTTTCGGCGTCTTCGCGAACGGGCGAATTTCTGACGGATCCCGAAGTTCTGCAATCGTTATCGATATTAGCAGGTGTTATGGTTTCAAATTGAGCTTAGTCAACAAGAGTTCAAAAAGTAAGCTCAAACACGTGTCGGCCAAGAGCGACGGGAACGAGCGAAAAGGGAACGAGGGACGAGGAGCGAAAAATGAGGAAACAGGAAACGACGCTCAAAATGAAACATCGGGGGTGTGAGGAAAAGTGTGAGTAGCAATAGGAATTATGTAACATTAAGTGATGGATGAAAATAGAAATAGAACGACTTGTCGCTTATGCGTTGCGTTGCGTTCGCGATGATTGCTATGCAGGGCAGGGCGCAGTAATTCCTTCAAGGGAAGTGAAAATAAATGAAGTCGGTTGGGATCTCAAGATGACACGAAGCAGAATTGGGACCAATATGTGAATAAGCAAAGCGCAGCGAAAAAATAAGTGATAAATTGATAGACAGTGAGATAGACCGTGAGGAAGAATGAATGCATTGATGCGCGACAAGCAGGGGCAGGAAACGCGGCAAGAAATGCAAAGCATGCAAAGCAAGCGGCAGTTGAGTAGCAGCGAACGAAGAAAAGAAAAAAAAGGTATGATCAGCTCTACTTACGGACTTTCTCCCATAGGTTGGTCGATGAAAGCGTCGAGCTCCATACTGTCGGTACTCCGGCTGGTTAACGACTCTGAGCTGGACGAGAGTGTGGTCGACATTGATCGAGGACCGACGCGTCAAGAGGTCGAGAAGGTAAGAAGTTGGAGGTGGAAAGGTTGAATGCAATGCAAGTGTGAGGAAGAGAAGAGAAGAGGCGGGAAAGAGAAAAGAGCAGCAGTAATTCGTACTGTAATGAGGGAGGGAAATTAAAAGAAGGGAGGAAAGGAAAGAGTGCTCGAAGCGAGTGTGAATTACTATGATTACTACGATTAAGGCACGTATCCGGGATCAGACTTGTCTTAGCGTGTCTCGCCTTGAAGAAAGTTGTGGCTCAAGCTCTCTCTCTTTCTCTCTCTCTCTGTCTCTCTGTGTCTCTGTCGCTCTATCTCTCACTCTCTCTACGACTACCAAGGTTGGGCGAGTAAGGTAAGGCCCCCGTAGCTAATACGGTAGTTACGTAGGCTGAATACAAAGGAGGGGGTCTAAGTATAGTAAGGTACGATAGGGTAGATAGAACAGCTTTGATAGGCCTGGAATTAGCAATAATAATAGCCCGTTAGTGCATCGCGCTGTTTCTTAAAGTGATGAGGTGTTCGGCTTTCCGTATTACAGCGCCACCTGATGCTACTTACTGTCTTTCGTACTTCTGCCTGCAATTTGTAATGCAGCATAGAGTGCAGAGTCGTAGAGCGTGAAAAGTAGCGGCCCTGAATTCATTCAACTGCCGATTCTATTTTCATTTTATATTAGGACAAGCCAAGGCAACGAACCTTCGTGCTGAATGTCTGAGTTTGCCAAGCTGCATGTAGCCGGGTGCCTTGACTTTTTCGCACCCCCAAAAGCCCCCAACCTCTTCTGGCTTGTGATACACTTTATTAATCTAAGTCGAATCGCAACGCCAAAGCCTATCTTCCACCACCCCTTCCTCTTCCACCACGGCCACGCCCTCTGCCTCGTCCACCGCCACGACCTCGCTTGTTGCCTCGAAAGCTTCCTTGGTCAAACCTTTCAGATAATTGTTCTTCCCCAAATGCCGTTTCCCCAAGCCGCAAATAGCTGATAACACCCTGGTCAATTACTGCCAAAACCACATTTCGCCAGCCGTGCTTCAATTTCTGGTACGTGTTTTTGATGCCTTGTCCTGGCTTTGGTGGGTCCCAAGGCGTGCTCTCTAACAAAGACGTGACCTGACTGAGCGACGGAACGAAAGTCGTGCGAGCGTTGACAATTGCCACGCGAAAATCAGGAACTCCCGGATTGCTTTTTGTGAAATTGGGAACTCTGATTGGTTTCCATAAGTGAAAGATTACACGATATGGGTCGTCAACGGGTGATGAGGTTGCTGGGTCCTCTGGTGTAGGTAATGGCTTGTGACGTGGGATAACGGCAATTTGTCGATAGATCGAGTTGTATGATCTGTACATCCCAGGCTTTACTAATGGCCCATATGGTAAATACTCAACCTCTGGTTCGGAGAATAGCCTTCCAAAGAGCCAACTAAAGATACTTGGAGACGACTCCAAAGGCTCAACAGCTTGAAAGCTATGTGCTTTGCCAGGCTTTGTCGGGTCCCAATCTGGTGCTCTCAACACGACATACCCATTCCTCTTGAGATTGGTATAAACCGTGTACCTATCCTGGCTGACCTTGCCCTTCTCGGTATCATTGCCAAGCAGCAGAGCAAAGGCTGCTTGCAGACTCATGGGAGCACCTTCATCAACCTCGCTCGCATCATCGTGATTTGTTTTCTTTGGTACACCTTCCTCATCTTCTTCAATCATGCCATTGAACGATGATCGCGTAGGCCACCATAGATCAAGATTCCCTCTCTCCACAAGGTAGAGCGCCTCTTCTGGCAAGAGCCATAAAGCTCCATGCCTCTGACCCAAATTCATGGCTCCCATAGACCTGAAATGTGTACCCCTCGCAGATTCAACAACAACGACGTGGTCATCATCTAAGCCTTTCCTCCATTCTTCTCCCAGTATCTCATCTCTCTGCAAGCTTCCTTCTCCGTAGTAGAACCCCCTATTATGATTCTTCGGGTTATGAAATCTCGTGTACGATAACGCGTCATGCATCGCCTGCCTGCTGGATTCCAGAACTCCATCTTGGTGTTTCGTACCATGCGGTTCAAAGTCTTTCTCGCCCCGTTTGGGAAGTTGACCGGATTTTGAAGTAAGCGCTGCAAGGAAGCGGAAATCTTGCGTCTCCTCGCTAGGATCGTTATCTTCGGCCTGGGTTTGGAAGGAGGAAGGAGGTGCGTCATCATCTAGGTCTGTCATTATGGGTATAGGTTTCTGGTTGAGTGAGCTGATTGATTACATTGACTCTTGCCATTTCCCAGCCTTGTATGATCAGGCTCTTCAATTAGTTAAAGCAGCGGGTATTTTCCGTAAAGCGGCATTCCATCATAGTCCATCCCTGTTAGCCCCTGAAGACTTGATAAGTCAAGTTACCTTTACCCAGTTTCATAAAGAGCATGATCTATTTTCCAGGAAAACTGTTTCGGCAATTGTGATTCCACTCAGTCAGCAAAGCGCTTAAATTTGATCCAACTTCGGGTTTCTGAAGTTTTCATCGCGTGGTCCACTGTTTAGTTCTTTAACTAAGAAGTTGCTTGCTAATGGTTAGCAACTATGGAGAAAGAAGCCAAGTCCTAAGCAGGAACACTTATTCACAACTTTATTATCTTATTAGCTGGCTAATTTTGCCACAGCATGAGATAGATTGTCATATAGCAAGTCGAGTGGTTGGAAAACACTTGAGGGAGTAGCTCGGGATTTCTGGCCGTCCCAAGTAAGCGACACGTCCCTAAATACCTACCTAGGCTAGGGTAATAAAATGTAGCGTACTTCTTTTCTACATAGGTAGGTCTACACTAATACGAGTATATTAGGAAAATATAACTTATTAATAGCTATTTTATTTGACTCTGAATTTACTATATTATAAAAAGATTAAGAGCAAACGTTGAGGTTTAGAAGTTATATACCCCTGGAAAAGAAAAGACGCTAGACAAGACATTTATTACCCTTGTATGAGTCTCTCCATCGCTCCGAAGAACCCCCGTGGGCCCGTGTTCAATTCGAGTTTCGGCCCGTTTATATTAACACTTGAATATACTTAAATAAGCATCTTTAAGACAAATCTTTTGAAATTGGGAGTCTGGCCGAGTGGTTAAGGCGCTGTGTTTAGGTGGTCTCATGGACACTTCGACGATCCGCAGTGGGAAACCGCGCAGGTTCGAATCCTGCGGCTCTCAAGAACTTATTTTTTTTCTTTTGCGGATGGATCTTTTCTTAGGCTAGCTCTATGCACCGCCACGGAGCATGTCTGGCTTGTTTTACTTGCTTTACTTGCTTTACTTGCTTAATACAGTTACAGGAAGGTAGATTTCCATTTGTCAGAGCTATTTTTTCCTTTCTTTTTCGTAGTAGTATTACTTATAGCTCATTCGTAAATGTAGAAAGGAAAGCCCTAATAAACCATAAGCGAGACCCTAGGAGTGCGAAGACTTAATACATCTACATCTACACGGTGCTGTCTACGAACCTGTGGATAAGCTACGGTATGCCCACCTATCCTAAGGATCGATTAGCGTAGTAACGCCGCTGTTGTGATTCGAAAAAGTAAAAGCGCATAATCTTCTAGTATTGAGGACCGCGTTTGCGTTTCCTGTAGGTTCAGCCAACACAGTAGTAGGTATTTTTGGACAACGGAATGACAGGGGAACGTCGTAATACGGGAGAATACTTCGGCGAGCGTTTTGGGATCACGCGGGCGGGGCTAAAACTGCGAGGCCTCCTGCATATGCGATGTGCAACAAAACTTCCACCTCAGTTGACGTCCTTGTAATACAAGGCTGGCTCTTTCACACTTGTGTGTTTTGCAAATTAAACATACTCCTTTAGTTGTAATTATTTGAGCAGTCGTGCTATGCTTTCCCCAGCTCCGAGAACAAGATGGGAGGCCATTGCAGACGGGGGATGGCAAAGACCCTGACAATGTGATGACCAGCGAGTTAGATCCATAACGTGACATCTATGCTATTAATATAGAATAAGTTTTGTAGTGTAGTAGAGGATATACTATCTAAAAATTAGGTATCTAGCTTGGGCAGAAAGGACCCAAATGTGTTGTATGCATAGCATAATAAAATCTATTTCATGATTAAGCGAGACCCCTGAATTTTCTATGCGCCGCCATAGCCCCTTATGATTCCTATACTGTTTTACGGCCGTCCCTATAACAAGCAGAAGCCTTTGCGGTAAATATAAAAGGCGGTACCAATTTATAACATACTAGGTAGCGTGGAATATCAAATTTAACGATAGTAAATGCTGCTTTTTTCTATCTACTAGTATAAGGAGCATAGGGCCTTTTTATAGACGACCGTAAAACACTAAAGGAGTTCATATATAACCAGTTTTCCTTCTATAAAAAGAAGCCAAACTCTTAGTAGATCCACTTTCACACCACTTCCCGATCATACCATCCCTCCCTGAGCCAAAGCTGGTGCACCAACTCATTTCATTTCGTCATTTCAAAGACCAAGGTACTACTCTACTCTACTTACCTTACCTATACGTCGTACGCGTAATTGCTGACTGAACTATACGGTCTATACCAGTTACAGCTTACTCGAGCTCCACTTCCATTTCCACCCCATGAAACTACTAGCTACTTTTTCTCTCTAATCCATTGCATTAGTCAAGCTTATGAAGCTCCGGGTTTCCATTCTAGCTAGAAAAAGCAAAAGAGGGCTAGCGTAGGTCGAATTAAGGGTACCTAGTAAAGAGAGCCCTGGAAACTGGGGGCTGGAACGAAGCGAGTTTCCTGATTGGAGAGTTTCGTCTTCAGCTAGAGCCTCAGCTTGCTATCTACACCCGCCGGCCCCATCCCAATCTCAGCCTTACTCACTTGATATGCAGTCACATCACGGGCAAGTTTAGTATGGTAGGTATCATCTCATCTCATCTCATTGATTATCTCTCCTTGCTTGCTCCATCGTACAAAGGACCTCAACTATCCAGGTCATCTCTCATATACACATGAAGTTTGTTTACCAAAAAAATTAGAAACCGAAGAAGAGAAAGTGTATTGTGTGCAACGCCGGTGAAATGCTTTCGGGATTGTTCCCTCTCAAAGATTCATCATATCCATATCCAGGAGTTGGGCATGGCTTCCGGCCCTGAATTCCATAGCCAAATGTTCATTGTCCAAAGTCAAAATAAAAGTATTATGGACTGTAATGTAATGTGCCTCCCGTCCCTGACGTGGCGTTCGAAATCGAGTATCTAGCTCTCCTAGCTTCGCTGTTCCACGTTTGCTTTCTAGATGGATAGGTCTGTAGCGAGCTTGTGGCGTCTGAGATTCTCGAAATTCCTTCTTCCTCCCTTCGTCCACCAATATATTTTCGGCGTGATTTGCCGTTGGCGAATAAGTGCAGTATCGAAAGTAATGCGTTCATCATTCGATGATCATCTTCTTCTGCCCACCCACCATAGTCCATCCCAAAGCCCTCAGAGCTTCCTTGTCGTTCGCCCGTACTATCGAGCACGCGGGCAGCATCGGATTATTCTGGTCTACAAGTGAAGCGTCTTTTGCTGCTTGTTCGATGGCATCCATTTCCTCTTTGCAAGCCTGGTTGTCCATTGCACAAACGACAATTGGTTGCCGTAATGTTATATCTTTAGCATTGGACATGTGCACCTATTATCATCAGCCATATCCCACACCTCGAAAGAGTAGACATACCTTTACCGTCAAGAAGAACTCTATTTTGTAAAGAGTTCCCGTTGTTGTAAACGAGCTGACCTGATACGAGGGAAACGCAGGTCTGCCTCGCCGGAGGATGCCCTCCGCGTCCCGGAGCTCCTTGGATGGAAATACCAACCCTAAAGTTGCCACGTACCCAGTGTCCGGTAACCTCATATTGATCGTCTCCTGCTGCTTTGCTATTCGATTGATCTTCTTCGTAGGCTCGTCTCCCTCCGGATTATATGTAATCTCCTCTTCTATCCCCAGCGTAATCTTCTGTACCAGGACCTTCCTCGCCTTGCTCAACCAATCCGGATTCGGCTGGAGATCTATATAGACGCTTACAGGATCCAAAGGACCATAGGACCACCGTGGCATATTCGTATTCAGCGTAACCAAATGATCTTCTCTCTTGTTATTTGGCTCATCGCGGTTGTACATGCCGAATGTCGAGAGGGTATCGTATCTTTGTATCGGTACCGGAAACGCAAATTTATTCTGCTCCTGCCCTTGCTGCACTGTGACCACCAATTCATAAAATGTCTCTGCCGTCCGACTTGGGAGTTGTAATGACGCGGGAGGTATCCTTCGACTGCTCTCTTCGCCTCCCCTTCCATGAGGTATGAATAGCATGAACGGTAGATCCATCAAAACCACACTTTCCGATTCTCTTCCCGCTGGACACCGAAATAACAGCAGCTCCTTGCCCACCACATCCGTAAGCTCCCTCCGCGGCGTGCCCAAATGTTTCTTCGCGATTGACTCGGCAGACGGGTGTATGGTTTCCCTCCTCTGCAGACATATCCGCACCAGCGATATCGCAACCGGCGCAGAGATGCCAGTGAGGGGCCTGATCTCCACTTTGCCCTCTATGCGCGGCTGATTACACAACAAACATCAGCAAAGACAATATAGATAGCTATAGCAGTGAATATGAAGCTTACCAGGGTCGCCGATATTCCGGGGTAGCCTACGAGGAAGTTACTGTTTGGCGGCCCCGAGACTCTGACGAAGGCAGCCATTTTGTCTCGGGCTCACACTGGGCGCAACCGCGCGGTCTGCGCCAAGATGATGATGGTGTTGACAGACAAACTGGAGCTGTATTGGATTTGGAAAGGGGGATCATAGGGAGAAAGAAGTAGTGGTGCACAAAGGGCGTTGTGAAGAGCCCGCAAAGTTGTTGGTTGGTGGTGCTGGTGGTGGATGAAGCTGCTCGTCACAAGCAAGGCTCTGGGAGTTCAGTTCAGCTTTTGATGTTGAGGGTTGCTACAAATCGGCAGTCTACTGGTCTAGATCCCGGCGGCGGCGTAAGAGGGGTCGGTGTGCAGGCAGGTGGTGACTGGGAGAAGGGAATGAAGAGAGAAACGTGGCGAAATTTGAGGTCTTTGTTGATGTGCAAAAGGGCATTGTTCAAGTGGCCATAGCGATATAAGGTAGGTATGTTTGGATGTGATGGGATTGTGTTGTACTCCGTACCTTCGCAAGTAACAGCCAGCCCGGCCTCTGTACAGTATCCACTCGCACGGTCGGTCGGTTGCTGGTTCTGCCTGTGCTTTGCTGAGCTGAGCTGTGGCTTGATGGGACAGGTAAGGATATGCAAAAGCACCCTGTATATATTGATAGTGACAACCCTTCCCCGCGTTTAGAGGCACGCCTCCCTTGAAAAGGAGAAATCCCATTGCGTCTTCACCCCGCGTGGCATTCAGCCCTACGGACTCTCAACAAACTAACAAACAAACAATGCTGAGGTCTCGTACCCGCTATCACCAACATGTCCGTCACGCTACACACCAACCTCGGTGACCTCAAAATCGAAGTCTTCTGTGAAAGTGTGCCCAAGACTGCAGAGGTAAGTAATTCCTTTCCCTTTTAACTCCTTCTTTCCCCCTTCAATTCCTTGAAACACCCCCAAATCTGACTTCTTTCCCCCAGAACTTCCTCGCCCTCTGCGCATCCGGCTACTACAATGGCTCTCTCTTCCACCGCCTCATCCCGCACTTCATGATCCAAACCGGCGCGCCCCCCTCGCAACCCAAAGGCGGTGTCTCCATCTGGGAGTCCCCTTTTGAAGACGAGATCCGGCCCTCGCTCCGCCACCATGCGCGCGGTATCGTCAGCATGGCGAATAAGGGACCAGGTACAAATGGCAGCCAGTTCTTCATATGTTTTGACAAGGCACCGCATCTGGATGGCAAGAATACGGTGTTTGGGCATGTGATTGGGGATGAGGGATTGGTGACGTTGGAGAAGATGGAAGAGGTCGCTGTGGATAAGAAGAATAGACCTAAAGAGGAGATTAAGATTGAGAGGGTGACCATCCATGCCAATCCTTTGGCTGGTTGACAGAGATAATTGAAGGCATGATTGGATAGGCCAATGGCAAGAAAGGCGAATACAGATGCAGCCCTATTTTACGATCGTAGGAGGATTCTGATGGTTCACGCTGTTCTTAGTACCGTACTAGGAATGGGATGATAGTCCCTGGGATTGCGATCATCGCACGTTTGGCCCATGTAGAGACCTGGTCAGGTTGGGGAAATGGCCGCAGGTGTCATAATATGCACGAAGAATGCGTGCTGCATACCGAGGCCTAGACGAAGACAATACCTCAAAGTGAGATCGCACTGATGCAGATATGAAAGATTTTGGAAACTACGCTGTGAGCTTGATTACGTGAAGACAACCTTGAAAGGATTTCTTGCCGTTGGATGTTACACGAGGTTTAGGAAGTCAGTCGAGATCAACAAAGCTAACAAATATCAGTCCTTCTGGTTTCAAGTGGTTACATTGAAGCGAAAGTTCTACACGATGCCAGTATTACACAATCACTATTACTTGGAACTATCCAAGTATGTCCAAACGCCGTTCCTCAATCCCATCATTAACAATCCGGACTCCTCGTAGCTTTGCCCGCTGAAGCACGAGCCTTCGCTCAAGTCAGCTTCAACATGCCGGGCGAATATGAACATGAAAATAATATGTTCATCGAAGTGGGCGATGTGAACCCATCCCCAAACCAATAATCTCAAATATCATGGGGTTGATCTCAACGGCCAACCATGCGATTCCTAAAAAAGTATTAGTTTTGGTCTCAGACTCAATACGATAAAACCCACCAGTATAAACAACAAGTTTAGTGACAACTTCAACATCATATCTGACTCGAGGCTTTTCAAGCTTAGAGAACATTTCTTTCTCTTCCAGCTCATTATGTTGACCAACAGTTATTTCCGCGCCATCATCATCATCATTTGTAACTACCAATCCTGGCGGAGGCGTTGCAGGTGTAAACATTACTTGACCCTGGCCCATCATCTGCTCGTATGAGTTGACCCTTGACTGCGCTGGCGTAGGCAAATTCCCGGCACCTGCCACGCCGAGTGATGCAGAAATTCCAGATACTTGGGAAACAGACCCATCCTTGTCGGCATTATTTGTGGCGAAAGGAGAGTAATCTCTGGACCGACTTGGTGATCGCCGTCCTGACTGAGGTAATTGTACTGCTGAATCAACCTCCGATGAATTGGTCAAGCTATCTCTCCGCCTCTTCTCTCGATATGCCAGAGTTTCGTACGCATCGGCGGCAGATTGAGGCCCCACAGAAACAGCGCGACCACGCCCAGGATGTCGAATTGAGGTGAGAAGGCCAGGTAAGTCAGAGACAGACGGCATGACATTGTCCACCTTCAATCTTGAAGGTATCATATTGTATTCAGATGCAGGCATAAAGAACTTCCGAGGCAAGATGAAACCATAGTTTTCAATCACGCGGAACAAGTGAGGCAAAACTTTGAGCAACGCCGGCTTCATGACTTCTCTCCAGGCAAATATTACCAGGACTCCGACAACAACGCGCACTATTGCGGTTGGCCAGCCCATATGCTCGAGGTCGAAGGGTACTGTTGCCGATACAGGGAAGTCCCACGCCCAATCGCTCGCAGCGTAATGCCATGAGCCAAGCTCAATGCCCATTGCAACTCCTGCGAAGGCAACACTGTCGTCGAAGCACGGGCAATCATCAGCTGGCTCGGGATGGATGCGAATTAGAACGATGATTGCCACGGCAATGATTGCTGGTGCTGACCAGGAGCTGCTGTGGAGCCATATGTCGAACCTTGCGCCGTAGAGACATTCTATCACGGAAATCAATGCTCCCATAATACTACCAATTATGACATCTATGAACCCATGCATCCCACAATAAAGGCGTCCTAGAATGATGGAAACGGCATATGAGTAGCTCACTACTTCTAAAATGGTCTTTGTAGTGGCTTGCAATTGGCAATCCGGTGAGTGTATGCTGAAGAGAGCATATACAGCCACGGAAACTGCATTCGCGGAATGTGTTGAAGGAAAGCCATATTCAAGAGCAGCTGATCCTGACATAGTAATGCGATGGAGAGGTGGCGATAATGGTCTAGGCAGTGAGAAAAAGTCTTTCAACATGCCAGTAAAGAACACCCCACTAGCAAGAATATGAACCATCCTACATCTGTCAGCCCTGACTTGAAAGAATCTGGGAACTGCCTTACCCTTTACCCAGAGATGTATGTCCGCACCAGAACAGAATCGGCAGAACGACCATGAAAAATGTATGCGTGCCCAAATTGGCCGTAATTGCAAAGTAGGAATCCAATGCCGGAGACCTCATCTTGTCCTGCATCCATGCTAGATAAGGAGTTTCCCATCGGATCAAGGGTAGCAGTTGTTGTCGCAACTTGTATCGCCATGGTGGAAGCTTGCGCTTGTCTATGAGGTGACATTTAGTAAATTGTGTATAGAGCTTGAGAAATTGGAAGGTACAACAAGCATTCGAGTTTTTAGAGAGGCCCTCCCAGGACAGGAATCATTCTCATCCAACTGCCGAAGTTGGGGTAGGCAGCAAACACAAAACGCCCCAAATGCCTTTTCAAGCAAGTAATAGAAAGAAAGAATATGTGCGGGGCAGTCGCAGCGCAGGAGAACTCACAATGATCTAGACTCCGTAAACCAGCGTCAGGGACATCGTCTGACGTCTGGATGGCTATCGTTGGCGGGGCATGGTGGGATTTCTCAAGCTCTATCGGCCCAGAGCCATTGCAAGGCGGACACATCGACGCATTCGGCGCGCAGCATCTATAGAGCTTCGATTTGTATTTGTAGGCGTAGGGGCGGGCGTAGGAAGAGTAGGAGTAGGAAGGAGTAGGTGTTGCTTCGATGAGGCGGAGGAGTTCGAGGCAGAAGGAGTGACAATAGAACTCGAGTCCTCGAAGTAATGGATAGGGAGATCCCTCAGGTACGCAGCAATAATCGCCTCAATTTTTGCAAGTACTCTCCTCTTCTTGAACCTGCCGGTTGTGCTTGTGCTTGTGCTTATGCCTAGGTACTGACTTGTGCACTCAGATCAGATCAGATCAGATGCATAACCAACCAACCGTTAGGACCCACCCAATCCTCGGCTCCTTCCTCATTGGCAGCATCGCGTTGCTCAGCCGTCTCTATTTACTTCGACTGAAAAGCGCCCCCCTCTTACTTCACTTTGAAACCGACTTGGAAAGCTTCACACATTCCAAACAAAAAGCCACTTTCTACAGTTTCCTACATTGTATACTACAATCCCATTGCTAGAATTACTTGTGTACGACCCATTATTCACTGCAGTCCAAGTTCCGGTCTTGTCCCGTCATTAAAGCTTCCGCCACGATTATGTCGGCGCAGTATCAACAAAGAGAAAATTACAACAACCGGAGGTCAGATAGCTCGGAAAAATACGATGCACCTCATAGAAAACCTTCTCGCCGCGACCAGAGTGCAAGATCTAGCGACGGCACATTTTCCACAATGATGAGCTCTTCAACTGGCAGAGAGTCTGCTGCAACGCATGTTACTGAGGGCCCGGCCTACTCGAAGAAGATTGTGGTTGTCGGAGATGGAGGATGTGGAAAAACATGTCTCTTGATCAGTTACAGCCAAGGATATTTCCCAGAGGTACGATGACTGTTTCTCTAGAGAAGCTCTTTGCTAACAGCTCTACAGAAATACGTACCAACAGTTTTCGAGAACTACATCACATATCCTACCCACGCCGGGAGTGGAAAGACACTTGAGCTGGCACTGTGGGATACAGCCGGGCAAGAAGAATACGACCGTCTTCGACCACTATCATACCCCGAAACCGACCTCCTATTTGTATGCTTTGCAATCGATTGCCCTAACTCTCTTGAGAACGTCATGGACAAAGTAGGTTCTCAAATTCCATATAGTCAGCACAAAGCTAATTTCTACTTAGTGGTACCCAGAAGTTCTCCATTTCTGCCCATACACCCCTCTCTTCCTCGTTGGCCTCAAGTCAGACCTCCGAACGAAAAGGACTTGCATAGATCTTCTGAAAACGCAGGGTCTGACTCCGGTCACTCAAGAACAAGGCATGGGAGTAGCGCGAAAGATGGGAGCACGGTACATGGAGTGCAGCAGCAAGGAGATGGACGGAGTGGAAGAGATCTTTGATATTTCCATTAACACGGTTGTCGAAAATGACGAAAGCAATGCGCCTGCCCAGCCACAAACTGGTGCATCAGGACAGACTGGTGGTGGTGGTGGTGGTGGCATGAAGAAGAGGAAGAAGCGCAGCTGTCGAATCCTCTAATGACCTACAAAACGACTTGCTACGACAACGATATGACCGATGACTGCATAACACGGAGTTCTAGTACAGTGCCAGATATGGCTGAGGAAATTTGTGGGAAACACATGGTCCCTTGGCCTGAAGGCATACTTCTAGAACTCATTCATCCATTCCGGATTCTTGGCTTTCCTTTTTATTTGCAGGGTTTCTTTTTATGTCGATTAATAGGGATTAGTGCTGGCGATTGCACGGAAACGGAGGGTCTCTTATGTATCATGACCCTTTCCTGTACAAACAAGGAATCCATTTTGCACATCAACCAACATTCCATCTGCCCTTCTGATATATGTGAGACCGCCGGGTATCGTGTCCAAAACGCCATCCTTTTCCCGCAACCCAAATATGCATGCACAGTTCAACGCCGACCCTGCTCAGGCAACTCCGTCTCATCCTCTTGACTCCCATCCTCTCCTTCACCACCATGTGCCTCGCCCTCCGCATCCGGATCCTTCGCCATCACATTCTCAAACTGCGACCACAGCGCTTCAACAGAACTGAACTCGTTACCAACCTACATGTACATCATCAGTCGCGCCCCTTTCTCCCTCCCTTCTTTTCTCATCTTATACCCAATCAAAGGAAACAAACAAACAAAAAAACACTCACAGCAATAACCCCCTCCATCGACCGATTCAACTTGTTGATATTCGCAAGCACATGCTCGAAACTCTGCACCATGTCTTAAATCAGCATGTTTCGTTGCGTTGCATTGCGGGTGGCATGGGCGGAAGGGAGGGATAAGGAAGAAAGTAAACATACGACGCCGATTTCCTGCAATAGCGCCGCGCGCTGCTGCTCGAAATATGATCTTTCTGTGGTGGGCGGCGCTGCGCTCGTGGATGAGGAGGCTGGTGGGCGGGTTGTGCTTGACATGGTGTCGGTTGAGGGGGGTGGTAATGAAGGTACTATAGTTGCTGAGGCGCACGCGTTGGAAGAGGGTTGGAAGACGCGGACGCGGGTACCTTATTACTAATACTGTAGGTACAGTAGTGTAGTAAAGATACCTAGCTTGCGGTGGGGTCGACAGACAAAGCGGCACCGATTTTATAAAGTCCTAGGCGGAGTGCCTCGGTGCGTGGCTGAGGGGAGGGGTACATTCAAGGCTGGGTGGTAATGAGTGCCGCTTTAAGGGTCATAGCGAGAGTAGCTTCTGATTATACTACGGAGGTACTTTGAACAGGGACGGCCGGGAAGAATCTTTCGGGGTCAGACGGACAGTTGGGAGTCCGACTACATGTTTATTGAGCCTCTATATAGTACTTCTTTCCCATCCTCTTCATTTGTTTGTGAGATATCAGTTTTTGCAAGTGCAGATTCTTGGTTGCAAGTGTACCTGTGTACTGTTTCTTCGCGTGTGGCTCTTGTATAGTGCTTTCTGCTGTTACTCACGTAGCGTCTACTGTACTACCTATCATACCTACCCCACTCCTAGATTCCCTATTTTTGGAATTGCTTTGTCAACAGCGTCTCAGCACATCACATCGCAAAACAGCCTCTCGTATATGCGTTCTCTTGGTCGTTTATGATTGATCTTATCTCCAAGCTAGTGTTGTGTATTATTTGTTAAAGTGTGCCTCCCAAAGACAGGCATGACAGGCGCTGCCCCTCCAAGTGACTGGTGGGAATACCTCCGGAAAAGCTGCAGTGTGCGTTCGTGTTGTTTCTCGTGTGATTGTTTTGGTGCCCTCCGGTGTCTGGACCCAAGAGACAATTAAGCAGTAGTAGGGATACTCGGCGCTGTTATCCGAATCAGCGTTCGTGCTGCTCTTGCATTCCTGGGGGCCTTGTCAATGCTGCCGCTTTCCGACAAATGTATGTGACAGGCCAGGGCTGCGTAAATTTATTTCCGTGTCTTTTTGTCTTTCAGTCTTTTCAATCAAATTCAACCTCACCTGCCCTCTTGAACTTGTCATGATTATTTGAGTACTAGTATTTGCCTCATTGCGATTTTGAACACCTCATGTTGTATTCCCGTAATCAGAGTAATGGTTTCGCCTTGGGCCCAGGAACCGAGTTGGGGATTTCCTCATTATCCCCGCAAATCACGCCTCCAGTACTCTACAAAACGACGAACCGTGCCTCACTCAGTCCCTGCCAGTCCATGTCAGATTCAATGTGAAGCGACTGGTACTGTTTCCGATAGGAAGGACTTTTAATGCTACGTTGCAAATGCACCTTCTTCATTGATACAAATTGCCAAGTCGCGGGCTGAGATTGGCCTTCCATATCCCTCCCGCCAGAGGAAAGCGGCACACCGACGCAGGAGGCTGGCGAGGCTGGGAGGCTGGAAGTTTGTTTCCGCCACGACTGTACTGTACTGTGCGACTGCACTCCTACTATAGTATTTTACACCACCTATTCTTATCGAGTTTTAATGTCCCTGGCACATCCCTGGCACATAGCACATTATAAATCGGTGTCGCTTTCTCTATATATTGTAAGAGATGGCTATAAAATACTATACGAATTAAAATATTAAGATACAACCAACATCTATCTTACTACACTTCGTACAATTGTGAGCGTAGATCTGCTTCTCATTCCAATTCTCAGCTTTCTACAGTATAAGTTCTTATCAGCTTCGGTGGCCCGTGCTTTGCTTCCAGTACAGTACTGTACTGTAAGCCGAGTGTAGCCAGAAACCGACCTGCGAGATTTCAAAGATAAGATCGCGAGGTGTACCCTTCCTAGGCATCTTGTTGCGCTTTCCCATTGGCCTTTCTCAGCAGGGCTCGGGGACTAGTGGCAACAATAGCGCGGTAGAAGCATCAAAGCTTGACCTTCTATGCATCTTCTAGATCCCCAATCTCAGGTAGGCCGTCTTCTAGCCTCCACCCGATTATCCGCACTGGCCATGCTTCCACCTCTTTAGCGCGCGTCTGAGCTACTCTCGAGCCACTCCACCAGTCACATCACAGCAATCGCTTTCAAACTCAGTGTAGTCCTATCGCTAACCGCTCCCCACTCCACTCCACTCCACTCCCGCCAAGACTCTGCCGGCCGACGCCAGTAGCAGGACTGCTACAGGAGCCCCTGAGGGATAAGAGTTGGCTGCTTGGCATTTCGAGATTCACTTATGAGCTGCTTCTTTGAGTGTGGTATACCGCTTAGTCAGATCTGTCGCCATCTTTTCCCAGTCACGTCTTATCGGAGTCGAGTCCAAGTTGGGAAGTCATGTATTATTCACAGTGTAACCTGGCCATGCATCTATCAGGATTTGCATCTGCATGCGCTGTTGCCCACCAGTGCGACCCGTCTAGACTAGCCCACCCACGTCAATTCACTCCCAGATTCACTCCCAGAAGTTCGGGTCGGGGGTCTAGCAGGTAGCAGGGTCTAGATAGATAGATAGATAGATATATATATATATATATATATATATAT